AGCCTGAGCTATCCGTTCTTGGGTGAGGGAGGACTCGACCAATCCAGGCCGTCCAAAGGCAGGGAACTAGTGATGAAGGTTTGGGCCGACAATATAGGCCGAACCTGCGAGGTCGAGGTCTTCGGGTGTACGCTGTGCAATTTGGCATATTAAACGACTTCGACAAATCTCAACAGTGACAAAAATAGGGAAAGCACTTTGTTTGACAAGCTGTGGGATTTTCTTTTGTGTGTCTGGTTTGTCACAATTCGGGTTCGCCACTGGTTAGTACTTTTTGCCGGTTTTTTTTCAGGGACCTTACACTCTTGCGCGACTTAGTGTCCGCAAGAATTTTAGGGCACATTTATTAGATTTAGCAGAAATTGAGCTACGAGCTCAGTTTTTTCCTCAAATCGAGCCACATGTCGCCCACCCTTAGGCAATTTTGGGCCTTAGATTGGCCGAAGGAACAACCAAGCAGAACGAACGGAAGAGCGGAGTAGAACAAATTCGCCGTTCAAACTTCACACCCCCCCCTTTGGTCTGGAACTTCGTTTGAGACCCCAATCCATCTTGCGTGGATTTTGTGGCCTAACCTCAAGGTTTACAGCTAGTCTAGGTGTACCTATATTTAGATGTACTTCATTTGAACCTTCACTTGATAATCACGACTCCCTTATTGCATAACTCGATTCTATCCGGATATATTCAGTGCGTGCCCTTAGAGTCGTTAGTCTATGTTTGATGGAGTTTGTTAGCTAGAGTTGCATTTAAATAAAAACCCCTGTAAGATGTCTTGCGACGGGTCAACTTTGCAACTAGTATATTGAAACGCCACGCGAGAGTCACAAAAGGCATGCATACGTGTTCTATGTTTATTACCTTGATTCAGGGTAAACCACGCCCTTTTTTTTTCCGACCGTGATGCGACGGGGTTGTTTTTAGACACACCCCTGCAATTTCATGGTTTCTTCATAACTGAACTCTGAACGGCCAGCATTACTACTGTAGTAAGCCATGTTTGTCCCGCCTAACATCGGGGACCGATCCCAATTCGAGTAATAGCAGATTCCGAATCCCCAATCCCCCACCCGTGATTTCCATGAGCTCCCCCTACCCTCCCTGTCAATCCCACCCGAGTTTTATGCGACCGACTATTTTTGTTTCTAACACTGCCGTACTCCCAGAGCCCTGGCCCCTTTGCGCTTGCTGCCGTTGAGCGCCCTATACAGTGAAAATCTTTAGGGACCTTGATGGATAAGAGGAATTTCTGATGGGCCTGAAATTTCCTAGGACCAAAGGGGGAGGGACCCTGACCTATCAAGGTGCCTCTGAAAAAAATTGAGGCCCTGGTGTATATTTATGTTTCGCCCTATAAATTGTAGAGTGGCGTTGCTCCCGTCTTGTTCGAAAAGGGTGACTCTGATTTCTCCAGGTTAGGTGATAAGTATACTACAACCCCCTTAGACAACCAACATTTTTTTCGAAGGACCGACTGCCGACTCTCTTGTATTATACTGCCTGACGGCCGTCCTTGTTGGATATCTTACTGGAGCAATGCTGCCATCATTGCGCGTCGTCGACCAATGCTGCCATCATTGGCCAGAGTAAGGACCAATGCTGCCTCTCCCCCTCTGTTTCTTGCTATACAGGAAAGCCATTTCTTCCTATCGAAACCCAGCCATGCACTTCCAAGTCTTGCTCCTCCATCTTGTACAACCCCCTTATGGAAATGAAACCTCCACCGCTTTCTTGTTACCTCCTTCGTTAGTTTGCGTATGAATTCCTTCCTCCTCTGCAGCTGTGTCTGCCACGCCTAGAAAGGCTACAGATGGTGAGCCGAGCTGTCACAGGTGCAGGATTTTGCGGAAGCTTGAATGATACTAATCAAGAATTGAATGAATACAAGCGAAGTGTCAATGCTATTTATACCTACGAGAACTTTAGGGAAGGATAACTAGGACCTTGTAAAGCCCGCGGCCCAAATTGCGAGGCGCGGCCTTCAAACGCACTGCGTTTGAAAGTAGCGCTTTCGTGGGTGAAGAGTGGGGTAACGTGAGTCTCGCCACTCTGGGGGTGCCTTTCAAGTTCACTGCCTGCTGCGATTTGGAACTCCATGTGTAGCACGTTTATTTACCGTCCATTTTTCACAAATCTGCATCTGATAGTCCACACGCAAACTCTTCTTTCCAAAGCACCACCAGTAATTCAGGGATCAATCTCAACCGTCCAAAATCGTGGGGTCGAATCTGACGGTGCACGAACACTTAGCAGTTCACGAGGAAAAACACCCTCGCGATTTTCCCGTGCATTTCTTAAAACAGCACGCCTAGAGTTCTTACACAGTGCGTTTGAACAATTTGGGCCGCGGGTTTTAAGAGAGTTCTAGAAATGAGTGGAACCGTCCATAGGAACACCACCTAGAAGCACGTTAGGGATTCTAGCGATACGATGACAGTGACGGAACACTCTACGCAATAGAAAACGTGTCATGCAAGGAAAGTCCAAAACACTCCGTAACACGATTGATATATATGAAATATATCAATGTGTAGGGAAAAGTGTAGGGATTTTCAGGAAAGGAAAAACACAAAATAACACACAATAAATAGCAAATAGTAGTGATCAAGGATTCGGTAAGCCTCATCCTCTCACACGAGCGGCGATGAACCGCCTGATAAGTCGATCCGGCTGCTAATTTTATGCGTGCTGTAGTAGCCCGTATGCAAAGCACGCCATGCCACCGCCGCCGTCATCTCGGGTACTCCCGCCTCGGTTTCCTTTTCGTAAATAGCACGTCCCTCCCATCCATGTCAATTCTCCTCACGCCAGCTCGAGCAAGGAATCGTGCATGGTCTTTACGAAAGCAGCAAAAGTAAAAGCAAGTGCGCCTTATTTTTTGTCGCGAGCCTCCTCCAACACAACCACTATTTGATGGTGATTCGTCCGTGACAAAAACACCGGCTATCGATTTTAAATATTATGAAGCTCATAGGTGGTATATGCATTCTTAGAATGGCTTGTTTTCCTGGCTTGAGTTATGCAGAGTTAATGATGGTCGTCCTGTCCTCAGGTGCACGGTGTGTAAGGAGCATGGCATCGATGGGCAGAAAACAAACTACGGCCGTACAAGCGAAAGTGCGCGTGATTTCTAAGTTGTAAGCATGCAAATTTACTAGGGATCGATTACGCACAGAGACGCAGTCGCGAAACTATCGAAGGTGAGCAATGTTGCGCCTCAGACGAAGCTTGAGGAGTTTGAGGTGCTCAATTTCACGACGCTGCACCTGATCGCAGCGATGAAGACGGCACGTGCTGGTTTGTAACGCCGACGTCGATGTATGTCGACACCATACGCTTCATGTCTTAGATAGACACACCTAACCTAACCAAAGAGCAACGTGAATCGTACCCCAGTGCTCACGTTGTATGGTCCGTTGAGGTGTGAGTACTTTGCAGGTTGACTATGTTCAAACTTTTTCCCACTACCTTGTTTGTGCCTTAGTTTTCGAGCTAGGTACAACTTCGTGGAGTTAGTGAAGTCTGCCAACAAGTATCTTCGTATGCACATTGTGAAAAGTGACTACATCGGCATATTATATTGATGAACGCACGGACCATTAGCGGGGCAAGCACATGATCATGCGTATATCAAAAGCGCACATCATAGCCGAGTTTCCGCCCTTGACTGTCGAGAAGTGTGATGCAGCGTCGTTGCAGTCGGTGCTCGTCGTGCATTTGAGAGCACGCGGCATCAATCTCAGCAAAAGAATGGGCATCTCTACGGATGGCGCATCCGTGATGGTGGGTGAGCGAACCGGAGTGGACGTAAGACTCCGTGTACGTACGTATGATTTAATAGATTGAATGAAAATTGTATGCATAACCTAATTCATGGCTGATTTTAAACTAAGGGACGTTTTTTACATAAAAAAACATCAAGTCCATTTATTAGTGAGTCAGAATACCTACAAAATAGCGTTTCTGTAGTGAGGCCATGCTGTGCATGTAGCATGCATTACATAGCGAAATCCAGCTAGGGAGAAGCTATTATCCGGGACCCTTGTTTGCCTGTTTTCCCCGTCATTCTAGCCACCTGATGCCGCTCCCGTTGCAGCTTCACGGGCGAGCATCACAGCCGCCATGACCAAGGCTAAACTGACCGAGACGTTACCCGTCTTGCACGGTAGTAGCGTGCCCTTATCTCGGGGCGTGTTCGTCGTTTGATAGTCCAGAGTCATACAGTCTAGTAGCCTCATCGTTGTTCGTGGATCTAACCAACGCCAAGTCTTGACAGTCGTGCGAATTCCGGAGAACCATCCTGTCGTCGCTGTACCGCGGGCGCTTTATAGGCTTGCCTAGTGTCGCGCTTCTCGCAGGCGCGCTGGTCGCGATCGTCGCGCGGCAGCTCATCCGTGCGCGCCGCCAGCACTCGTCCACGCCTCGAGGGTTCGCGGAAACGACAACGAAAGCGGTACTCGCGGCGGGTGCGAAGCTAGCAGGCCGCAATAACGATCGCCCGGTGATAGTAACGATTGGCCGGTAACAGAGACTTGCGGCCGGCAACAATAACGGTTGGGCGGCATGGTGGCGAGATCGGAGGTGGAGGCGATGGTGCAGCTGCTGGGGGCGGAGAAGGCCAAGCAGCGCGAGGTACGGCGGGCCGCACAGTGCGCTGTGCGATTGTGCGCTGTGCGACATGATGATGATGTGCGACATGATGATGATGTGCGACATGATGATGATGTGCGACATCATGATGTGCCAGGGTTGTGCGTGCGACGTAGGTACAAGCAACCTGGGATGTACAAGTTTCGCCGCTAAGTCCTGCTGCAATAGATTGTCATATTGCCTCCTGTGTCCACCTCCCTGCGTTGGCAGGAGGGCTTTAAGATGCTGCATCGGTACATGCAGGAGTCGTGCATGGCGGCCTTGTGCACCGCACTGGACCGAGGTAAGCCCCAGCGCTCCCTGCATGCATGCACGGGCGGATGGATCTTTCCGGGGACACATGCGTGAAAAGAGAACAATGGGTGCGGGCTTGGATGGGCTCATGCTCATGGAGCGGACGGATCAACTGCATGGTGGTGCTTGGAACCATGGATCTCTGCAGCTGTGTGCTCTACTGAATGGGTCTGGGGCTGCATGTGACCCGTGGTGTATGAATACACATGGTGCATGTATGGATAAACTATGCATGCATAGAGCCAGCCAGCAATGATTGCTGTTGTTGTTGCGATCATCTTATGGCCCCTTTTCCTTCTCAGAGGAAAGGAGGTGGCAACAGCTGCATGTGTCACGCTATGTTGGAAAATACGCGTATTGCGTTTTATACGCTGGTGTATATACGCTGGGGTTTGGGGTCCAATACGGCAGGAATACGGCTGCCCGGGCAGGCAAAAGAACTGCAGCGGCGGTTGTCCGTTGCCTTGCTGTCCGCGTTAAGCGCGGTTTCGAAATGCTCAAAAATAGTATGCGAAGCATCCGTTACGTAAACAATGGCGGAGGAGGAGGAAGCCTCGCCAAGCCAACGTTAGTAGGAGCAGGCACGCTAGCGGGGGTTGATGGGGTGGACGCCATGACCACTAGAGAGAAGAACGAGTAAAACTAAGCCAAGCTAAGCAAGGGGAGGGAGAGCTTGGAGTTCAAAATTGAAGAGAGATGGTGCTTCAGATCTGAAGTATGGCGGGAATGGGGGGAACGACAAACACGGGATGCCTTTCATCCACGTCCACACCTGGTGAGGGGGTGGGCGAAAAAGCGTGGACGAAAATTTGAAATTTCGCAATATCGCGAACTCGTCGGGAAAAACATGAATTTCATTTTTTTTTGCCGGGCAGCCCGGGTTTCGCGTATCGCGTATTCCACGCGTATCAGCGTATTGCGTATATTTGCTAGCGTATATACGCTATACGCTAAGCCTTCTGAGCGAATTTCCCAACATAGGTGTCACGCATGCCCCTCGCTTCACTCGCCTTCCCTGCCCTCTGGTGCCGCGTCTCCCCCTCCTGCAAGGGAGCCCTGCACGTGTCACATTGGATTGGGGAGCCCTCCATCGTGCACAAGGACGTCCATTGCGCCGGGTTTACCCTCGTTGACCTGCCCTCTGTGACTCATCCACCGGGAGGCCCATGCCAGTTGCAGCTGCAGCCTTTGCTCTCAGCGCGTGGCGTTCTCCAATTGGTCCGCCCGGTGTCCCATGTGCAGAGGAGATGTGGCCCACCCTCATGGCAGCGCTGTGCACCGCCATCCACAGGGACGCCCTCGCCACGCAGGGCAGCCGCAGCCGCCGCCCGCAGAGGCAGGCCGTGGCGAGAGAGCTGCGGCGCCTCGTGGAGATGGCGGACGAACGCGGTGAGGGGGTGGGTGGGGGATGCGGCGGGGGACGCGGTGGGGGATGCGGTAGGGAATATGGTGGTGGATATGGTGGGGAAGGAAAGTGGGGGAGGAAAGGGGATCATGGTGAATGAACTTAAGTATTCAAATCTAACAAAGCACGCTGGCGGTCAGGGGGGAGCTGAGTTGGCTGGTTCAGAAGGCGAGCGGGTGAGGCGAGCGGGAATATATGGTGTTTGGACGGGGAGAAAGGGACTTGAAGCTGGCGGGAGAGGTGAGAGGTTGGGGGTAACGGAGACCTGAAAGACTACGACATTTGTGTGCGAGTGGGGTAAACCGTGCACTCATGCCAAGGATGCTCCACTGCCCGCCTTTTCATCCTCCATCCGCCATTCCTGGCCTTGAGGGCGAGCGCCTTGTCATGCCAAGGATGAGGTGCGCAGCACATAGCTGCCTATCACCTCCCACCTGCTTCTCGTCCCCCCTTCCCTTCCCCCCTTTCCCCTCCCCCCCCTTCCTCCCCCCCCTTCCCCTCCGCAGTGCCCCCTCCTCCATTCGCCCCGCACCCCCTGCGTCTGGCCACCAAGGTGCGTGCGCTGTGCCTGCACATGAGCGCCACGCTGCCCCTGGCGCCCGCGTTCCTCACGGACTACTGCGAGGCGCTGCACGCGCTGCTCGCCGTGCCCGATTATGCAGCGCGCCTTGCCAACACCAAGCCGCTCAAAGGTACTTGCTGGGAGCTCAGGGGTTTGGGTGGAGGCCGGAGGGTCTTGCTGCCCCTGAGCGTGCTCCCTATGGCCCCTGCTGTCCCCACTGAGTTATGCATGCGAGGCGATGCTCACCCTGCTGCTCGTGCTGTGCGTGACCACGCCGTCGCGCATCGCCAATACCATGGTGCTATGCAGTGAGCTCAATCTTGGAGGTTGACGGGGGAGGTCCAGATCCAGTGCTGTTAAGGGGAATGCAGGTTGTGAAGGCTGCTGCGCGAATATAGTCTGCTGTTGGCCTTTGTATACCGTAACAATCATTTACTTTCACAAAGATGCAAGTCATGGTTTATGAGGGCAAGGCGACCTTGTGAAGCATATTGTAGCATCGTTGTCGGCGTCATGACATGTGCCGCCCGTCTCCCTGCTCTGCAGACCTCATGCGCTTCTTCCTGTCTCGCCTCGAGCTGGCTGTGGGCGCTGCACCCGCCACCCCCGCAACCCAACAACCACTGCTGCTGCCGCCATCCGCTTCAGCCTCACCCTCAGCAACAGCCAGCACTGCTACCGTGTCTAACCTGGAGGCCTTCCACGCAGCTTCCTCTGTGCTGGCTCTGACTCGCTGTGCAGGGGGGGCCGGCTGTCTGGCGGTGCAGCAGCAGCACGACATGGCGGGCAGCTTCGCCCTCATCTTCGCCCACCTCACGTGCGCTTGCTGCATTTCCCGCACCTCTGCTGCTCTTGCTGCCACCCCCACTGTGCCCATTGCACGTCTACTGTAGAAGGTGGGAGGCATTGGCCGCCACCCATAATGCTGTGAGCCGTTTAACATGCGTTCAAACACCGATTAAGGTGGTTTTCACTCTTATGCCTTGTGGTCGTAACTCCCCTCCCCCTCTTTCTGCCTTCACACAGCGACGACGGCCGCCTAGAACGCAAGCTGCTGTGGTGTGTGAGCCCGTTCTGAACAAGGAGTTAACTCAGCCTCTCAAGGCGTAGCCTTCTCAATGCCACAGCCCTCACCTCACTCGCGTCTACCCTGCCTGTGCCTTCCACCCCCAGCGATGTTGGTCGTCTGGCGCGCAAGCTGCTGGCGTGTGTGTGCGCCTTCCTGGCGGAGTGTGGGGCGAACCTGGCTGCAGGGGGTGCGCTGGCGGGGCTGGTGGGCGCGCTGAGGGGCTTCGTGCTGAGGACATGGCACAGCACACGGGACGAGCATGTCATGGTGCGCGCATGGCTGCTGCACTGCTACACCCGCTGCAACAAGAACATGCCACACCTTCTTAGTAGCAATCCACTCGTTCATATCGCACGGCCTGCACCACCTGTTGTGCCAATGCCGTTCTTTGCCTGCCTCCCGTTTTCTTCCAGGAAGGTCTCATTCTCACCGCCCGCATGCTCCTGCGCCTCATGGCTGGAGGCAACTCGCTGGATGGGGAAGATGCTCTAGCGGCGGCGGGCGCAGAGGGCAGAGCGGGCAGCAGGGGGGGCCTCCAGGGGGACGTGCTGTCGCTGGTGGCCAAGGAGCTCTCGCGCTCCTCCCACGCCGCTGGGGGGGCTGCTGCTGCTGTGGCCTCTGCCAGCCTGCTGCCCGGGTGGGTGGGTGGGTGGGCGGATTGCGTGCCTGTGCTATCCAAACCCCTATGCAACTCCCGTTGGGTTGCAGTCCTATTTCCTCGGAATCTGGATATACTTTCCACGGTGGTGATGCCCATTGTTCCCCCCTTTCCAGCCTGGACGTGCGAGCAGTTGCAGCAGCGTCCAAGTCATCGCTGCACTCCTCATCCACCGTGGGGCAGTCCCACTGGCCCATCATGGACCTCGCCGCCTCACTGCTCTTCCAGGTGCACCATCTCGTCCGCCTGACCTCTCCTCCTTCCCCAATACTCATTCCCCTCATCCCACCTTCGCCCATCCTCCTCTTTCTCTCTTTTTCATTTTCCAATCGCCCCCCTCCCCTCCCCCCTCCCTCCTTTACGGCCTCCCTGCCCCTTTCCCCGTCTCCCTGCGTTCGCGCTCTCGTTCCCTGTTCTCGAGAGCTGGCTGCTGTTCCTAAGCCTGCCGCTAGGCCTGCTCCTTTCTCCCTTCTGTCCAACCCAACCGCCCCAGCAGCAACTGCAGCACTTGCCACCATCATCGCAAGCACCTCCGTTGGCAGGAGCAATTTCGGGCGAAGACAGCCGCCCTGCAAAGAGGCGAAGGACTGGCGGTGCTGGCAGTGCAGTAGTGAGCAGCATGGGAGTGGGGTCGGTGGCATTGGCAGGAGCCCGTGATGGTGGTGCTGATAGGTCAGGTGCTGCTTCCGTGTGGGCCGTGCTGGAGGAGCACATCGGACAAGGCAGCGCGCCCTGGTGAGGCTGGTCGGGCTCACACATGGCTGCTTTGCGGATTTAGTCCAAATGCGATAATCAGAAATATGATCCGTGTAAGAATTCCGTTCAGATGATGTGCTTGTAAATATTGACACCTCTTCTGCACTCCCCCCCTCCGTAATTCCCTCCACGTGCAGGCTGACAGCTCTGTGTGTGCTGCTGTGTGACCATAGCCACCCCATCCCACTACACGCCCTCCACGGCTGGCTCGCCCTCCTGCACTCGCACCTTGCCAGGTGAACCGCAGGATTGCACTAGCTTCCGTATAGTGCTCTTCATGCTCCTATTCTGGGCAACATTTCACGACCAACTTTGCAGCTCTCTGCTCTGCTCTTTCTCGTGTCTGAAGGGACGGTTTTCATACTCATGTGTTGTGTGCCATCACATCGGGTCAGGCCCCTGTGGACCCGCTGGCTAGTATACTCGTATGGATTCGCATCCCTTTGTGGCCACACCCCTTCTTCCCAGGTGGATTCAGGACGCCCGTCAGAAGGGCTCTCTCCCAACGGCCATCTGGGCGCTCAGGTGACCCTCCTCTGCCTGTTAGCTCACTCGTTTGCCCCTAGTGCCATCAGTGGGTTTACGGGTACCTGACGTAATTCCTTCCCTGGCAGATGACCTGCTCTAGTGAAGAAAGCTTTCCCCTCTCTCTAATTCCCGATTCCCGCCTCAGCTCGTTCTTGTGAGTCACTATGGCCGTAGTGAGCACGTCTGTCACCACCGCTCTTTCCACAATTGTAATAAATAAAGCATCTATCTATGGCATCACTCCACCCCCTTTCAGGTGCCTGGAGCAGCTCTGTATGTGTCTCTCCGCCTCACACCTGCGACACCTCTCGGGCCAAGCATCTCACAGCAGCAACGCCACACCAGCAGTGCAGCCACACCCTGGGCGCGCCTCACCTGCTGCTCTCTGGCAGTGCGTGTGGGCCGAGGTCACAGCTGCCCTCCCTGCTCTGCCCAACGCCCTGGTAAGAACAGGGCTTCACTGCGTCACGCATGAACCACACGTGATCGGCCTTGCTGCATGTGTCTGGTGAGAATGGTGGGGGACGTTGCCAGTGCCCGCTGCCAACCGTAGGAACAAGTTGGGTTCGGTGACGGGCTGTCTGCTTCCGCAGCACGTCGTGTGATTTATTTCCTCCCATGCCGCTCCTTCCTGCCTTGTCATCGTTGCCTCGTCTTCTACCTCCTCCTGCTGCTTCCTCGCTCGACTCTCAGTGCCCACAACCCCCAATTTCTCGCTCCGGCCCTCGTAATGATCCTGTGTCAGGTGGAGCCCTCTCTCGCCCTCCTCTCCGCCTTGCTGCAATCAGTAAGTCCACATGCTTGCACCGCACACCAGCAGCAAATCGAGTGTACTGTCAAGGGTTTCTGTTCACCAAGACAGCACACACCTTACCCGCTCCACTGCCATATGCCACATCATCTCGGTGAACCGCAGTCAGCCTTAAATGGTCCTTGCGATGCAGTTGAAAAAGCTCCATCCATGTGGGCTTGATCTTGACGCACCAGCAATAAGCCACCGGCTGATATTTTGCATACATCCCTGCCAATGCTGTGCTGGCTTCCTCGCACGCGCACCTGCTGTCGCTGCAGGGAGCCCTGCAGGACGTGACTGTTCACAAGGAGCTGCTGACGCTGCCGCAGTTCAAGGAGGGTGCCCCTCTCGCCAGGTGGGTGGGGCTTTTCGGATGCTAGGCTAGGGCAAACGCATCCCATACGTTGGTATGAGCTCTGAAATGCTTTACTCCTGCTCGCTTGCTGACACAGGATATTTGCGCACACAGTATTCGTTTCCTATCCCCCTGTACTAATGCTGATCCCCTCATTTTAGCTGCCACCCTTTCCGTGTGCTTCAACGTGCTCCTGTCCTGGTGCTACCTTTGGAACTGGGTATCCCATTGTGCCCAAATTTCTCATGGCGTCCGCCATTCAGCCGCCGTGCATCAACTCCTCTCTGCTCTTTCCCTCCACCGCTTTCTCCCTCCTTGGCATCATCAGTGAAACTCTGCAGTTCGCAGTCTCACTGCTCTCCAATAAAAGCTTCCAGGTGTGTTGCTTCTTGCGCATTTGTGGCAAGTGTTAGCTTCAATCGCCACCTCTTCATTTGGCTCTCCACCGCTGACTTTTTTTCCAATCCCTTTGTAAGAACATGCAATGAGGTGGGACAATGCGTTTTTTCCACCCTCCTCCACCTTCCTCTACCCTTGCCCCTTATCTCATCCCTTGCCCGCCTCCCCCCTCCAGCGCCAAGAGGCGTCGCTGCTGGCACTGGATCCAGCCTCCACCTCTCCCCTCAGCTCCGCACGTCTTGCGCTGCTGCAGTGGCTGCTCGCAGGAATGAAGAGCGAGGTGCGGCCTGTTTGAGTGTGCTGCCATACCTATCGTAGCCATGTTGCTGCTACAATGGATGGCACGGCAAGAATAGTGTCTGATGGCGAACAACCATCCCCTGGGCTCTCTCTCATGCCGCTGCATATGTTGCAGTGGGTTGACCTCTTTCCCAATGCTAGTGCCTTTCCAGTTCAATCGTTTGCCGTGCATGTTCCTCTACCCGCATTCCCAGGCTCATGCCACGCCCAGGGAACCTGAGTCCTCTCACCCGATCACCATGCGCACTGTTCTTCACCGCACTCACCGCGCGCCTGCCCCATGGTTGGTTGCAGCGGCCCTGTGTGCGACAGTGACAGGCGAGGCACCGTGGTGCTGTGCTGCTGGCACTGCACCTGCTACTGCTGCCCGTGCTGATGCTGGCTCTGCTGCCTCCTCCTCCTCTTCCCAGTTCTCCTTGGCCGCTTCTTTCCACCGCGACTGGTGGTTCCCTGTAAGCTCGCCGCACACGCAAGGCATTCGTTTCAATGTGCTTGTAGCAGTAGTGGATGGGAGAAGCAGAGGCTGTTTTGATGAAGACGACATCTTCCGTGCGCATGTCATGTCATGCTGGGCTGACCTCCTGTGTGTGTGCGTGCTGCCACCCCTGACATGCATGTCCATGTCAGCTGCATGAGGACGTGAGGGACATGGAGGCGTCCCTCCCCCGCCTGGACCGCACCCCGCACAGCCTCGTCGCAGCAGCGGCAGGTTCCGCGGCTGCCGCAGCAACAGCTGCAGCAGACACAGTCTTGCCGCATGGCATGTCTTCTCCTGCTGCTCTCCCTCCTTTCTCGTCCCCTCCGTGGCTTGCGGCCTGCCAGGTACCACCAGGGGAAGGTAGCTGCTACTTTCATGAGCTACAAGCCCCAACCCAATCGTGCACACCTTGTGAACAACTTGGCTCGTCACCCCAACTCTCTCCGCCTGCTGACTGTCTCTTCAGTCTGGTTACTCACCAGCCTGCGACTTATCTTCCTTGCTTCCACTCACTCTCCTCCCTTCCCTCCCCGTCTCTCCTGCGCCCAAGCAGCAACGACACCAAGAGACATCTCCCCCCGTATCCTCCTCCTCTCCTCCATTCCCATCCCCACACTCAACGGCCCCCACTCCCTCTCGCTCTCTGCTCGACTCGTCCCGCGTTCTCACTCTCTCGCGAGCAGCCCTCTCTGCACTCTCCTCACTGACCTGCCGTCCAGCCAGTGGGGCGAGCGGGAATGGAAGTGGAGTAGGTGGGTTTGGCAGTGCAGAAGTGGGTGGTGAGGTGGCAAGAGGGGAGGGGGAGTGGCTAGAGCCCAGAGGCTCAGCTGGCAGTGCTGGGGAGGGCATCGTGGGTGGCGCTGGCGGAAGGGGGAGTGCAAGCAGCGGGGGTGACAGTAAGCAAGCACACAGCCTAAGGCTCGCTGCGGTGGGGCTGCACTGCTGCCGGCTGCTCTCTCACTCCTCCTTCACAAGGTCGGTTCACCCGCAGGCGTCCTTCCGCCAGAAAGGACTTGTCAAGCTCTACTGCCTTAATGCGCCAGACTGGTCCTTCGTGTCACCAAGGCAAACGCCTCTCACATGCTGACTGCAGAGTGTGCATGCCTCTCTGTGTGTTGCGCCCTTTCCCACAGCTCTCTTCCTCCGGACCTCCTTCCCGGGAGTCGTCTTGAGAAGCAGAGCCTCCAGACTGCTCTAACAGCTCTTGCACCATCCACCACACCTCTCCACCACTCTGCACCTAGCGCCCCTGTGGACCCTCCCTCGTTCTCGCTCCTCCACGACCTCCTCTGCGTCCTCCCCCGCACCCCCTCGTCCCTCCCCCTCCTCGCCGCCATGCTGCGCCTCACCACGGACTGCTACAAGACCATTGCTCAGGCAGCTTCAGCTGCCACAGAAGCCGCGGCAACAGGAGCAGAGGCAGGAGGCACAGGAGGGGGGGAAGGTGCACTGGTACTGTCACACCCACCAAAATCTGCCATCCCCCCCGGCGCCAGGGGGTATGTGGATGATGACTTTGACGACGACTGGGAGTTTCACCAGCCGTCTGCACGGCAAGCTACAGCTGGGAGAGGTGGGGCAAGGGGGAGGCTGGGTGGGACGGGGTCTAGGTCAGGGGCAGTTCTCGCCAGCTTCCAAGCCCAGCAGCAGCAGCAGCAGCAGGTGGTGGAGGTGGGGGAGGAGGAGGCGCGCATCTTTGACAACGACCTGGACGCGCCAGGCGTGCCGTCGCAGGCGCCGGTGCTGCACAGCCATAGGCAGACCCAGAGTGGCTGGCGGGATGCTGCAGGTGGGGCTGCCGCTGCTGCCAGTGCCAGTCGGGGTCTTGGTGGAGGTGCTTTGACGCAGTCGAGTGGTGGTGGCGGTGCAACAGCAGCGGCGGAGGTAGCAATGGGGGCGGTGTGGTTCCTTGGGTGTGTGGCGGAGCTGCTCCCAGCAGCAGCGTGCAGGGAGGCGTCATGGCTACTGGAGCTGAATGACAACTCGGAGGTGTGTGCAGAGACACGTGCACACACATGGGATGATGGCGCATGGACGGATGTGCCAGCCAGCATTACTGACTCGTTGCGTCAGTTGCTTCCTCCCCCGGCGTGCAGATTTCCTTCCCCTGCCATCATCCGCTTCTTATGCCTCTTCCTTGTTCCACCATCTCCCCCCTCTCCTGCTCCACTGCTCTGTCTGTACCCTCTTTCTCGCCCCCATCAGTGCTGCTGGCAGCTACTCTGCGTGCTCGCATCACACGCAGAGCTCTCCCTCGCACTCCAACCTGTGGTATGCCCACATTGCGTGCCATCACTCTCCAACCTGTCGTATGGCCACATTACAGAATCTCCACCCCTGCACATGGAATGCCAGAATACGTGCCCGTCATGTTACACTTGTGACAGCATACCTGGTAGGTAGTGTGCCTGGTGCCATGTCCTTGTCTCCTCCATTCACCTCCTTCTTGCGCCCTCACACCGTGTGGTCCAACCTCCCTCCCAGGTGTCAGCGTTTGAATCGCCCGAGTGCATGGCAGCGCACTCCCATCGCACGCATCTCCTTCGCCTCGCAGCCATGGCCGCGTCTCGCCTTACTGCCCACAGGAAAGGCGCCCTGCCGCCCTCCTTGCTCCAGGAAGAGGACGCAGAGCGCGCAGAGGGACCAGAGGCATGGGGTCGTACGACTGTTCATGATGCAGATGCGGAGCAGGTGAGATGCAGCGGATTCCTCATTGTCAGCCACCAGCGCTTCTTCATAGGTGCTTTTTCGAAGTGCAGAGTGCCCGCTTCAAGTGGCTTGCACTTCCTTCCTTCTCCTTCTATCATCTATGTGGTGTTCTTCTCGGCTCCATGAGCAGGCACAGCAGGCAATGCAGGCAGCAGTGCTGGCAGTGCTGGATGAGGGCGTGCCCGCCCCTGCTGCGCGCATCCACCTCGCCAATGCCCTCCTCGCGCTTACCCTGCTCGGCTCCACTGTCAGTCTCCCATTCTCCCCTCTCCACAGAGGTACTGCAGTGCGGGGTGCCAATTTGGACGCAGTGTGGGGATTGGGTTCCCTCACGGTCCCTCGCGCTTCCCGTTGAGATTCCACCTGTCTTGTCTTGCTTCCTCTACCCACGGAGTTACCTCTGATCAACTCCAGAGATTAGTTCGAGGCCACTTTGGACTGTCTGACCCATGGGTGGAGTCTACATGTGTCACATGCGCGGCATCTCTCCAACAGAACCATGATGGCCCTCTGTGCCATCCAATCCTCAGTCATGCATGGTGACACCTCGCCTCGTGCCACCATCTGTTTCCCCCCCCCCCTCCCCCCCCTCCCCCCAAGGACCTGTTTGAGCCGCTGTTTGAGCTGCTGGGCGACAGGGACTACGGGGTGCGCCTGTACATGTGCCGTGTGCTGCCTGCGCTCTTCCTCAAGTGGGAGGACCACCATGCCATGCTGAACGACACTCTGTACGGTCCTTGCTGTAGCGTAGCTGCCTGTCCTTCCTGTATCCCTTCGCAGCCAATCTGGCACCGCACCGGGCCCTGTTGTGCCCTGCTAATCACATCGCCCTTGTGTCCCCGTTCCACAGGTCGAATGTCAAGACGCTGTCTCTCGCACCCTCACCCACCCTCTCCGTCTCCACGCTCCACCTGCCCTCTGACACTGCCGCCACCGCCACTCCTCCTGCTGCCGCCACCCCCTCTGCCAGCCCTGCTGCCCGCCGCGGGCTGCCTCTGCTTGCGGGCGCAGCGGGGAGGAGCGCGCTGATGGCACTCAGGGGCAGCGATGGGCGGAGCGGCGGGGGGAGAGAGGAAGGGGAGGGTGAAGGCGCAGAGGGGAGTGGAGGGGCAGAGGAGGAGAGAGTGAGGAGGGAGGTGGGGCGGATGGAGAGGGGTCGGGTGGAGACGAGTGTGGTGCTGCTGGGGAGGATAGCGGAGAGCAGCGACGCCGTGGAGGACGAGGTGTGCTGCACCCAGCAAGCCATGCCCACTCCACTCACAGCCGCTGCAGTGCTGGCACACAAGATGCGCTTGTAACATACCCCTTGTGTCACTGGGCTGTCTTCTTCGTGCAATTCCAACTTCATCTGTGTTGCTATGCGACTCTGCCCACGTGCGTCGTCTCCCTCTCCTCGCACGCAGGTCGTATTTCTCATCATGGCAGCCACTGCCCTCGGCCTTGCTCGCATGTAAGCAGATTGTCTTGTTTCCTTTTACAAAATACACGTTTTTCACTTTGCCACATCGCCAGTCCTCAATTCTGACCTTTCTTCGTTTCCCCCACCTCGTGAAACACCCGTTTCAACCTTCATTCACCCTCCTTGAATCCTCTTTCACCCCTTGATGGCCCCTCGTTTTCCTCCTGGCCGTTTCCCCCATACCATCTTGCCTGCCCGTCCAGCGAGCTAGCTGGTGCAGTCGTGGGTGCAGCAGCAGCATCGCTGGGCTACCCCAGTGCGACCCAGGTCAGCCACGGCGTGAGCCAGGTATTGTGTCTGGGGTGTCTCGCTTAGGGCCTTGTGTGTGGAGGATGAACGAGTGTAGCCAGGTCGCCACGTGTCAGAGCTTGCTGGAACTCGTTGATGGCTCAAGCAGTAGTTTCTACTCGCAACAATGCCCTTTTCCCACCCTCTTTCCCCCTCGTCCCCCCTCTGACTCTCCCCTGCCCCCACAGTACCTCGCCATTCTCCTCCCTTCCATCGCCATGCGCTGGGCAGCCTCAGACCCCATCCTTCTGCCGCTGCGTGCCCTCGCACAGGTAGGCAGCCCGCACGCCTGCTCCCTGCCCAGGTCTGCACCTGGTGGACAATGACGTGCAATGGGCAGGCAGTGCAGCTGTGATCTTGTATTTCTGTTTTCGTAAGTTGAAAGGTCTGTTCAGTGCAGTACAAAGCCACCCTGCGCCTTCCATTCCTACAGGTTATAATGAGCCTGGAGCGAGCTGCTGCCAGTGGGGAAGTGGGCGCGGGTGCACATGGTGATGCATGTGTAGGTGACGGCACGGGTGATGGCGGTGGAGGGGACAGGGACTCCTGGGAGGAGAACAAGGCAGAGCGATGCAAGGGAGCAGAGGGGGCAGAAGGAGCAGGAGCGGATGTGAAGGCATGGAGGAGGATGGCACCGCTTGTGCTGCCCACGCTGCTGCTGCTGGGGAGAGACAGCGACGTGCAGTGGCTGGCAGAGGTGCGAGCGAGCTGACAGCTATTTTGCTGCGTGCACTGGCTGCACTTGGTTGGTCGTATGGCCATGCCCTTGTTGTTCTGGAGGAGTACAAGGGAATCCGTTCCCCACCTCCCTCTCCCCCCCCATAACTGCCCCCATCCGCTAGGTTCTCCAAACGTCCGTCCCCGCGCTTCTCAAAGACACCTTCTCAGACGTGTTTGCGTCGCTGCTGCCGTTCCGCCAGTCAGAGCTTGACACGTGGCAGAAGGAGGTTGCAACAGGTGTGCTGAAGACAGGGATGCTGGCCCTGGCAGGGTGGAGTGAGGCGGACAGGGATGAGCTGCTGACCAAGCACATGGTGAGCTCTGATGAGCAAGGAACGACGTCACCAACGTGAACACTCCAAACATTTTTTGCTTGGGAAAACTCGTTTACAGACTTACAGTGTTTTGTCATCATTCTCAAGAGTAATGAGCTTTGCGTGTGCTTCTTTGGAGGTCCCAGCATGCCCTTACTTCTGGGGCAGAGGCCACGAGTGAGCATGGTTCTTCTTGAAGCGAAAGTTCCGTGTGACATTATAACGAGATGACTTTCGAGTCGACTCAAAAGCATGCCCTTACTTCTGGGGCAGAGGCCACGAGTGAGCATCCGAGCAGAACCGTTATGTGCCCTCACCTGTCCTGGAATCGTACCCAATCCTCTCTCCCGCCCCTTCTTCCCCCGCCCAGAGAATATACACCCGTTTCCCCTGTGGCATGTCCTCTCTCCGCCCCTCACCCCCTCCCCCAGGTGCCCATCATCGCCACTCTCCTTCGCCTTACGTGCACCCACCAGCACCCATCGCTGCCGTACTTCCCCGCTCACACCATCCGAGCCACCATATGCCATCTCCTTGATACTACCGTTGACTCTGCTCCGTCGACCAGGTAAAGCCCTGGTAAAAGCCTTCACCAGATAAAGCCCCCACCAGTTCGTGCCCCCACCAGTTCACTCCCCCACCAGGTAAAGCCTCCCCATTTTCTCGCAGTCCGCCCTGCACCATGAGGCCCCTACACCCTGGCACGCGCTTGTCATCTCTTGTAGCACACCTTGTCCTCTTGCGCTTTTCATACTTTTCTCCTCGTCACACAAGGAAGCAAAGTACTTTCTACTTGGCTAAGCATCACAGGTGGATTGAGCAAGCAGGGCTGACAGCCCGTCAAGGAACATGTGTGCTTCCGTGTTCCTTGAGTGCAGCACAACCCGTGTGCCTCCCTCTGCCGCACCGCCTTGCACCTCCCTCCTGCTGACGGACAGGCTCAACATTCTGCGACCAGCAAATGTGTTCACAGTATGTACGGAGTTGCATCTGCGTGCGGTTTACAACACACACACACACACACTCACACACTCACACACACACACACACAGACACACACACACACACACACACACACACACAGACACACAGACACACACACACACACACACACACACACACACACACACACACACACACACAGACACACACACATGCACACGCACACAAACACGCACGCACATGCGCACGGGCATGCGCACGCGCACGGGCACGCGCACGCACACGCGCACACACGCACCCCGCACCCGCACACGCATTCCCCCCCCCCCTCCCCCCCACACACGTCTTCTCCGATCTCACACTGGTGTTTCGCTTCCCTTTCCTTTTCCCTTCCCTGCCATGCCTTCTTTTCTGTTCCATTTCCGTCTGTCTCCTTGATTATCTCTCCGTTTCGGTTATCTTAGTGTAGTGACATCAGCTATCTACACTACATCCTGCAGCTGTGCGGGGACTGTCTTTCTCTTCTGCCGCGCCAGATATTTGTGCTTGACCACCTCCTCCCTCTGCGCCCGCCACCATCACCACCTCTCATCCATCTTGTTGCCTTTTGCTCTGCTGCATTGACCTCACCTTTCGCTTGACCTCAAAGGGTGCATCCCATTTGTGATGTTTTCTTAACGTCATTCCCCCTCCAGCTACTGCTCTCGCTGCACAAGGCAGCTGTAGCAGCCTGCAGTCCACGTCATCGCTGCCACGTCATCGCTGCGCTGTCAGTGCTGGTTGATCTTCTGGCCGACAGAGTCACTGCACCGCCCACTTTCAGGTTCTCTCTTTGTAGTGCCTCTCAGTACCTTTCACCCTGTCATACCTTGTTATCCAATGATCGCTATATGATGTCATCGTGCCTCCACTCCACCTTCCTCTTCTCACTCTCCTCTCCTTTTTGCATGTGTTATAAATGGATTCAAATTCCTGTAGCAGAAGTTTTTTTTTTTGTTTTTTTTGTTTTTTTGTTCTTGCCATCTAGTCACAACCTCACGTCTCCTGAGTCCTGGTTCCCCCCCTGTGTGTCCGCTTTCCAACCACCCAGGTACCTGGTGCACGTGCTGCTCGCCTGCCTACCCGTCTCTGCGCCCTCTTGGCCACACCCTTCCTCTCCCATCTGCTCCTCCCAGCTGCCGCTCTCTCAGAGCCCCTCCACTCCATCGCAGTCGCCCTCATCAGCAGCAGCGGTGGCGGTGGCGTGCCTGGAGGTGCTGGCGCAGGTGGTAGCGGTAGCGCACAGCAGCAATGGGAAGGCAAGCAGTGAAACGGCTGCCTGTGCTGTGCTGGATCAGAGCGAGGTGAGGACAAGGATTCAAGCGATTCTCTGAAGATGCCTACTGCCAATAGACGTCTTCATTTGATAGCTTGTTATTCGGAGCAGCTGCCACTTTTGCCTGCAAGAGGTGTTGGTATGAGCAGCAGAGGTTGCTGCTACTGTGTAAGGGCAGAGGGGGCTTTGATGGCTACGTATTGATGTGGCGTACGCCACTGGCCGTGCCTGCCGTATTCTCGTCAGTGAGACTGCTAGCTAGCAGGCAGAGCAGGTGTACTGTGATCGCATATTGGCAACTGTACTTTTGCTGGTGCTCTGGGTTTGTTGAGAATAGAAGTGCTCTTTCCTGTTGTGTGCCGGGCACATTTCGCCCCGTGTTGGCAGGTCAGTCTTATTCAAACTGGGACTCACGTTGCTGGCTTGGACCATCTCCCATATCAGCAGGTGTGGGGGGGGGGGAGATAGACATTCCATTTGAGTGGTTTCGTGGTCACAGAGATATGGTTCCTCATTCCCCCTGCAGTAGTCGTTGTGTCCTTACACTCCCGCTCCCCCTATTTCTGTTGCTCTCCCCCTGTCCCTGTCAGGCGATCATGTCCCATGTGCTTGCCCTCTGCGTGCCTCCATCAAGGGCAGCACCAGGGGGCGAGCTGCCAGAGGTGCTGTTGGAGTTGCTGAGGGGCTTCACACTGGATGCACCGCTGCCGCTGAGGGACCGCCTCAAGGTGGGCTGGGAAGGAAAATCCTCACGCTAAAATCGTACAATTGGGCTGCTAAGGCCTTGCACCCACCAATCCTGCTGTTCACACGAGAACTGAACCCCGTAGAAGGGGTGTGTTACAGGGGAAGGGTGCTCGTGGACTTGTGAGAGTGGGGCAAGCACTGCCGACCAACTACCGTTTCGTGGCAAGTGCAACTTCGCAGCAACCATTTTGGAGTGTGTTGCTCTTTGTCCCGCCTTCCCCACGGCTCCTGCGTGCAGCTCCTGCAGGTGCCAGCAGCAGCAGTGGCAGCCCACCCTGCACTTGCCCCCATCGCCGACTCTCTCTCCTCTCTCTCCCAAGACCTGCCTCTGCCACACCTGCTGGCACAGGTGCGCTGTTTTCCCCGTCGATCATAGGAGTTCCCTGGCAAACGGGCTGCGGTGCAGCACAGGTGCTTTGCTCACAAAGGCCGCAGCAGGACACATCACATCCCATAGGCACCATGGCACCATGTTAGTCTATTCCGTTGACACCATGGCACTCCAAGAGGTCAGTTGAAGACCAGATTCTCCAATGCTTTGACCCAGCATCTGCCTGCCCTGGTTGGTGTGAGGCGAGCACGCCCAGCTGTCTGCTGAAACGTTGTTCTGAGCCGCAAGCAGCTGTGCTCTCAGAGCCTGTTTGTGTGCATGGAATGAGGTCCTCTCCTTGTGTGCCGGACCTCCTTCCCCTCCGCACCGTGCACTGCCCCCTCGGTGGTTACCTTCTTCTGTCCATCCATCCATCTGACGTCTCTCTACCGCCGCCCACCTATGTGTTCCCTTTCCCCTCCTCCAGCTTGCCTCTCGGGCCGCCAGCCTTTCCCCAGCAGTTCTTGCACAGAGGTGCGCACTTGGGGTTGAGGACCTGGCTTCGGAACTCAGGTTCAGTTTTAGAGTTCACGGTTTAGTGTGAATGCAGCAGATGTTCTTGCATAGACACACACTGGTCTGATTGCTCTCTATGCATAGGCGTACTTGCCAAGTCTGTGCACTTGCTCATTGCTGCAAGCACTTTCGATGAATTCCGTTCCGGTTACTTTGTTTGTTGGGTCAAGCATCTGACTAACGCGGTGACTGTTTATAGTTAGCCGCAATCAGTCTTGTACGGCTTCCTCTTCCGTGTCCTCAATGAGTCATTGGCTCCCTCTTTCCCCTGCATGCCCCCGTCCAGCCTGCAAGCAGCATGCGAGCACCTCTCCTCGCGCAAGCAAGACCTCTGGCTTGACACCGCTGCTGTTCAAGATAGCCCAGGCTTGGATGAAGGGGAGGCTGCGACTGACATGCCCCGGCCCATCCCTGAAGCGCTTTCTGCCACATGGCAGCTGCTGCAGCTGTCAAGGCAGATGAGCGAATCGGATCCCAGCACGCACACCATCAGGGCATGCCTGGGCCGACTTCTGGCCACAGTGAGAAGGCACTCTCGTTTCTCTTCTTCCATGTTCTCCCACTGTCGGTGTCTTCTCGTCGCCATGCATATTCTCCTTGCTGCCCACTCCATTTTCACATGCTTCCATGCCATCTCGTGCTGCTTGGCAGCTGGGCCTGTGGGACGCGTCCGCAGTCTCCTTCAGGCTTCCTGCCACAGCAGCATCTGCGCCAGCAAGTGTTACTCTAGTGAATGCTGATCCGGCAGGCGAGGGCATAGAGGAGGGTGTGATTGTATCCGTGCTGGCGCTGCTGGGTAGCCTCCTGGTGGACCCCGATGTGAACGTCATCCAGCTCGCCGCTCAAACCATCGAGGTTTGTTGCCCCCCGCTTCTATTGCGTCGCACAGACAAGAATATTGCACAATCTGTGGGATGTGTAGCACATAGCATTGAGAAGTCCACTGAAGGGCAACAATGACACTATCACGTGCGGGCCCCTCATGCCCCCAGGCGCCTGCAAGGAATCTCTGAAGAGACGTTGTGGTGCGTGTGCGTCCCCTGGCAGGCCATTCTCATGACGGAGCGCGGCCACCGGGTCTTCACTGCCAAGGACTTTCCACAAAAGAAGTACCTCCAGGTAGGCTTGAGCAACGGGTCGGGTCGGGTTGGGTAACCCAACCCGAACCCGACTTTTTGACGGGTCGGGTCAGGTTTCCCGTAGGCAGAACCCGACCCGTCGGGTTTTATTTTTACCCATCGGGTCGGGTCAACCTGAACCCTACATGTACGGGTTCGGGTGAACCCGACATGTCGGGTTGACCCGACCCGACTTCGGGTATACATCGTTGGGTTGACCTGACCCGACCCGACCCGAACTCGGGTCACGCCTTGAACCGACGCGATCTGCGCGACCAGAGTTGCGCAGATCTGGAAAGTCTGATTATTTGGTAGAATTTTCGACCAAATGGGTCATTTCCCAGATCCTACTCAGGCTACCTCCCATTTCTACCCTGCATCCAGCTCATTCCTACCACTAATCTACTCCCCACCATACTTATTCGTACAGCTTAGGGTCTAGGCAGATCTAGATCGATTTCGATTGGATTGACTCAACCAACACACCTATTCAACAAACAAACTCGACACCCCCAACCCACCCAATTTTCGCCATCACCCACAACCCACCCAAAATCTCGTCAACACCCCCAAACCAGCCAAAAATTCGCCAACCATTTTTTCGCCAACACTCCCAACCAATCCAACACCCATCCCGTGACTGGTTTTTGCCAACATCCAACCCGCATCTCGAGGTTGTGGATGGGAGGATGAGGTGGGTGCGTGGGCTAGGCACGATGAGGACATACTGGATCTCGAAATTACGAAATCCATATGTTTCCCTCAGGAAAAAATACTCAGGTCGGGTCAAGTCGGGTCGAGTCGGGTTGGATCGAGCCGACCCGACCACGGGTAAGAGATAACCCGACCTGTTACGGTCGGGTCGGGTCGGCGAAATCCTAGGATCGACCCCACTTGACCCGACCCGACCCGACCCGAACCTGACATCGGGTAGGGCAAAGTCGGGTCGGGTCGGGTCGGGTCGGGTTTATGATCAAGCCTACCTCCAGGTCCGCTCACAAAAGTGTAGCTTTGGAAGCTCTAGTTCTCGACACTTTGGGCTGTGGTTGGATGGAATGAAGCATGCCGTGAGGCCGCTTGGAACACACCTCGCTCAACTGAATGAACACGTGCCTTTGCCAAAACGTCGTCAAGCCAGGATGAACACATACATTTCAACTATCTTGTCGGCTCTCGTCCTTCTCAATTTCGCTGTCTCCAGGCACACATAAAGACGGTCAACGCCGCCCGTGCACAGCAGATCATCCAGCGATTGAAGGAGGAAGCAGCAGGTGAGTGGCCCGCTCTGGCGCAGTAGCGAGAACATTCTTTGCTGTTAAAACCCGCTGTCCGGATTTTCCAAGTTCTGGGGTTTGTTAAACTGATGAAAACGGGATACCCAAAAAGTCCTCGCAAATGATGTGGTGGAGGGACCAGGGCAGGTGGGAGAAACCAACGAGCAAGTCGCTGGATTGTTAAACAAAGTCACTGTTCCCTGAACAATACGGACTGGAGGTGCAAAACGCAGACCGTGGGTGTTGTAAGGGCGTGTTCTTTACGCGACAAAATGCCAGCTGCAATCGAGTCAAACGAAACTTTTGCCCATCAACGCAGATTGTAACTTGGAGTTGCGCAACGTTGTGTGTTAGTGAAATTCTCTAAGTTTTTGCAACCCTTTTGGCGAGTCAGCGATTTCAGTGAAGGTTGGCCAAAACTTTGGTCAGTTCGTGGCTCGTCATCCAATGATTTTCTTCCCCCACTTTCGATTGTTAAACTTTTGGACAATCCACACCGGGGGCTTTGTAGCTACGCTGCTAGCACACGTGTACGTGGATTCAACTGGAGCAGTGTTTTACTGCACCTCCTGATACACTTCCCCGTCAGCAGTCCACGAGCTCGCCTGCATAGCTCCGTCCGGTTGGGTACCCATCCCAACTGTCTCCGTTGCCCTTTGTGCTCACGGGCAAGAGCATTCTTTTTGACCAAGGATAGCAGCTCCTCTTCTCACAGTTGCCAGTATGCAGGCACTGGCAGTACCAAGTCTCTTCCACGAAGATGTGTCTTGCCACGGCCCTTTCGTCCATACTTGGCCGCACACGTATATCCATGCCTCGCTCTCTCATCCACACACCCACACATGTGCGCTCCCTCTGTCGATGTATCTATCCGTCTATTTACCTATTTGCCAACACGTCCATCCATCCACATCTCTCTCTCCCTGCCTCCCCCAGCCTCCACCCCTCAACTGCACGACCCTTCGCCCTGGCTGGCGGTGGGGTCGACGCATGAGGAGTGGGTGCGGCGGGTTGTGCCTCTGCTCATTCTGCACGCCACAGACGACATTCTCACGTGGGTGCTGGGCGTTCGCTGCTCTAACATTCAACCTTTCATTCTCGTACAGTCTCTTCAATGTTCTGTCTCGTTTTCCTTGGCCGCTCCCTCTCTTTTGCGTTGGCAGGTGCATGCGAGCCTAGCAGCCTGCACAGATGCAACGGCATGTGTCTGGATTCTCTTTCTCTTGCCAGCTCTTTCTCACCTGCCTTCCCTAAACCCCGTACTGGTCACCAACCTTGACAAGCCAACGAGCTTGTACCGTTCCTTCACACTGGTGGCTCTTTCCCCTCACGTCACTGCCTTTCTCTCCCACCCCGTCGTTCCCCCCTGCTGCACCCAACTCCACTGATTCCTCCAGTCTGTGCGGTCCCCTGTGCGCCGTGAACACCCCGCTGGCGGAGCTGCTGTTCCCGCACGTGCTCGCCAGCCTCGCGGCCTCGCATGCTCCCACCAGCCACCTCTGCCGCACTGTGTCTGCCCAGGTGGGTGCACTGCCCATGTGCACTCGGACTGTCCCACGCACCCAGCATCTGAAGGAACTAGCTTTGAGGAGAAAAAGATAGATTGAGTAGGGAGCCAAGAGACTCTTTTGTACAAACAAGGAGCAAGGAAGAGATGGAGGGGAAGGTCTCCCATTGGCCGTAATGTAGACCAATGGGAGAGGTAGCTTGGAGGACAAGCAACCACAAAGTGTGGTGCTCTCCGATTGGCCACAATGTGGACCAATGGGGGAGGTTGCTTGGAAGGTAAGCAACCACAAAGTGTGGTGCTTGGTGATTGGTTGGGTCTTGGGACCAAGGACCATTTGGTTGGAATAGTGCCAACCAAATGTCTAGGACCAAATCCAATCTTGACCAACCCAAATGTGGGGTTAGTCAACCCAACCAACAACCCCCCAAAAAATATAATGACTACACCTCCTAATCTAGGCATGCATGTTGTATACATATATATTTTACAACAGTATCTAGTTTGCATCGCCGCGGCGCTCATGCTGTGGTGTGTGCACCTAGTGCGGGCTGGATGGCGCGTGCATGAACGTGACAGCACTGCTCTCATCCCCCGTGCCACCGTCCTCAAGTTAGTTGCAGTGTCTCCGTGTTTGCCGGCTCCTCCTGGCTTTCTTTCGACTTTCTATCTCCTCACGCTCACCTCAGCCTTCCTGTTCTTCACAGTTTTTCTCCTTTTTTTTTCGTTTCTCTGCTTTCCTGGGTTGCCATCTGCATGTTGCCCCCCAGCTATCAACGCACATCCTGCACGCTGCGCACGTGGTGTCGCTGCGCTCGCTGCAGCTGCTGCTGGACGCCCTCAGCGCCCTCAGGGCATGCAACGTCCGCGCGCGCATGGCCCCTCCACCCCACACTGCCGCAGCTGCTGCTGCCCGCGGTCAGAGCTCTGCTGTCGGTGCTCGGAGGACTGCTGCCAAGGTGCCTTGCTGGTCTCCAAGCTTTTTATTCCTTCCAGTTACAAACTCCCATCTGATTCCTGCTGTGCAAAACGTGACTTGCAAACGACCAGTGATTTTTATCTCATCCCTCACAGTTCAACATTCTTCCCTCCTGCTTTTTGTCTGCTAGTTCCAACCTCCCTTTTCCTTTATCCCCCTCATTCTCATCCTCATCCTCGGTACTTCTCCCACCTCTCCTCCTCCCCCTCTCCCCAACCAGACCCCATCCACAGCAGCGCCCAGCACGCTAGAGGCAGCAACGCGCACAGCAGCGGGCGGGACAGCGAGCAGCAACAAGGGCAGGAGAGGGGGCAGGCGGGCGCCCAAGGCTGCTGCTGCATCGCCTGCAGGGGGTCAGGCGCTAACAGCAGCGGGTGCGGAAGCAGAAGATGCTGTAGCAGGTGAAGGCGACGGCGAGGAGAGGGGAGCTGACTGTGACGAGGGAGAGCCGGAGTCCCCTCAGCACTGGCAATCCGTGAGGCCCTTGTACCACAAGCTGCTTCCCTTGCGCTTCTCATTGTGGCTGTTCGCTCACCTGAGCTCACTCATCCATTCTCCAATCTCTCGCCGTGCAGCCTCCTTCCTTTTCTAGCCGTGTCCTTATCCCGTGCCATGTGTTTTTCCCTTGTCTCCCTCTCTTCCACCTCAGCCCGTGTGGCTGCAGTTGGACCTGCTCACTCTCGCACGGGCAGCACAGGTAACCCCTCCACGATTTGTACCTTCAGCTGGGCTTTGAAAAGGGCCAGGGCATCATGTGGTGCCGTTTTTTGGTCTGTCTTGTCGCACTGCTGCCTTTGAACTATCGACACCAGAGGTAGCACCAGAGATAGCACCAGAGGGTGCCGCCTTCCCTGAGAAGCGCCTGTTGCTCGTGTGCCTGCTGTGCAGCGCTGTGGGGCGTCGTTGTCGGCCATCCTGTACACGGAGCTCTGGTGCGAGCACCGCTTCGGACGCCCAACGCTGGGCGAGCCGAGCTTCGATGACGAATCCGATGCTGTAAGGAGAGTTCCTGTGAAGCCATTCTTCTTGCTCACTCTTTCGCTGCGCTCACTGCTGGGTTGAGTCTCTGTGTTGCAGTCTCCATCCTTCCCAGCCACCTGCACCGCTTCCCCTCCCGCCACGTCACAGCTTATTCTCACACACATTGTCAGTGACCCCCATCTGCATGGCTCTGCTGCGTGTACTGAGGCACCATCACACGTCGTCCCACTGTGTGGGTGTGCGGTGTGCAGGTGCAGCCCCACGAGGACGTGCTGCTGGCGTGCTACGCCGCTGTCAATGAGCCCGACGCCATCTATGCCGTCGCCCGCACCAACAAGGTGCGTGGCGCTGTGATGCCTGGGGGTGTGGTGCGTGGCGCTGTGATGCCTGGGGGTGTGGTGCGTGGCTCTGTGATGCCTGGGGGTGTGGTGCGTGGCGCTGTGATGCCTGGGGGTGTGGTGCGTGGCTCTGTGATGCCTGGGGGTGTGGTGTGTGGCGCTGTGATGCCTGGGGGTGTCGTGTGTGGCGCTGTGATGCCTGGGGGTGTGGTGTGTGGCGCTGTGATGCATGGGGATGTGTTGCTGTGAGATTGACTGAACTTCAAAAAGTTGATTATCAAGGACAGCACACAGACTTACATAGGAATGAGAAGGAAAGGAGAAGGGGGGGGGGGGGGGGTTGCTGGTTGGGTCCCTATGCCAACCCCAATAATGTTGGCTTGAGTGGCCAGAATTATTGGGGGGGCCAATAATTGGGAACCCAACCTGTTGGGGGCCAATGATGGCAAAGATGGGAACCCAACTTTGGGAACTCAATCCCAACTAGGGTGGTTAACCCTAGTTTACACCCAACACTAATCAAACCCGTTATGTCTATCCAAACAATCTAGTCTATGCAGGATAAGAATAGAGAGATATTCCAACACAACCCCTATCATGCAGAGATCTAGAGGGTTTGGACGGGAGAAACAAGCAACCCCTGAACCAGATGGCCGCGTGAGACCCATATGCACAGGCCGTGTGGAGGAAGGGCGGGGAAAGCCACTGAAGGAAGCGAGGACGGTGGATGCCGTCGCCATTTGAGGAAGACGGCCGGAGGAGGGCCGAGGGACGGCGAGTGCTGCTGCTGCCAAAGGAGGACCGCGGGCGGCGTGTGATGCTGCTGCCGGAGGAGGTGATGCTGCGAGCAGTGTATGCTGCTGCCGCCGAAGGAGATGGTGCTGCAGGCTGCACGTGGTGCTGTTGCCGGAGGAGGTGGTGCTGCGGGCGTTGCGTGCTGCTGCCGCCAGAGGAGGTGGTGCTGCGGGCGGCGCGTGCTGCTGCCGCCGGAGGAGGTGCTGCTGCCGGCGGTGCGTGATGCTGCCGCCGGAGGACGTGGTGCTGCGGGCGGGGCGTGGTGCTGCCGCCAGAGGAGGTGGTGCTGCGGGCGGCGCGTGCTGCTGCCGCCGGAGGAGGTGCTGCTGCGGGCGGTGCGTGATGCTGCCGCCGGAGGGGGTGCTGCTGCGGGCGGGGCGTGGTGCTGCCGCCAGAGGAGGGGATACTGCGGGTAGCTTATGCCACTTCCGCCGGAGGAGGTGGTGCGGCGGGTGGCGCGTGGTGCTGCTGCCGGAGGAGGTGGTGCTGTGGGCGGCGCGTGCTGCTGCCGCCAGAGGAGGTGGTGCTGCGGGCGGCTCGTGCTGCTGCCGCCAGAGGAGGTGCTGCTGTGGGCGGCGCGTGCTGCTGCCGCCGGAGGAGGTGCTGCTGCGGGCGGTGCGTGGTGCTGCCGCCAGAGGAGGTGATGCTGCGGGTAGTGTATGCCGCTTCCGCTGGAGGAGGTGGTGCTGTGGGCGGCGCGTGATGCTGCTGCCGGAGGAGGTGGTGCTGCGGGCGGCGCGTGCTGCTGCTGTCAGAGGAGGTGCTGCTGCGGGCGGCGTGGGATGCTACCGCCGAAGGAGGTGCTGCTGCGGGAGGGGCGTGGTGCTGCCGCCGGAGGTGGTGATGCTGCGGGCGGCGTATGCTGTTGCCGTCGAAGGAGGTGGTGCTGCGGGCGGCGCGCGGTGCTGCCGCAGGAAGAGGTGGTGCTCCGGGCGGCGCGTGGTGCTGCCGCCGGAGGAGGTGCTGTTGCGGGCGGCGCGTGCGGCTGCCGCCGGAGGAGGTGCTGCTGGGGGCGGCGCGTGCGGCTGCCGCCGGAGGAGGTGCTGCTGGGGGCGGCGTGTGTGTTTGCCGACGGACGAGGTGCTGCTGCGGGCGGCGCGTGCGGCTGCCGCCGGAGGAGGTGTTGCTGCGGGCGGCGCGTGCGGCGGCCGCCGGAGGAGGTGCTGCTGCGGGCGGCGCGTGCGGCTGCCGCCGGAGGAGGTGCTGCTGCGGGCGGCGCGTGGTGCTGCCGCCGGAGGAGGTGCTGCAGCGGGCGGCGCGTGCTGCTGCCGCCGGAGGAGGTGCTGCTGGGGGCGGCGCGTGGCGCTGCCCCGGAGGAGGTGCTGCTGCGGGCAGTGTGTTGGCTTCCGCCGAAGGAGGTGTTGCTGCGGGCGGCGTGTGCGGCTGCCGCCGGAGGAGGTGTTGCTGCGGGCGGGGCGTGCGGCTGCTGCCGGAGGAGGTGCTGCTGCGGGCGGCGCGTGCGGCGGCCGCCGGAGGAGGTGCTGCTGCGGGCGGCGCGTGCGGCTGCCGCCGGAGGAGGTGCTGCTGCGGGCGGCGCGTGGTGCTGCCGCCGGAGGAGGTGCTGCAGCGGGCGGCGCGTGCTGCTGCCGCCGGAGGAGGTGCTGCTGGGGGCGGCGCGTGGCGCTGCCCCGGAGGAGGTGCTGCTGCGGGCAGTGTGTTGGCTTCCGCCGAAGGAGGTGTTGCTGCGGGCGGCGTGTGCGGCTGCCGCCGGAGGAGGTGTTGCTGCGGGCGGGGCGTGCGGCTGCTGCCGGAGGAGGTGCTGCTGCGGGCGGCGCGTGCGGCTGCCGCCGGAGGAGGTGCTGCTGCGGGCGGCGCATGCGGCTGCCGCCGGAGGAGGTGCTGCAGCGGGCGGCGCGTGCGGCTGCCGCTGGAGGAGGTGCTGCAGCGGGCGGCGCGTGCGGCTGCCGCCGGAGGAGGTGCTGCAGCGGGCGGTGCGTGCGGCTGCCGCCGGAGGAGGTGCTGCTGGGGGCGGTGCGTGGTGCTGCCGCCGGAGGAGGTGCGGCTGCGGGCGGTGCGTGGTGCTGCCGCCAGAGGAGGTGCTGCTGCGGGCGGCGCGTGTAACTGCTGCCGGAGGGGGTGCTACTGCGCGGCGCGTGCAGCTGCCGCCGGAGGAGGTGCTGCAGCGGGCGGCGCATGCGGCTGCCGCCGGAGGAGGTGCTGCAGCGGGCAGCACGTGCGGCTGCCGCCTGAGGAGGTGCTGCTGGGCGCGGCGCGTGCGGCTGCCGCCGAAGGAGGTGCTGTTGGGGGCGGCGCGTGGTGCTGCCGTCGGAGGAGATGCTGCTGCGGGCGGCGCGTGGTGCTGCCGCCGGAGGAGGTGCTGCTGCGGGCGGCGCGTTCGGCTGCCGCCAGAGGAGGTGCCGCTGCGGGCGGCGCGTGCGGCTGCCGCCGGAGGGTGTGCCGCTGCGGGCGGTGCGTGCGGCTGCCGCCAGAGGAGGTGCCGCTGTGGGCGGCAAGTGGTGCTGCCGCTGGAGGGAGGTAAAGCTACGGGCGGCGTGTGGTGCTGCCGCCGGATGGAGGTGCAGCTGCGTGCAGCGAGTGGCTGCTGCCGGAGGGATGTGCAACTGCGGGCGGCGCGTGGTGCTGCCACCGGAGGGAGGTGCAACTGCGGGCGGCGCATGGTGCTGCCGCGGGAGAGAGGTGCAACCGCGGGCGGCGGGTGGTGCTGCCGCCGGAGGGAGGTGCAGCTGCAGGCGGCGCGTGGTGCTGCCGCCGGAGGGAGGTGCAACTGCGGGCGGCGCGTAGTGCTGCCGCCGGAGGGAGGTGCAGCTGCGGGCGGCGAATGGTGCAGCCGCCGGAGGAAGGTAAAGCTACGGGCGGCGCATGGTGCTGCCGCCGGATGGAGGTGCAGCTGCGGGCAGCAAGTGGTGTTGCCGCCGGAGGGAGGTGCAACTGGGGGCGGCGCATGGTGCTGCTGCGGGAGAGAGGTGCAACTGCGGGCGGCGGGTAGTGCTGCCGCCTGAGGGAGGTGCAACTGCGGGCGGCGAGTGGTGCTGCCGTTGGAGGAAGGTAAAGCTGCGGGCGGCGCGTGGTGCTGCCGCCGGTTGGAGGTGCTGCTGCGGGCAGCGAGTGGCTGCTGCCGGAGGGAGGTGTAACTGCGGGCAGCTCGTGGTGCGGCCGCCGGAGGGAGGTGCAGCGGCGGGCGGCGAGTGGTGCTGCAGCCAGAGGGAGGTGCAGCTGCTGCGGGCGGCGCGTGCTGTTGCCGCCGGAGGAGGGAGGTGCAGCTGTGGGCGGCATGTGGTGCTGCCGCCCGAGGAGGGAGGTGCTGAGGGCGGCGCGTGGTGCTGCCACCGGACGAAGTGCTGCTGCGGGCGGCACGTGGCGCTGCCGCCAGGGGAGGGAGGTGGTGCGGCGGACGGTGCTTGGTGTTGCCGCCGGACAAAGTGTTGCTGGGGCCGGCTCGTGCGCTTCCCCAGAGGAAGTGCAGCTGCAGGCGGCGAGTGGTGCTTCCGTCAGAGGGAGGTAAAGCTGCGGGCGGAGCGTGGTGCTGCGGCCAGATGGAGGTGCAGCTGCGGGTGGCAAGTGGCTGCTACCGGAGGGAGGTGCAGCGGCGGGCGGCGCGTGGTGCTGCCACCGGAGGGAGGTGCAGCTGCGGGCGGCGAGTGGTGCGTCCGCCGGAGGAGGTGGTGCTGTTACGGGTGGCACGTGCTGGTGACGCCGGGGGAGGACGGGCGGAAGGGGAAAAGAGGGGGAGGACGGGCGGAAGGCGGGCTGGGAGCCGCTGAGGGGAGGAGAGAGGGGGAGGACGGGCGGAAGGCGGGCAGGGGGCCGCTGAGGGGAGGGGAGAGGGGGAGGACGGGCGGAAGGCGGGCTGAAAGCGGCTGAGGGGAGGGGAGAGGGGGAGGGCGGGCGGAAGGCGGGCTAGGAGCTGCTCACAGGAGGAGAGAGTGGGGAGGCTGGGCGGAGGGCGAACAGGGAGCCGCTGAGGGGAGGAGAGAGGGGGGAGGACGGGCAGAAGGCGGGCAGGGAGCCGCTGAGGGGAGGGAAGAGGGGGACGGGAGGGGGTGAAGGATGCTGCTGCTGCAGATGCGGCTGCCAGGACGGGACAAGCGGCGGGGACGGACAGCGCGGACGGACGGGATGGGACGGGGCGACGCGAACGGACGGGACGGGGCGACGCGGACGGACGGGACGGGGCGACGCGGACGGACGGGACGGGGCGACGTGGACGAACGGGATGGGGCAACGCGGACGGACGGCGCGGACGGACGGGACGGCGCGACGCAAACGGACGGGACGGGCCGACGTGGACGGATGGGACGGGGCGACGCGAACGGACGGGGCGGATGGGCGGGACGGGGCGACGCGGACGGACGGGATGGGGCGACGCGGACGGACGGGATGGCGCGACGCGGACGGACGGGACGGGGCGACGCGAACAGACGGTGCGGACGGATGGGACGGGGCGACTTGGACGGACGGGACGGGCGACGCGAACGGATGGCGCGGACAGACGGGATGGGGCGAGGCGAATGGAGGGCGCGGATGGACGGGACGGGGTGAGGCAAACGGGCGGGAAGGGGCGACTCGGACGGATGGGACGGGGCGACGCGGACGAATGGGACGGGGCGATGCGGACGGATGGGACGGGGCGACGCGGACGGATGGGACGGGGCGACGCGAACGGACGCCATGGAGGGACGGGACAGGGCGACTTGGACGGACGGTGCGGACGGACGGGAGGGATGTCTCGAGGAGAGATGTGGGGATGGCGAGAAAGGCACTAGGGAGATGGGAGAAATTTGTGCGAAGGGAGTAGGTAGGGTAGGAACTAGGATCTACTAAGGAGGGCGTGAGCCATAAGGCTCTGATTACCATGTGAGATTGACTGAACTTCAAAAAGTTGATTATCAAGGACAGCACACAGACTTACATAGGAATGAGAAGGAAAGGAGAAGGGGGGGGGGGGGTTGCTGGTTGGGTCCCTATGCCAACCCCAATAATGTTGGCTTGAGTGGCCAGAATTATTGGGGGGGCCAATAATTGGGAACCCAACCTGTTGGGGGCCAATGATGGCAAAGATGGGAACCCAACTTTGGGAACTCAATCCCAACTAGGGTGGTTAACCCTAGTTTACACCCAACACTAATCAAACCCGTTATGTCTATCCAAACAATCTAGTCTATGCAGGATAAGAATAGAGAGATATTCTAACAGTTGCGTGGCGCTGTGATGCATGGGGGTGGTGCGTGGCGCTGTGATGCCTGGGGGTGTGGTGCGTGGCGCTTTGATGCATGGGGGGGGTGTGGTGCGTGGCGCTGTGATGCCTGGGGGTGTGGTGCGTGGCGCTGTGATGCATGGGGGGGGTGTGGTGCTTGGCGCTGTGACGCCTGGGGGTGTGGTGCGTGGCGCTGTGATGCCTGGGGGTGTGGTGAGTGGCGCTGTGATGCCTGGGGGTGTGGTGCGTGGCGCTGTGATGCATGGGGGGGGTGTGGTGCGTGGCGCTGTGATGCCTGGGGGTGTGGTGCGTGGCGCTGTGATGCATGGGGGGGGTGTGGTGCTTGGCGCTGTGATGCCTGGGGGTGTGGTGTGTGGCGCTGTGATGCCTGGGGCCCCCACCACATGGGTACCCGACCCGCACGGGTACTTTGCTCAAGTCTACCTGGGGGAGTGATGCATGGGGATGTGATGCATGAGGGTGTGATGCATGGGTGTGATGCATGGGTGTGATGCATGGGTGTGATGCATGGGTGTGATGCGTGGGGATGTGATGCTTGGGGGTTTGGTGTGTGGAGGTGTGGTGCATGGGGGTGTGGTGCGTGGGCGTGTATGGGGATGTGGACCTGACACCATCTATGTCATACCATCTATGTGCGTCCAAGTGATTTCATGGCTGTTCCGCCACCACCCTTCCCCCCCTGCACTCCCATGTAGCTGTCGTCTCGGCTGGCCATCGACCGCCACGAGGGGCGCTGGGAGAAGGTGCTTCAGACCCTGGACCACACCATGTCGCACCGCACTGCACCTGCTGCCTTTGCTGTTGCTGCTGGTGGTGCTGCTGATGTTCCCCCTGCGTCCACTGCAGCTGCACCCTCGTTGCAGTTGCAGTCGCAGTCACTGCAGCAGGGGGTGATGGCGGCACTGCAGCACATGGCGTGCTCCCACGTGCTGCAGGCGTACTGGCGGGGCACCGTCGCAGGTGCTGCTGCCGCCACTGCGGGCACAGCAGCAGGAGTGTCTGTTCGAGAGAGAGCGGACTTTCTAGAGCTCCAGGTTGAGCGTGCCTTCCAGAAGTTCTATCACTGTGTTTTCGTCACAACCTCGTGTCCCTCATCCCCTCGCGTACACTGACATTTCCCACATCCCTCGCTCCCGGGTATGGTATTGGACCTGGTATGGATAGCCATGCATATGGTTGAAGCTAGAAATCGTACATTCTCCCCATCCGCCCTGAAGCCCGTCCGCCCCTTCACTTCCTGCCTGCAAACGCCCCCTCCTGCGCTCTCGTCCTTCCCAACGTCCCATCCTGCCTGCCTGCAGTACGAAGCTGCGTGGAAGATGGGCAAGTGGGACCTGCCAGCTGCTCAGCTCGCAGGCTCGCCACAGGCACATGCCTCTTCCTTCTCCTTTGCGCCTTCCACAGTGGCACCTGCTAGCAGCACGCCAGACCTCAGCATCTCTCATGGCTGTGGTGCTGGCTTCCATGCAGCGCTGTACAGGTGTGTTGGGTTGGGTCCCAACCCAACCGTTGGGACAGCTCTGCGGTACACCACTACGTTAGGCACAAGCGCGTTTTAGTTGCTGTGTTTGCATGCATGCGCAGGCAGGCATGGTGGTACCACATCTGTAGCATGAAAAGTCCTGTCTTCTTCTCCCCACCTCGTCAGCGCTGCACTCCTTTTAACAAGGTCGCCCATGTGTCCTCCGACTCGCTATGTCACCAGCTTCCTCTCCACAGCCCCTTCCCTCGCTCTCTCCCACCCAATGCTCTCTCGTGTGTGACCCCTCTCTCGCCCTCCCCTCGCAGCGCCCTCAAAGCGCTTCACGAGGGCGACTGTGCGTCATCCGTGGCCACTGCTGCTGCCGCCCACCAGGTGCTCACTCACTCTCTGCGCTGCACCCACTCATGCGCACACGCATGTCTCAACAACCACACCCACACACATACACACACATGCACACATGCACACACATGTCTCAGCAACGCACTCCGACACACACACACACACTCCCAAATACCACGCTTTCACACGCACACTCCTGAGCAACCACACCCAGTCTCACGCACCCAGACATCACTCAACAGCCACACGCTGTGCTTATCCACGCCTTGTCTTCCACCCAACCCCATTGCTCTCCGCAGGCCATTGTCTGCCAGCTGGCATCCACGTCAGCAGAGAGTGCTCTGCACATCAACTCCCGTCTGGTACTTCTCCAGGTGGGGTCCTCTGGGTGGAATGTGCTGTCAAATCCTGCTTCTTTCTGCTCACGCCTAGTTTACTGCTCAGGCCTTTGATGCGCACATCCTTTCACCACCTTCATCTCGCCCCCTCGTCCTCTCACCCCCTCCTTCCCCTCCTCCATCCCCCCTTGCAATGCAGGCGCTGGAGAATGTTCAAGAGGCGGCATCTCTTAACCTGTCCTGTGGTTCCGGCCAAGCCAACCCGGCACTGCCAGCTCAGCAAACACAGGTGTGTGACACGTCAGCATCCATGGATCTTGGAGAAAATACTATGGCGCCGCGTTTCGCCAAATGCTCGCGTTTTTACAGCGTGCCGTGCAAGCACTTTAAGGGTTCCTGCAACGCGGGTGTATCTTCCGAATGCCAGCTCAAGCTGCAACGATCTCCAGCCTTTCTTCCCACGTCGTCTTACCAGCTCTCCTGCAACCGGTGCCCCTTTCACTCCAGACTGCTTGGTTGTGGACCATTCATGCTCTGACCACTTCATACCGTGGCTTCATGCCCACACCCTTCCTCCCTCCCACCCTCTCCCCCCACCAGTGGCAGCTGCACACGTGGCAGCGCCAGCTGGCAGCATGTGGGAGCAGCTTCCGGCTGCAGGAGCCGCTGCTGAGCTGTCGGGGGGCGTACCTGCGGGCGACCAGCCAGCATGCTGCGCTGCCGCTGCACCTGCTGGAGGCCGCCAGCCTGTGCCGCAAGGTGGGGATGGGATGGTGGGGGAGGGGGGAAGGTGGGGGGGGACATGGTGGGGTGGCGCAAGGTGGGGTGGTGGTATGGCATGCTGCACTGTGCTCACTGTCTTCATGGACTCGCCTCATTTTTCATCATTTTCTTCCAAACTTGGGTCCAATCAACTTCTGTGTAGTTTTCTACGTACATCGAACCTCCACCTCTTCCTCATTTTCACGAGATTTTCTCCAGTTCTCTGGCTGTTTTTCTCAACTCTTGGCCACATATGTTACCCCAGACTCTCTGCTCCAGCAAGCTACAGCAGTGCATCACATATTGCCCGTTCTCCCTTCCCTTCCCTCTCCCTTCCCCCATTCCTCCCTATCTCTCCCTCCCCTCCCCCCTCCCCCCCCAGGCGCACCTGGTGAGCCAGGCCACAGTGCAGGTGCAGTGCCTTAAGGACGCGTGTCGCAGCCTCACAGCAAGCGACCAGTCAGCCAGCTCTGCGGCGGCGGGCAGTGGTGTGTGGGCGTGGGGCGTGGAGGGCGTGGGGTTCTGTGGGCGTGTGGAGGAGGCGAAGCTGCTGGCGGCGGAGGGGCGGCAGGACATGGCGGTGCGCCTGCTGCAGCACCTGCTGCGCGCCGACCTGCACTCCACTGCCTCTCACGGGACCAATGCGCCCTCCGCCTCTCCTGCTGCCACTGCTGCTGCATGCGTGCCCGTACCAGACCGCGTGTACACGCTTGGCTTAGCAGCCAAGTGGCTCGGGGAGACTCGCTCTATCAGGTTCTAGAGAAGAGGGAGGGCGAGCACAGTATGAGTGTGTGTGATGTTGTGTGATGTAACTAGCAACTCCGCCTGATGTGACGAATTCTGTTTGCAAGTGTCTGTCTAGGCGTGAGCATTTATCGAGAAGTGTCTGGTGATGAAGCAGTGCGTCCATCCCGCCTGCCACTTATCAACTCTTTGACCTTGGCGCGCATCTCGTTGGCAGCTCGTGGCACCCACGGCACCTGATTCAGCCGGGGTGGCCTCTGAAGGCACAGAATGAGTCACCTGACTCCATTTCTCTCCCTCGCTTCCTTCCCTCCTCTCTCCGCCCGTCCCCCCCCCCCAGCTCGCGTGTGGTGCTGAGCGACTACCTGTGGAGGGCGGTGGACCTCACAGTGCTATCCCAGCTCGACTCCTCCTCCGCTGCCTCTGCCACCCAAGGCTACACCTCCTTCCCCTTTGCCGCCAACTGGCGCCAGCAGCAAGAGGAGAGGCAGCGAGAGCACCAGGTGCAGGAAGGGCGGAGCGAGCAGCAGGGTGGGGAGAATGGGGAGCAGCAGCAGCAGGTTGGGCAGCGGCAGCAGCGGTGCGTGGTGTACTTCCAAATGGCGCGCTACGTGGACGGGCTGTTCGTGGTGCTGCACGCGCGCCTGCACTCCCAGCAGTGGCAGGCGGCGCAGGACCTGAGGAAGCACAAGGTGAGACACAACGTGGAGTGCATGGCGGCGAGAGTGGTAGCGTGGCTGGAAGCAGGGATGCAGACTCGATTAACATTTCACACAAAACAATATCTGCCCTCACAGTCAGGCTGCTGAAGTTAGTACTTGATAGCGTGTTTGTTGCTCTTACCTGCCCAACCCTCAATCACCCATGCTCTTGACCGTCCCCCCTCACCCCTCTCCGTGGCATGGCATGGCATGGCATGGCAGCGGAAGGAGGTGGAGGAGATGACGAAGCGAGTGAAGACTTCCAGAAGAGTGAGTGCTGCCAGCTCACACTGCTCGCTTCCCACATTTCTGCCCTCTGTTGAACTGCACCCCACACACTCTCACACATATCTGACCCTGCATTCACTGTCAAGTCAACCAAACTCAATGCACCTCGTTCTTGGGTCAGGGCAAGCTTCTCGCAATTGCGATTTGGTATTTCAAAGCGGCCATAACAGCATGGGTTCCCATAATCCGTGTGAAGGTGATTGGTTGCCCTGGAATCCACCTTGCCTGCACGGCAGGAGGAGGAGCGGCGGGTGTACCAGGCGAAGATCATGGAGCTGCAGAAGCAGCTGGCCGTGGACGACAGCGAGGCCACCGAAATGCAGGTGCGCCGCACCCGTCAACCTCACTCTCCTCACGTGCACCTGTTACGATTCTCTAGAAGCTCTCCTCCTGGAAATGCACGTCACTGCATTTCCTCCTTCCCTGTCAGCAGGTGCAAGTAGGCATGAGCACAGGCCTGGCCTTGCCCGATTCTGCTCGGCCTGACCCTGGTTCGGGCCGACTTTGGGAACTTCTTACTCGTGCCCGAGTTTAGGAATCGCATGCCATTTTTGTGCTGTATTGCTGCACGTGGTGTGCAGGGCGAGCACGACATGTACCTGCGGGCTGCTCTGGAGAATTACAGGGAGTGCCTTCTGGCGGCTGACACCTACGACATCAAAGTGGTAATGTGTCCAACACGCCTGTGAGATCTTTGCGAAGTCCGTGTACCCTGAGGGATTTGAAGTTGCGATCCCCTTTGCTTCCACCTTCACTCCGTGCATGCGTGCGTGCGTGCGTGCGTGTGTGCGCGCACACGCAGCTTCCTCTTCACAACGCCCCTACTGCTCACTCCGCCCACCGTTTTGACGGGCATCCTTTCCGCTAATCCCTCCGTCCGTTTCTCCCTGTGTCCCCCGCTCACCCCGCGTATTTTGAGTCATTAAGCGTTAGGGTGGGCAGCAGCGGAGAGGAAAAACTTTAGCAAAAGAGTGACAGTTTAAAAAGATACCCCTGTTCAAAAACCGAGAATTTGAAACTCCGAACTCCGAATTTTAATCTTCTAGTGGAGTTGAGTTCGGAGTTTCAAATTCTCGGTTTTTGAACAGGGGTATCTTTTTAAACTGTCACTCTTTTGCTAAAGTTTTTCCTCTCCGCTGCTGCCCACCCTAACGCTTAATGGCTACAAGTTTATTTTGAGTCGACTCAAAATACAACCGTTTCTCCCTGTGTCCCCCGCTCACCCCGCGTGCAGGTGTTTCGGCTGATGGCGCTGTGGTTCACGCTGCTGAGCGACGACACCGTGGACATCGTCAACGCCCAGATGCTCAAGACCATCCACACCGTGAGCCATCACCTCTCTTTCCACGCGCTTGGATTGTCAATGGTAGCCTGCAAGGCCCGCACGAAGTTCTATCGGGCAATGCTGAGGTTTATGATAGATTTCCTAAGCTCCGATTCTTAGGAATGGGAACAACTTTGTACCAGCGAGAGAACTTTGGAGGGGAACCCAGTTCTTGCAGCTAGTGGGGCTGGTTGGTTGGTTGGTTGGCCAACACCCATGTGGTGTGGGGAAACACATCAAAGCTGACTGCACCCCGCATGTGGTTTTGGGAACAAGATCTACAAATGGGGTTCCCCCAACTTCGTTGCTTCTAAAACTGAGTCTACCTTAATTAGTGAGTTCACCCTTTTCACACTCATTACTAGCAGATCGTGGTTTGTATGAGGGGAGATGGGAAATCAGTTGGGCATAACAATGGCTGTACACCGGTTTACAGGTGCCGTGTGTTTTTTCTTTTCTGGAAGGCAAGTTTAAGAATGCAGCACTTATGGTTCTGCTTGAAAAGCTTAACAATTTTGGAGAGTGGTTTGTAAAGATCTATCCCTTTCTGGTATCTCGTTACCTGTTCCTGTCATTTGATGTCGCATGGTCGCATGCAAGATTCCTTTAACAGCGATAAAAAAAGGTTTTTGAAGCTCCGAATACTTCTGAATCTCTTAGATGCAGAACCCATGCACCCTTGCGCTGTATTTAGCACAGCAACGCCTCCCTTGAAGATTGGGGTCCAGTGGCTATCCATAACCTCACGTTGCACATGCGCCATCGCATCGTTTGCCATTCTCCCCGCTTCAAATTCCGCCCTCCCCCAGGTGCCGTCGTACAAGTTCCTCCCCCTCGTGTACCAGATCGCATCGCGCATGAGCGAGCACGACGCACACGGCTCGCCGCCAGTGGATGCGGAGAAGCCCGACTTCCAGGTGGGCGCTGGGCGGCACGCTCTCGCTTGGCTGTGCACGCACTCGTGCTCGCATGCGGTGCTCGCATGCTGTGCTCGCATGCTGTGCTCGCATGCTGTGCTCGCATGCTGTGCTCGCATGCTGTGCTCGCATTCTGTGCTCGCATGCTGTGCTCGCATGCTGTGCTCGCATGCTGTGCTCGCATTCTGTGCTTGCATGCTGTGCTCGCATGCGGTGCTCGCATGCGGTGCTTGTTCAGCCGAAGAGCGTCATTCATTTCCCTCACTGATTCATTTGCCAGCTCATGCACTGATGAAGGTGTTGTGGGTCTGATCCCCACCACCGAAACATGTTTGCTTGTTGATTCAATTCAAGGGCTGGTTGAGAAACTTTTTCGAGTTCACCTATTTTCTGAGGGTACAAGTTTTCTAACTGTCAGTTTTTTGCTAACGCGACCTTCCTACGCTGCTGCTACTCTTCCATGACAACTAATCCCTAGAGCGTCATTCATTTCCCTCACTGATTCGTCTGTCTTGCTCTGCTGGTTGACTTTTCTTTCACCACTTGTACGTGGGCAGCTGTACATGGGCACCGACATGTGGGTAGCCATCGTCTCTTCTCTCTAGTTCTCCTCCTCCTGTCCAATCACAGCCACAACTGTCATGCTCCCTCTGCTGTGCTCCCTCTCCGCTGTTGTGCCCCCATCACAGACAGTGCTGACGACTCTGGTCAAGCGAATGGCAGACGACCATCCCCTGCACACCGTGCCTGTGGTATGCACTAATGGATCACGTTGATCCATATTCTGAACTACCATTGTCAGTGATTCGTCTTGGTACGATGCATGCAGCAATGTGCGGCATGATCCCTCCCTTGCATGGATCAGATGGTCCCCTCCCCCCCCTCCTCCACCGTCCAGCTGTTGGCGCTGGCCAACGGCAACAGGGTGCGCACCACACAGCGCGGCCGCAATCTCTTTGTTGTGGACGAGGAGAAGATCCAGGCGGCAAAGGCTGTCCTTAGTGGCATGGCTGAGCGGCACAAGCCCTTGCTGGCCGAGGTAAGAGGAGGCACGATCCGCACCATGACAGTGTGAGGCCACATTTCTTGCTTTCCGCCTGCCACAACAGGTGTTGTTTACCATCTCTCCTTTCTCTCGCGCTTGCATTTTTTCCACTTGTGTCTCGACCCTGGTCAACCCCCAGATGCAGCAGCTGATGGACCTCTACATTCGCCTTGCGGAGATGGAGACCAGCAAGGAGGTGCGTGGGGTGCGGTGGAATGCGGTTAAATGGGTAAACAGGGGAGTGGGAAGGGATAGCATGAGATAGAGGAATGGTGATGGTCGTCTACATGTCTTGTTTTGTGATGCCCTTGTTGTATGCCATCACTGCCAGCCTGCAATTTGCAGCAACCATCTTCCTTCGCCTCTGCTGTCCATTCTCCTCGTATCCCCTTCTGCATTCCCCACCAATCCATCCCTCCCACCCACCTAAGGATGTCCTCCGTGCGAAGCAGCTTCCAAGAAACTTTCGCAGCGTTAGAGACCTCTTGCTGGTGAGTCGTTTTCCATTCCAAGGACTCCGGTGTGTCAGTCAAGCCAAGTCTGTGTTTGCCCCAGTCACATTCAGAACTGGTTTCTGATGTTTTTGTGATTGAGCTTTTCTGTATTGAGTGTGATGCGTGCGGGATGATGAGGAGCAAGGCAAGGGCCATGGCTCAGCCACTCTTGCTGCGGGTCCCCTTCGTGGACCAGTCGCTCTCATGCTCACGCACAGCTAAGTTGGCGCTTCATCTTTCTGTGTCACGGTTTGATTGTGCTACTCCTTCCCCAGGTGCCTGTGCTCACAGCGTGTGTGCCAGTGGATCGCACATGCCGCTATGCGCAGGGGTCCTTCCCTGCCTTCTGCGGGCTCAAGGACACCATCAAGTGAGCACGGCACGCACACCCATGGCGTTACGTAGACATGAGCAAAACCAGGTAATTACCCGACCCGACCCAGTTTTGCCCTACCCGCAATCGGGTCCGGGTCGGGTCGGGTTGGGTAATTTCCGGGCAATGTTTGGAGGTCTGTTACCCGACCCGGCATTTTAATACCGGGTAATTGGGTACCCGTCTGGCGGGTCGGGTATACCCGACCCGCATTTAATTGAAGTCGGGTAATATTACCCAGGTACCCATAGGTGGCTGTAAATTTCAGCAAACCCGGAGTAACAAACCCGAAGTCGGGTCGGGTACCCGCGACCCGACGGGTAATAAATTACCCGACATTTCGGGTAATTCTCGGGTAACGGGTATGCATTACCTGGCCCGAGTACCCGACCCGACCCGGCCGGGTAATTCGTCAAAATCCTATTACCCGACCCGGCCAAAATGTCGGGTCGGGTCGGGTACCCGCGACCCGACCTTGTAAAATGCTCAAGCCTAGCGTTACGTGCACCTGTATCATTATTCTTACACAAAGCCAGCACCCGAATGTGGCATGAGGACTAACAACTCCACACATTTCACCGCGTGTCCTCTCGTTGTGGTTCGTCCCCCCTCACCACCCGCTCTATCCACCACTGCCGTCCACGTGATGCACAGCATGAATGCCCCAAGCTGCTGGGCTGATTGGCGCGTCCCTCCACCTCAAGCATCCCACCTTCCGCCCTCCCGCCCCACCGCCCTTCCTTCCACCTTCGTGCGGAGCAGGGTGATGCACGGGGTGAATGCGCCCAAGGTGGTGGAGTGCGTGGGGTCGGATGGCTGCGCGTACAAGCAGCTGGCCAAGTCAGGCAACGACGACCTCCGGCAGGACGCAGTGAGTGCCCTCCAGCTGCCTTGTGGGTCTACTCAAAAGTCACCTGGACGCAGTCAGTGTGCTTGGCTGGTTCCATGTTGAACGCTAATTCCACATGAGATGATGGCTAGGAACATGCCCCCTAATGACTGCTACGAGCGTGCCTTTTATCGAGTCTACTCAGTCCACACTTATCATCTATCTCATCCTGCCTCGTCGGTCTGTCGCCTGCTGTGCGTGGAAGTGGCCTGTAATGCAACAACTCTGCCCGTCTCCTCCCTTCTCTTCTCGTGTCTCCCCGGTGTTGTGTTATGGCCCGGCCTCTCAGCACCAGCTTGTTATGACCTCGTATTCCCCCGCAGGCCAGGCTGTCAGTCTGATTCCCCTCTTTCCCCGCCCGGCTCTCCCTGTGTGCACATGGCGGCAGGTGATGGAGCAGCTGTTCGCACTCGTCAACTCGCTGCTTCAAGCCCATGGCAGCGCCAGCAAGCGCCGCCTCGCCATCCGCACCTACAAGGTGAGACGGCCATGTGGTTGCATGGGACTTGTGTGAGCCAGCCTGTACGTTCCTTGACAGCCATCCATGCATCCCTGTTCTTGACAAACGAGCCGCATGTGTGAGAGTGGCCAGATGTGTCAAGCTCGTTATCCATGCTTCTGTTCAAGGGACAGACTGTGCTTGAGCTGAGCATCGTCACACAAGAGCGAGGTGGTCTTAGAATGCCTTTCTACCACCGTGTCGCAAGTCGTCCCTTCACACCTATCACTGCCACCTCCCACTGCCTCCTGCTCCTCCTCCCCGTGCCCCACCGCCCTCGCTCTCAGGTGGTGCCCTTCACGCCCAGCGCGGGAGTGCTCGAGTGGGTGGACGGCACACTGCCGCTTGGGGAGTACCTTCTGGGAAGGTGTGTGCAATGTCCGAGCGAGCTGTGTGGCGAGCATCGCTGTGTGATTGGAGGTGCTTGCCTGTGCGTGCATGCAGAGGCGCTCACAGTGCTTGCATGCATGCACTGTGCACGGGCAGTCATATGGAGTGGCTAGCACTGTGGAGCTAGTCTCCATAGTTGACAGCTGCGACTACAGAAGTGACTATTTAAGTGCATTCGCTGTTGTTCCGCTGCCCCTGCCATACACGCTCGCCTTTACACATCCTGCCTCACTCTCCACCATCCCCCCTTCCCGTGATCGTCACAAAGGGGCGCATGCATAATACCTTGCCATTGATTGCCTTCGGTGTAGTTCCCTACTGCCTTCCCTCTTCCCTCTCCCTTTCCCTCCTCATCACCACCTTCCGTTCCCCACCTGCCCAGTTCGCGCAAGGGAGGCGCGCATGCGCGGTACGGTGGCGCGGATTGGCCCTTCATGACGTGCCGTGAAGTGATGACCAGGGTGAGGCGTGTGTGGGGGCATGGTTTGCCGATCATGGGTTGTGGGTAATGCTCGTTAGACGGACCATGGATCCTGGCAGGTGCTTCAGGAGTGGGTCATGGGTCTCTGATGTTGCTGAGGAGTTGGAGCTGCCAGGGGCAAGGGTTGATGGTGTTTCTGTGATGTTGCTCTCGTCTCAGCACTGCTATGTGGCGCTTGGCTTGGAGCATGTTGGCTTACTGCCGACTGCGCCAGCCATGCATGCAAAGTCACGCCACTCCTTGCTGTTCCGCCTGTGCCGCCATTCGCAGGAGAGGGACAAGAAGCAGGCATTCGACAAGGTCCTCCAGAATTTCCAGTGAGCCCCTCATCCTAGTCATGGAGCTCTCTATGTGAATCTTTCGCCGTTGTGTAGTGTAGCTGCATCCATTGTGTTTCTCACTGCATGTTGTTCTGGCATTACTGGCATGATAAGATTATTTTGTGCTGTGGATGTCGGAAAGTTGACATGAGCAAAGGGCCGAGATGGCCCCGAGCAGAGTGCGTCGTCTACAAGCTGCGACGCAGCTCAAGTCAAGCTCGTCGAGCCAAAGGGCCAGGCCTGGCTCGTCCATTTTCTTGCCAAGTCGCGGCTCGACGAGTCATTTCTGCTCGGCTCAACTCGAGCCGAGAGGCAGAAATTGGCGGCTCGGTCCGTGATCAATACGAGCTGGGCCGCCAAAGCTTGCCGCGACTCAGCCATTCTGCCCATGCGGACCAGGTTCCTTGCTGCACTCTCACCCGCCCCATTCCTTTCCCCCGACCCTGCACTGCGTTGCCCCACCCCCATGCCCTCCTCCGCCAGCCCTGTGATGCGCCACTTCTTCCTCGAGCGCTTCCTGCTACCCTCCGACTGGTTCGACCACCGCCTCACGTACACGCGCAGCGTGGCTGCCACCTCCATGGTGAGCCCACCATTCGCAAGGGAGCTAGCAGCCCTGTCAGCCCGGTAGCGCTGCAGCTGCGAGAAGCGGTGGTGGGTATATAACATGCCCCATGTGGCACGCGGTGGGGCATGGCAGGTGGGCTGGAAGGTGAGGTGTTGCAGGTTGATTCTCTTGTATTCCCCTCCACCAAAACGCTGTCCCTCTGTTCCATTCGCTCCTGTATGTGGTGGTATTGAGAGCTTGGGTCGGCTCAGGTTGGTTCATACGGACTGGGTGAACAGCCTTCAAGCGAGCTTCTAGGATCAAACTCTCGTCCCCCCATGCTTAAACCATAGTTTCTGCCCCAACCCGGTCCATGGCAGGTGGGGTACGTGGTGGGGTTGGGCGACCGACACTCGATGAACATTCTGCTGGACGAGCGCACCGCCGAGGTGGTGCACATTGACCTGGGGATAGCCTTCGAGCAGGGCGCCATGCTCAAGACGCCAGAGAAGGTTAGACTGGGACCTCATGCTCTAGTGCCCACACAGGTGAGAGCGCTTGATGTTCAAGTCGCAAGGCAGCACGTACATTGGAGGCTGGGGGATAGTACGCTCATTGGTGACTCCACTTGTCATGTGTGCTCACAGCGTCAGATGGCCCCTAGCTAGACATGGTTAAATGCGATGCGATGCCATATCGCATCGCATTTTGTCATATCGCGCGTGATATCGCAGCGATGCGATATCGCATCACTGCGATATTCTGTTTCAAAAGTTGAAATCGCATATCGCGATTTAGGGTGCGATGTTAAAAAATATCGCACCCATAAATGCGATACATCGCGCGATGCGAATTAATATCGCATCGCATTTAGGGGTCGGAGGAGAAAAGCAGAACGACAAGGCCGGCTTTCCTAGGTGCGCGAGGAATTAGGTGAGTGAAGTTTGACGGGAGAATGAGATATCGTGGCCCCTCTCCGATGTAGAGCGTGTTAGATCGCGTTCTGAAGTTTGGCCGAGTTGAAGTTTTGCCGTCCGACTCGCCACGTCAGCGAAAGTTTGGCCAAAGTTTGAGGTTTTGGTTGGCAAAAGTTGTGGTAGGTGAACTTTGGCCAACCTTTCTGCGAAAAACTAGGCGACCAGCCCTCGACATTTTGCGAACAGAGCCCCATCGCGCCAAATCAAATCGACAGGCGATCCGCAGAATGATATGCAACAGAACACAATCTGGGTCGCAGAGGACTGCGACACCTGACGGCCAGCTTCCAGATAATTTTGGAAAAGTTGTCCTGAAAAAAATTCACCAAATTTCCACCAGAATAAAATGTTAAAGCCATTAAGCCAAGCAGTTCAACGGAAGGTAGGTTGGTTAGGTGGAAAGAGGGGATTGGCTGTCAGGCAGCACTTCCAGGGATCTTCCAACCAAAGATACGCAACTCGAAGAAGTTAACACGCGTGTTTTAAGTCTATCTCCTTCTGGTTGGGGTGTTGATGAAGGCTTTGGTGAAGAAGCGTGGAGCATTCGCAATTTGACGGCTGTTCGTGCGCCGGGCAGGTTGGTGCTGCTTTTGTGGCTTGGTCGACGTCACATTTCTTTGGCGTGGCCGGCCAAGTATGCAGAAACCAGGTTTCGCCCTCGGTCGCAGCTGTTCGTGGACCCCAGTCGCACGAATTCTGGCCGGCAAGGTGTGGAAGGGGCTGGTTGGCCAAAGTTCGAAGCGCACGGCCAAACATTGCAATATGCAATTCCGACGTGCAAAACTTCAAAGTTCGGCCAAACTTCAGAACGCGGCCTTAGAGGGGGTTGAATTCTGTAGATGCGGAGGAATTTAGTGTGGTTGAAGTGGTGGAAATCGGTGGGAATTCCAACCAATTGACTTAGTGGGGGTCGAGATTTCAATCAACCCCTAAATCCCTTTAACCGCACACCACCACATTCCATCCACCACCGCCCATGTCAAAATTTGAACCTCCAACCCACTCCCCTCCCCCATCTGCACTGCACTCCTTTTCAACTAGAATTTCCAACCCTTCCTCTCCAAGCTCCTCACAAACACCTCCCCGTCAATTACGCCAACCCCAAACAGCCGCGCGCAATTTCCGCACGCCATTACAACCAGAGAACCCTATTTTTTGCTAAGTTCAGGGCCGCGCCCATGTTCTTCCCCCTTCCTGGCACAATTCTGCGACGCGATATGTATGGCACGCGATATTTTAATATCGCATATCGCGTTTTATTGCGCTGGAAAATTGCGCGATATTATCGCATCGCATCGCTGCGATTTTTTATTCAAAACTTTTAAAATCGCAATCGCAGAATGCGATAAAACGCGATGCGATGCGATATACCCATTTCTACCCCTAGCAGGGGTCGTGAGATCCTAAAAGAGTTGCTTGTTTCATTGGGCATGGAGAACTCAAGCAATGACAGCTGGTCCGTTGATGGCTCAGCTTGAACGTCAGGTGCATACGTGCCCATCTTGCTCTATGCGCAAGCATGACAAGTCGAGTTCCAATAAGCGTACCGTTCTTCTGCTTCTGATGTACTTGCTGTCTGTGGGTGTGCACAAGTGTCGATGAGTGAACTAGAGGGCAAGAAAGTGTGTGCGCATGTCTGCACATGTGTAAAACGTCAGAAGGTTCAGACTAGTTAAATGGGGGCAATACTGTGCTCAAGAGTAAGGAAAAGAAGGATGTGTTTTAAAAAGAAAAACAGCTGCGCCAATGTGAACACTTGCTGCCCACATTTACAAGGGTGCATGATATGATGTGTTTTCTGATTCCAGCTGGGAGCGAGGCACCGCATACTGACAACTTGGAAATAAGATGAAGCTTGGAAAACTGAGCTCTGGTGTTAAGAGACCTAAACATAAAAAGGCCCGACAATGTAGGGGATTTGGGCCAGTGTCCTCCCACACTGATTATGAATGACTCCCTCAATCTCCTCCCTGTCGTTCATCTGCCAGGTGCCCTTCCGCCTCACACGAGACATCATTGATGGCATGGGAGTGTGCGGAGTGGAGGGGGTGTTCCGGCGGTGCTGTGAGGCAGTGCTGTCAGTGATGCGAGAGAACAAGGAGGCGCTGCTCACCATCATTGAGGTGAGTTGTGTGAGTGATGCAAGAGAGCAAGAAGGCCCTACTCACCATCATTGAGGTGATCTTTATAGTCAGTGCTGTCACGAGAGGGCGAGAAGGATTTCGTCTTGCCATCTCTGTGGCATGCGTTCACTGTCTATATTCCACGCTGCCCTATTGCAGGTGTTCATCTATGACCCTCTTTACAAGTGGGCACTCTCCCCGCTTAAGGCGCTGCATCGACAAAAGGTGCGTTCTTGCAGTCACTTGTTAACGCTACACGAAAGTTTCCTCATTTGTATTATGGTTCAACATGTTTACGTTTGTGTTATTCGTTTCTCAGACCTTTGTAATGCACTGTGCAGATGGAGGAGAGCGAGGAGGCACTGGAGGAGTCTGCGGGGTGGGAGGAGGAGAGCGGCGTGGCGATGGAGGGCAACGAGGAGGCCACGAGGGCGCTGCTGCGAGTCAAGCAGAAGCTCGAGGGGTTTGAAGACGGGGAGATGCGCAGCCTGGCCGGGCAGGTGGGGCACCCTGGCAGGGCAGGTGGGGAGGCCTGGCAGGGCAGGTAGGCAGCATGGTCGGGCAGGTGATGTATGCAACGGTCAAGGAGGGAGGCAGTGGTGTACTGCCGGGCATGTGCTGAAGGTGGTAAGTTGCATGCAGTGTCAGGAGGAACTAGATTGGGTTAGATGCATGCACATATAGTCACGAAACTATGTGAATGTATTCACGTGCCAATGTGTGCACGTGCCCATGTGTGCACGTGCCAATGTGTGCATGTGTGAATATGTGCACGTGTGAATGTATGCACGTGTGAAAGTATGCACGTGTGAATGTATGCACGTGTGAATGTATGCACATGTGAATGTATGCACGTGTGAATGTATGCACGTGTGAATGTATGCACGTGTGAATGTATGCATGCAGGATTGTGTTTCATACTTTCTTCTCAATCACCTGCTTCCACTCCACCTCCCAGCCCACATGTTGTTTCGTCCTCTCATGCTCATCATTCTTTGCCTTATGGTGCGTCCCCCATGTGCTGCCATCGCACCAGGTGCAGCAGCTGATCAAGGATGCACAGGATCCCACCCGCCTCGCCATCATGTTTCCAGGATGGGGAGCATGGCTGTAGCTTGGTTGTAGCATGGCTACACGAATAGTTGTTCGCATGGTTGTGGCTGTTCAGTATAGGTTAGACTCCACTCCTGTTCAGTATGGTTGTGGTTCCTATAGCTTCAAATATCTAATCTAGATAGTATATGATGACCCTCTCTAATAAAGTTCGGGATGAGATTTTTCAAGCCTCATTGAGAAAGAGGAGTTTCTGCGCTTTCCGAGTCCTCTATATCAGACAGATTTCAGTGTTGTAGCGTGAAAAAAATGAATAGGAGGGGAGAGGGAGGTGCAAGTACAAGGTATTGTACTCCCTAAGAAATGACCTACCTAGGTTATAACAAACATATCTAACCTAGATAGATATAAACACGTTTTTTTACACACCCCCTAGCCTAGGTAGAGGCTGAGTTAAACAAACCAGGGCAGCACTACCAGTCTGGCCTCTACTGAAGGTAACAAGTCAACTCAGGGCAGCACTACTAGTCTGACCACTGAGACAAGAGGTCACAAGGCCAGTCAGCCATTGTAGCAAGACATGCAGGTATAGCACGGCAAGTACAAGCAGGTATAGTATATATTAGAAACAAGGAGCACTGCTGCTACTGAGACTAGACCAAACTGAGTACACAACCGCTGATGGTCACAAGGCGGTAATGCATTGGTGAAGATATCACTGTGTTGGCGTCTGAGGCCACCTGTACCACACGAGCTTGACCGCGCTGCTGCAACTCACGCAACACGACGTACCGTAGCAGAATGTGCTTCGCCCTGCCCTTAAGTCGATCCTCCTTACACAGGAGGATCATGGCCCAGTTGTCAGCAAACAGGACCAGGGCAGACCTAGGCGGCTCACCTAAGTCAGTAAGCAAGAACATCAGCCAGCGGAGCTCCTGAGCGGCCACGGCCCCAGCGTAGATCTCGGCCTCACAACTGGACTGAGCTACAGACGACGACCTAGTGGACCTCCACGAGACTGCACCAGGACCAAGACTAAAACAGTAGCCCTGTAAGGACCTGAGCGTCTCCACGTGGTCAGCCTACAAAGGTCTGTGTGTCTAGTGAGCACCACCGACTCCCGTCCTCCTAGTACAAACCCCAGTCCTGAAGTACTCGCCAGATACTGCAGCACCCTCTCAGCAACCGACCAGTGAACTGTTCGTTGCCTCCCTGTCACAACAACGTGAGCAAGGGTACTGAGAGGGTACGCTAGATCTGGTCGAGTGCAGGTCATCAGGTACATGAGGCATTCCACCAGCTCTGCTTATGGACCATTAGGTTCTGTCGGCTCAATCGGAACAGGAGTAGAGAGCTTGTGGTCCACAGGCAGAGGGGTGGGCTGTGCTGAGGAGAACTGGAGACTGAACCTCTGAAAGATCTGGTGCACCATATGGAATTGGGAGAGTGTGATCATGCGAGCGGCACGGTCACGAGAGATCTCGAGGCCCAGATAGCGCCTCAGCTCCCCCAGGTCAATGCAGGTGTGCCTCCTACGTAACTCCGTCTGCACTGAGGCCAGTGTGTCTCTGTCAGGAGTAGCAAAGATAAGATCATCTACGTACACTAGAATATAGAACAGGGTCTGTCGAGTGCGAACAATGAGAGAGGGGTCAGCAGAGGATGGAAAGAACTGCAGCTCAGCAGGTGTGGTGCGAAGAGTGTTGTGCCACTCACAGGGCGCCTGATGCAGGCCGTAGGTCGGGCGGCTCAGGCTCCACCTGGTCCAAGGTGAGAAGGACTCAGAGAAGCCTAGTGGGCGCCGGAGGTAGATCTGCTCGTGCAAAATACCCTACACGAAGGCAGTGGAGAAGCTCATAGTCACGTTGCGCACCTACAGCAGGTGAAGGAGCACCCGAAGAGTAGTCATCCTCGGGGTAGGGGAGAAGATCTGGAAGAAGTCCACACCCTCTCGCTCAGTGAAGCCTCTGTTCACGTAACGCGCCTTGAACTTTGGCGGCTTTCCAGGTGCGCGCTTCACCCTATAGATCCACATGCCATCGACTACGTTCGCCCTAGGCGGGGGACCTACATCAACGTAAGTGTCTGTGGATCTATAGGATGCCATATCAGCCTCCATGACCTGTATCTAGACATGGTTAAATCGCATCGCATCGCCTTATATCGCATTTTGCGATAGCGATTTATCTTTTCTTTAAAAAGAATATCGCGGCAATGCGATGCGATAATATCGCGCGATATTTGCGATATCGTGTTTTTATCGCGCTATTCTTTGCGCGATAAAATGCGATTAGCGATAAAAAGATATTGCACGCGATAATTCCGCGTTTCGCGTCCCGGAATTTCGCCAGCAAGGGGAGGGACATGGGCGAGGGCCCTGAACTTAGCGAAAATAGATTGTAAGCTAGTCTAGGTTTCTCTTGCTGAATGGCACCCTGACGGATGGAGAACAGGCAGTACCAGAGACTAGAGCAGCAGTGTAGACAAGGTGGTGGCTAGCAGGGAAGTCAGTGACAGCAGTGACAAGCGCAGAGAAGGCCTCTGAAGGAGCAGTAGGGTCAGTGACAAGCAACGCAAGAAAGCGGGAAGTGGTAGGACGAGCAATGCGAGCAGAGTTAGACGGAGGAGCAGAGGACTGCGGGAGCGACGACGGAGGAGGTAATGGAAGAGCGGGGACTGGAGGAGCACGAGAATGAAGGACCACAGGGTGGATACTAGAACAACAAGAGATAGGACGAGCACTAGAGGGACAACGGACCCAGTGGGGAAGAACAGGTGCCTGGGGACGAGGAGGGAAGGGGGTCTGGATTTGGGGCGGAGGAGAGCGCGGGCGGAAACGAGCCGGAGAGGAGTTCGGAGGAGGGAACATCGGGTTGTAAACAGGGTCAGGTACAGGATGAAGGACGGGCGGTCGGTTAGGGGAACCGGAGGAAAGACCAAGAAGACAAAGAGCAGACTGCGGGCTCCTACTGCTCCCTGTCCTTCTCGCCTACCACTGGTACTCTCTAGAACAGCACCCCCAGGACTAGCACCACCAGACGCACCACTCGCAGAACCAGCATCCCCAGAGGCAGCAACCTAGAGCTAGCACCCCCAGAGCCCACTACCCCCTGGTGCTGCTGGTGCTGCGGCCGCTCAGTCTACTGCGGTGGCTGCGGCTGCTACTGAGGCAAGGGGGGAGGTGGCTGAGGTGCCTGTGGTACCGGGGCTGGGGGAGACACCACAAGGACAGCAGGCGCGCCCCCAGACTGAGGGTTGTGAGGCTCAAAGTAGTCAGATAAAATCAAGCCAACAAAGTTGTGTTTGAATAGCAGCTCCTCTGTACTTTATTCCACACACTCGTGAGCCTGTACGAGTGCATGTAGCAAGTATCCCATGTTAAAGTATTGGGACGTGTGACGCTCCAACTCAGGTTGCAGAATAGCATAGCGAATGGTGATAAGTCCATGCCTGAGTTGCCGTCAATAGAATTCAGCCGCACTGTAGCATGCTGTAGCGATGACAACTCTTCATGTGGTCAAGAAACCACCAAGCGTCCGAGGTTGACGTAGCATTTGTGTACCGGTCCATATACCATTGTAACGTTGTAACTGCTACGTGTCATTGCAAAGAGACTTGTTGCCAAGTGATTGTAGTAGGACGATGTCCCCATGCTCATCGGTGGATCATCAATCCATGGTCGTGATCAAGGAGATATGGGGATTTCTGCGCTCAACCCATTTGACTCCTCTTCCATTTCCAGTAGGTTGTTGGTGACGATAACGGTGACTCCAGTATGCCTCATACTTGTCTAGTTTAGCACGGATTCCATCAATTGGCCTCGGTGTCTGGATGCATGTATAGGTTTAGGTTCACTGGTCGTCATGCGTCTTCTATCCGTTGATGTTGTAATAACAACTTCGATAACATTGATGTCGTTTCAGCTACTCAGCATCGATGTTGAATCGGCTCCAGTTGTGCTTGTAAGCTGGAGTAACGTGGATTCCTCTATTCATAGTGGCCTTGGCACTCCGGAACACGCCTATCAGCTTCCATGGAGGTGATGTTGGTGATGGATTGGTTGGTGACACATGTTTTATGACTCCGTTGAAAGTCATTGGGCCGTGAGAACTCGAAGATAATCGTAGTCCTCCCATCCTCACAAGAGTCTCTTTTCTCTGAGCTCTAGAGGGCATGCGGTATAGCCACATTGGTCCAGGGCATAGTGGTATCTCCATTCCACTAGCTGGAAATCATAGATGTAGTGCCAGGCCGGGTCTTGGAATCATGCTTGACGAAGGTTCGGTGTTATCTCCATTGTTTGGAGGAATATCCATTAGGGTTGGGTGTTGTTGTATTTGTCTACTGTGACGGCAGCGACGGCGGTAGACACTCACGGCAGCGGCTGCTGCAGAGGATGCTCGTAACTCGTAACGGTTCGAAGAAGAATCCATTCGCTCTCTCTTCCGTGTAGAGCCTTCCTGATGGGTGTAAAAGTTGTAACTACCGGGGAACACGTATGTCATCATGCAGAGGTGTCACTCCATTGCTGCCGGTAATTGGGTCGTGCAAGGGTATGAAGATTACTTGCTTCTCCCCTTGTTGTATCCACGGGTAGCAACTGCCTGGTATGCTCATCCGTGCTCCTGATGTACGGTTGGTAGAGCGCGTAATTGTCTTGTTGCAATCTGCATCTCCCTCATTTGTCAACATCATCGTGATGCTAGGCATCTTCCTGCGTCGTTGAAGTTACGTCGAGGCTTGTAACGCTTCGGAATCTGGTAGAATCGCATCCAATACATGTACCGTAGGGTCGCAGGTATGTGAATGATTGCTGGATTCGAGGTCATGACTCCTCGGTCTGTCAACCCTCATGCCTTTGTGTGATGTCATTAACACCTGGAATCACGGTCACATGATTGGGATGTCGTCTTGAGATTGATGCCAAACTGCTCCAACCAATCACTGCGGACGGCTGAGATTCATAGTGAAGATGAATCGATCAGCTATTGTTACGAAGTAGTGTCTCGCTGTCCCTGACGAGACGTAGTAACTGCGTCGTAGTTGCAGGCGAAATCTGTTCCTTCACATTAACTTGTTTGGCGAGGATTTGCAAGAGAAAACGGCTACTTCTTTGCAATCCGTAGTATGCTTATTTGTTGAACTGAATGTCATTGTAGAGTAATAGTAGCAGGCCGGTTTCGTCATCGGAGATGTTCGGCTGCATTGTAAAACTGCTTCTTTGGTGAGGTACGAAATTATGCTTCGTTGGTATCGATCTGGCTTCAAACGACGATTCCGATCTCGTTGAAGGAATGTTGTCCATTCCGCGACTGATCGAGTAGTATGCAAATGCTGTGTCACGAGGCATGGACGTTGACTCCCGGACGTCGTTCTCCCGTCGTGTAGTCTCACGGTCCATTTATGTCGTCGATTCGCTGACGATCTGACGATCTGCGTGCTGCGACAGAGTTTCCGCCAGTCGATGTTACCAATTAGGTGTCTGTTGCCAAAATTCCTGACGTGATGAGGAGATCCGAATTCGGAGAGCTGGAAATTTCAGAAGTCTAATCGTCGAAGTTGATTTTGGCGTATATCTGTTTCTCTGCGTCAATGTCTTGTAAAGAAGAATCTAGCTCTCGATCTGGTCTGCTGGTTCAATGTTGATCTGACAGTCCAAACTCCAAGTGATCTGAAAATATTCTTGAGGCTCGTTCAGCTGCGTCGAAAGTCGGAGTTGACTCGTTTTCTGCGGCAGTTTGCAGACGTCAATGCCCTTTGTCGAATGATTGGACGCGCGTGAACAATCCGCTGCTATCGATGTGCCGTTTCCACACGCGTTGAAACTCGAACTCCATCACCTCAGGTTCGTTTTGCCTCGAACGATGTGAAGCGTCGACGTTGAATCGGACAGCCATCGTAGATCGTCGCTGGCGCAACTCCAAGATTCGCGGCAAAGTTGGAAATTCTTGGAAACGTCGCATGGAAAGTTCCACCAGCTACCGTCGATCGCTTCGGAGGGTAGAAAATACTCCTAATTTTAATGCATGTACTTCGAGGACGTCCTTTCATTGTCGAGGGCCACTGACGTGCCCTCCTGAAAAATCGGCTCCATCAATGTTGGATATCGGACGGTTGGCGATGGTGCTCGCCATCATTGGGGACCCTAGGTGCAACTGCTCGAGGTTAGTCGGAAATTATTGAGAAAAAATGATTTCACTTACGCGATCGAAAAGTTCGACTCCATCCTCGGCGTGCTCCTAGAGGCCCAGCGGGAAAGCGCTGATTGGGAACCTTGTGCTCTGATACCAAGTGTCACAGGTCCAGGATTTAACAGAAGCTTGAATGATACTGATCAAGAATTGAATCAAGAATTGAATGTCTACAAGCAAAGAGTCAATCCTATTTATAGATACGAGAACTCTAGGGAAAAGTAATTACGACCTTCTAAGAGAGTTCTAGAAATAAGTGGAACCGTCCATAGGAACAACACCTAGAAGCACAATAGGGATTTAAGAGATACGGTGACGGTGACGGAACACTCTACGCAATAGACGTGTCATGCAAGGAAAGTCCAAAATACTCCGTAACACAATTGATACATATGAAATATATCAATGTGTAGGAAAAAATGTTGGGATCTCCAGGAAAGGAAAAACATACAATAAATAGCAAATAGTTGTCATCAAGGATTCGGTAAGCCTCATCTTCTCACAGGGGCGAGGAAGAGAGGAGGAGAAGAAACAGGAGTTCTGCACTGATGGAAGCGCCTATTGTAGTTGAGTGTCTCGTCAAAGGTAACGTCACGAGAGCGCTATAAGCGGTGGTACACTGGGTGGTAAGACAGCAAGTTAGCAGCGTCAAGTGGAAACCCCAGAAAGACACTTGGAAAGGTCGGCGAAAATTGCGGCCACAGGGAGCGTGGCCACAGGTTAAGCTGGTGAGTTACGCAACACACAGCGAATGACCACAGAAAATGGGGTGCACCGGTGTAGACCAAGGAGGTGCGAGCTACCTCCATCACCAGGCTGATGCGTTGCTTAGCGAACCCATTCTGTTGTGGGGAGTCTGGAGGTGTGTACGTCTGGCAGATGCCCTCCGCACTACAGAATGGTCCTAGACGGCCAGAAGCGAACTAGTTATGGGTTCAAACAGCTAGCAGCCACGGAGGAGAACGGTAGGTACGTTGGCCTTCCGCTCCAGCCGGAACATCGTAGTGAAATGCGAGAAGTCTTCAACGACGGCTAGGATGTAGTGCTCCCGACTAAGACCATGGACCGGGGCAGGGCCCCAAACTTCTATGTGCAGTGTCTGTAGTGGTGCTAAAGGGAGGAAACGAGGAGGAGTCAGGGGTGGCGCGCTGCCGGCCCTCGACACAGGAGGTGCACAGGGGCACTACCAAGACAGGCAGGGCTAGGAGCGATGCAGGAAGACCCGGTAGATGCACCAACAGGTAGGGACTAAGTGTGCAGTGTGAAGAGACCCGACGTGGAGTCACGCTCGAAGATGGCCAGACGCCTACCTGTGGCTGTGTCCGTACAGGCTGCATGTTTCTCAGAGACAGGAAACGTGGTGGTGACTCCTAGGTTCTGGATGTGACCTACACCAACTAAGTTCATGGCAAATGAGGGAATGTGCAAACCTGTGACGGAGCCAGAGGGGACAGGTTATAACAGTTCAGAAACAAAATTCGGATGTTAGATCTTGACGTTCATAGGTAAACGCATTACGCGAATTCGTCGTATGAAGCACAGGAATACAATACATTTTTCGAGATCTGAAATAAACACTAAGGTTTGTTTCTACCTCAAACCCACTCAGTCCCCATGCTCCCTTGGGTACTTGGCAGGGGTGCATCACTGCCAAGTTCCGGGAGTCCTGCCAGCCCTGCCTAGCTGAAACCCATTGCGAGCTATTTGAAGTTAGACGTTGGCTGCTCGGTTACAGAGACCTCAAGATGCAGCACCTTGAGAAAAAAGGAGTTGCAACATGTCGGTTGGGCTTTAAGCAGCAGCTAGGTATCTCACGTACCCTGGAGCGTTGGGTTTCTTAGGGTTTTGCCCGAGCTTCTGGGAGCTGTTTGTTCTTGGAGGGGGGAGAAGTGCAGGTGCGCTGCAGATTTCGTCTGACCCTTCTGGCGTATTCCATCATCCATATTCGACTGCCATTCGTCACCATTACGTTTCCGCACCTGATTTCGTCACTTCGTTGAAGGAGTTCGCTGACTTTCGTGGGACACGAACGCATGATCTTGCACGTGACTTGAACAACCTCGCGTTTTGATGAATGGGTTCTTCACTTCATCGTCCACGTCATTTGACAGTTCATCATTACTCGGAATATACATCAAGCAGGCGTCATCATCAATCGCCCACTTGCCCGTTCGGTCAGCTGAATGATTCGACCTTCTTCGACAGCTCAGATTGAAAACGATCATTTCGACGCTTTCTAGCCATCGATTTCAGTTTGACCTCAAGACCTCGTCAGGCCGGCGTAATCATTATGCTCGTCACAGAGATGAAGACTTACAGTCATATCGGGGATTACTTGTAATGACTGTTCAGCCTCGATAAAGGGAGTGCCTTCCTTTTAGAAGGTGGGAGAGTGTAAGGAATTACGATTCCTTACTGGGGCTCACTTCAGTGAGTACACGCGAACAGTTCGTGTCCGCAAGCTCGGCCCTCGGGTCACTCGCCAAACTAGCCCCCGCCGATCTCGATGGCCCCAAACTCATCCCAAGTCGCCCCGAACCCATTTTGACCCAGTCACCCTCGTGACTTTTGAGCCCTTGACTGGTCCAACCCTCAACATTCAACCTTGGTCTATCGCCCTATATATTGCCTAGGCCTCATTTCTATCGACAATCTGTAATCACGTTCCCCAATAGTATTCCGCATTATTGTTATGATATAGGAAGTGTCAATGGAATATAACGTAAGAATACAAGGTCGCTATTGGCGTGCTAGGGCAATAACCTCAGAATGTGGGTAGGTTCGGCAATGTGGCGACAGTGCCGGATGCGACGCGGGGAAGGGTTGGGCCGACAAATGAGGCCGAACGTGATGGAAATGAGTATGGAAATTCCTTACACTACCCCCCCCCCCCCCCCTCCTAAACGAGGCCGCGGGCATATGAAACATTCCGATGCTGATCATACGCCATTAGAAGCGGGTATGATTCTATATCAGTGAAGGGCACCCAGGTGTCATCCTCAGACGTCCAATCGCGCCATCTGACGCAAAAATCCACCATTCAACAATTCTGCTACGTTATGATTCGATGGCCTAGAATCTTCAGGGGCTCGGTCGTTGGTTCCTACAGGGGTGTCAGCTGCGGAACGATGTGCTGACATGCCAAATCTGACGAGCTGGGGACGTAGGGTCGTAGTAGGCTGACGTGGAAAGCCGGGTGGTAATGCCAATCAGCCGGTAGTTGGAGGTGATCTGTGACAGGTGTGACCATATTGGTCATTTGAAAAGGGCCACAGAAGCAGTGTCAGAGTTTGCTTGGGATCGGCAGGCGCAAGTTGCAAGTGTCGAGTAGTACGAGATCTCCCACTTTGTAAGTGACGTCATGCCGATGACGATCAGCTTGTCGGCTTTCGACCAGGTTGGCTTTTCGGATTGCTTCAGCTGCTTTTTCTCGGGCTGCGAGAATGTCTTCGGCAAATCTCTGGGACCAGGACACGGGTGTCTAGATGTTCGATATAGAGGGTACCACCGAGGCCTGTCCATAATTGAGGAAAAATGGAGATTGATGGGTTGTTGCGGAAGGCGCGTTATTAGACGCGAATTCTAGTAGCGGAAGGGATTTCTCCCATGTGGGCCAGTGCAGGTAGTCCGAATGAGTTGCTCCATAGTTTGGTTAGCTCGTTCATTCTGCCCTTGAGTCTGTGGGTGGTAGGCTGAGGAAAACTGTAGTTTGGTGCCGAATTGGTCCCACAGGAAAACTGTAGTTCGATGTGAATTTTGGGTCTCGGTCTGAAATAATGGCGGTGGGCAGTCCATGCAGTCTGATGACGTTGGCGAAGAACAATTGGGCAGTTTGCTCAGCTGTAATTTTCTGTTGGCAGGCGATGAAGTGCGCCATTTTCGTGAGTCGGTCAACGACCACGAGGATGGCGTCGTTTCCGCTGGGACCGGCCGGCAGTCCTATCACGTAGTCCATTGTGACGTGTTGCCAGGGTCTCTTGGGCAGATCCAACAACTGTAGGAGTCCGGCTGCTCGCTGATGGGATGATTTCATGATCTGGCAAGTGGTGCAGGAGGACACGTACTTGCACACGTCGTCCGCCATGTTCGGCCAGTAATAATTGCGCTGCAACGTCTTCATGGTTTTGTCGACTCCAAAATGCCCCGAGGTAGGATTGTCGTGGGATTCCTTGATTAAGAGGGTATGAATTAAGTCGTAGCCGGGAACCCAGATGCGGGAAGTGTCGCGCCTATTAAAGCAATGTCCGGTGGCGGTAGTATGCTGTTGGTGAATGGCGGAGGGGAAGAATAGGTCGATCTTGTAGCCGTGGGTAAATAGTCCGATAAGGAGTGGGCTGGTTTGGGCAACTAGTATGACAGTTGTGTCGGCAGTGGGTCGGGTCAAGGCGTCAGCAATGTTGTTGGCACCCCGTTTGTAGATGATGGTGTAGTGGAAATTTGACTCGAGGAAATCAAGCCATCGGATATGTCGCGGGTTGAGGTTCGGTTGGGCTCGCAGGTATTGGAGGGATTTGTGGTCAGTTCGCACAATGACGTCAGCGCCTGTCAGGTAGCACCGCCAGGTCTTGAACGCGTGGACGATCGTCAACATTTCCTTGTCGTGTACCGTATAATTTTTCTCTGCGCTCTGCAGCTTCCGTGATTCGTAGGCAACCGGCTGTAAGCCTTCGCCAAAATCCTGTAAAAGAACTGCGCCGATGGCGATGTCGCTAGCGTCAGTGATGACTTCGTATGGACAGTCACGATCGGCGATGCGAAGGAAGGGCGGCGATGTGAGGGTGATCTTCAGTTGGTCAAATGCAGCTTGCTGCTTCTCTTCCCACCAAAAACAATCGTGATCCCTGAGTCGGCCAGTTAGCGGGGCAGATAACCCAACCATATTGGGTATAAATCAGCGGACGTAGTTGACGAAGCCCAAAATACTCTACAGCTCCTTGATGTTGCTTGGCGGCTTCCATTCCTGTATTGTTTTGATTTTCTTGGGGTCGATTTTCACTCCTTCAGTCGAGACGATGTAGCCCAGAAATTCCAACTCCCGCTTAAGAAAGTCGCACCTAGACCCTTTGGTGATGAGGCGATTATTGTGCAGCAGCATGAAGACTGCATCAAGATCCTGTAAGTGCTGCTCCCTGCTGCGGCTGTAGATTAATATACCGTCGAGGTAGATGATGACGCATTTGTCCAAGAGTTCCCTGAAAATTTCATTTACGGTCATTTGGAATGTCGAGGGCGCATCCGTAAAGCCAAAAGGAATCACTAGGTACTCGTAGTTGCTGTATCGGGTTCGGAATGCCGTCTTGTGACAATCTTCGATGGCGACGCGAATCTGATGGTAACCCCCTCGCAAATCGATTTTCGAGAAAAACTTGGTGCCGCGAAGTTGGTCGAGAAGTTTGTCGGCTCACGGGATCGGGTAACGCGACTTGATGGTGATTCGGTTGAGCGCTCGATAGTCAATACACATCCTGAATCCTTCATCCTTCTTTAGCGTGAACAGTATCGGGGCGGCGTTAGGTGATGTGGTGGGCCGGATAAATCCTTTCGTGAGAAGGTAATCCAATTGTTGCTGTAATTCTTCCAGTTCTGGTTTGCTGAGCCAAAATTGGCGCTGTACCATTGGTTGGGCGCCTGGTTCCAGCTCGATTTGGTGGTCCTCAGGTCGGCTCGGCGGGAGTCCAGCTGACAGATCGTCCAGGAAGATCTCCGGGTATTTCCGAATCAGGTCCGCTAAGTCCAGAGGGACGACCTCGCACAGCTTCTCGATATCTTCGTTCTCGACGTCGATGTCACCTCGCGAAGTTCAACGGCGTACGCTGCAGCTCCAGCCTTCATCGCGCACTTGAAGGTGATCGCATGGACTTGGGTGCTTCGCATGCGAGGCGAGGCCCCGTCCACGTGGGCAGCTCGCTGGAATTCCCATCGAGCTTGATGCTGCAGCCGCCCATCGTCCAGTCAATCTTCGTTTTGTACCGTCGCAACCAATCGCATCCCAGCACTGCGTCGCACCCGTCGAGAGTACTCGCCAATAGACCCATCCGAAAATTCACATGCTCCCTACAGGTAAAACCAATGTTCTCCACTCGTTCCCGTATTGCTAGCCGTGTTCCGTCCACCAGTCAGGCGTCGATTTCAGGTTGACACTTGAATAAGGGTATACCCAATTTCTTAGCCCTGTCCAATTGTATCAGACTGTGACTCGCGCATCCATCAAAGAAGATCTTTAATAATACCCCGTTGACTTTTCCCTCCACCAACATAGGGTGATCAACAGTTTTGTCCCCCTTATTCGTACGGGTCCGATAGATTGCAGCAATCGGGATCACGACTCGGTGGGGACTGTGTGGTTCGAGCAAAGAATCCCGCTCGCCAGTATGGGGCTCGGTACTTACTGACGCGACCCATTTCCAAGTCGCTCCTCAGGCTTCTTCCCCATAGAATTCTGGAGGGCTATGAATTATTGGTAGTTGCGTCGGATGTAACCTGGCCGGCCACAGTGGTAGCATAACCCTGTATTTTGCGGAGCAGCTGCGTAAATATCCACTGCCTCCACCCCTTTTATTGTGGCGCGCTGGTACTGTTCTCGAGGGCCACCTCCGTCGTAGAAGTTTGTCCTCAACTTCGTAATCAAATCAGCGACTTCGGCGAGCTGGATGTAGTCTTGTAACCGCTTTGCAGGGCGTTGCAGTTTTATCTGGTACTGTATTTCAGGCTTCAAGCCGCCCATGTACCTGTCAACCTTCTCCAACTCGTGCATGTAGCCACATCTGTCCACCAACGTCAGGAATGGCGCGGTGTCCTCGGACACAGATCCTAGCTGCTTCCATATGCGTAGAGTTTCGCGTGCCTTGTCTGAGTAAGGTGCATGCTCAAACCACTTGTGAGGCTCTGCGCACCACGTCTATCTGCTCAGGTGCATGTGGGTGGCTCCGAACAATAGATCTGCCTCGTCTTCGTCGCCGAATTCTTTTGACCACTCGTGCTATCCTTCTGTGTGAGTTGCCGCTGAGTTGACGATGACTTTCCACCACTGCAGAGCGGCCCTTTGCAACAGTGTTAACGCGTGGCTGATCCGCTTCTGATCAACTCTGATGCCCGCCGCATTAAAATAGATATTCATGGCGAATATCCACTGCCGCACTGTCACGCTTTATTAGCTGGGTCGAAAGGAGCGGGTTGCTGATATATTACGCCGCCACTTGTCGAGCGCAGGGCTGTTGCCGCTAGTCATGCCAGCTCCACTGGTGACGGTTGCTGCTCACCCGCCTCGCTTCGTGCATCGTCGCCCGGCTCCTCTAGATGCCTCTCCTGCGCTTGGTGAAGTCGCTGGTTCTCGTCGTAGAGGTCGTTGAGGACGCTTGTCAGATTCCTTAACTACTCCATTAATGTTTGCAGGTCCATAGTTTCCCGGACAGGGTTCGTAGTAGTCGATGTGGAATGTCTCTCAATCGTGGAATCTACCGGGGCCATGGCGGTCAGGTCGGGCCAGAAGCTAGCGCACACGCTGTAATTGTTAACGTAAAAATATTTACGATCCAAGACAACTGCTGTGCAGCCGTGCTAATCCCCTTTGATCACCCTTAACTAAGTAGATGGGAAACGGAAGGTTCCTGGAAAGGTCGAGCTCTGATACCAGCTGTTATGATATAGGTGTCAAACATATCTTAGTATGTTGTTATAGACTATACATGGTTGTGCCTTAGAGAGTACAACCCACCAGGTTATATTCCCTTGTATCCCACCTTTATACTCATTCGTTAACTTTGATATGGTATCATGAGTAGGTTAGGTCCCCCCCGCCCACTAGCGCTTCCGCCCTAGGTCCTAGCCGCCCCGTTCCCCTCCCGCCCGTGCTGGCCCATCCCCTAGTGGCCCTCGTTGCCTAGGCCCCCGTAGTCCAGCCGGCCCCGTCTCCTAGCTGGCCCCGCCTCCTAGCCGGCCCCGCCTCCTAGCCGGCCCCGTCAGCTCGCTGGTCCCGTTGCCCAGTCGGCCCCGCCTCCTAGCCGGCCCCGCCTCCTAGCCGACCCCGTCGCCTAGCAGGCCCCGTCGTCCAGCCGACCCCGTCGCCTAGCAGGCCCCGTCGCCCAGCCGGCCCCGTCGCCTAACCGGCCCCGCCTCCTAGACGACCCCGCCTCCTCGCCAGCCCCGTAGCCCAGCCGGCCCCGCCTCCTAGACGACCCCGCCTCCTCGCCAGCCCCGTAGCCCAGCCGGCCCTGCCTCCTAGCCGGCCCAGCCTCCTAGCCGACCACATCGCCTAGCAGGCCCCGTCGCCCAGCCGGCCCTGTCGCCTAGCCGGCCCCGTCGCCCAAGCCGGCCCTGTTGCCTAACCGGCCCCGTCGCCTAGTCGGCCCCGTTGCACAGCCAACCCCGTCGCCTAGTCGGCCCCGTAGCCTAGCCGGCCCCGTCACCTTCCCGCCTAGCCGGCCCCGTCGCCTCGTCGCCCGCGGCCCCGTCTCCTAGACACCCCGTCATCGGCCCTCTGCACCGCACTGCACCGCCCGGTACCGTACTGCACCGCTCTGCATTGCACTGTACCGCTTTGCACCGCTCTGCACTGCACCCTACCGTATTGCACCTCCGTCTACCGCACTGTACAGCACCGCACCGCACTCCACTGTTTCCCGCCGCACCCTATCGCCCAGTACCGCCTTTCTCCTGCTGCAGCGACCATGATGGCGGACTCGGTCCTGCGCTTTGATGCGGAGGGGCAGCCGGTTGAGTTCAACTCGTGGCTCATCAACCTTAGCCGCCACCTGACTAGTCAGCAGCAGGACGGCCACTCCCTCGCCGTCCACATAAATGGTACGCTCCCCTACCTTGACCCCCCTGCTGCTCTACTCGCTCACCCCACGTCTCCTGGCCGTGAGTCCGCCGCCGCTGCTGCCCTTACCCGTGCTGTCTGGTTGTCGCATGACGCTATTGCACAGCTTACGATTAGTCATGCCCTCCCCCAGTCCAAGCGCCCCCGCTTTAGGTCGATCAGGACTGCGCAGGAGTTCCTAGAGGCTGTCGTCGCACGCTATTCCACCCCGCCCTCTGCCTCTGTCGGTCGCCTCATCCTGCCCATGCTCTTTCCTAATCTCGCGACTTTCCCTACTATCGCTGATCTGGCTGCCCACCAGCGCACGCTAGACACGACCTGGCACGCTGCTTGCATTGAGGCCCAGCTTTGTGTGTCTCAGCCCCCCATCTGCTCTACCCTCTACCTGCTTGCCACCCACCTCCCCGACCGCCTTTCCACCACCCGCGATCACTTCCTTAGTCTCCACCCGCTGACCTCACCCTCGCTGACTTTGTCGACACCCTGTCTGCCGTAGGGACTCGTCAGCGCTCTATCGCCCAGTCTAGCGCTACCATGCCGGTCTTTATCTTTCAGGGCTGTGCCCCTGCTCAGTGCACTTACTCTGACGGTTCTGCTGCGGTCGTTGAGATAGCTCCTACTTCGGTGACAGCCGCCGCAGTGCAGTTTCGTCCAGGTAAGGGTCGCCACCCCAAGGCTGGGCGCGGCGGACGTAGCGGAGGACGGGGTGGTGCCGGTGGTGGAGGTGGCTCGCCCGCTGGTAGTACTGATGAGGGGGCTGGGGCTGGTGCCTCGGAGCAGCAGCCCCAGCAGCAGCAGTAGCAGCGGCCGCCGCAAGACCAGCAGCAGCAGCAGCAGCAGCAGCGGCGGCGGGTCGGCCTTCTCTCGCCTGGGTGGCCTACGCCGGCACTTGCGGTGGTTGCAGTGGTCGTGTGCGCGGCATGACGCCGGGTGGTGGTCAGAGTGACGGGCGCTGCCAGTACGAGCTCCAAACCGGTCCTCGCCGCAGCTTCGTGTGCGGTAAGATCGGCCATACCCCCACTCGTTGCTTCAGTCGCCTAGACGACCTGTTTCGTCTCCACTTCGGCCCATCGCCTGACCTCCCCGACTGGCACAGTTTGCTTCGCTATGGTGTTAGGATCTTTGATATGGATGTGGATGAGATTAGTTGTGCTTTGTATGCGCTCTAAGTCAATGACTCTAGTATGACTGTTTCCTATTACCCTGTGTTGCCTAGTGTAGGTGTGCCCAATGTGCCTATTTCAGGCTCCCTTGCTGCGTCAGGTGTAGGATCCCCTGCCTTGTTTAGCCTTGGGTCCTCCCTTGCTCCTCCGACCCCTGTCGCCATTCCCGCGCTCTCCTTCACCCTGGACTTCGGCGCTTCCCAATGTTTCTTTCGGGACTCCACTACGCTTACGCCGCTAGCCGCTCCCGCCGCAATTGCTCTTGCAGACCCTTCCTCCGGTCTTGTAGTCGCCCGTAGCTCCACCACCCTTCCTTGTCCAGCAGTTCCCTCAGGCTCCCTTACAGGCCTGCACATCCCCTCTTTCTCTAGGAACCTAGTTGGTGTCGGCTGCCTCCAAGACCTTGGCGTCACCAATACGTTCCCTGGTCACGAGCGGTACACGGTCTGTACCGAGGCCGCCACTGGTGCCCCCCTCACCACGTTCCCCCATGACTCAGTGTCTGACCTGTTCACGCTGGACACTGCGTCCCCCCCGGTTGGGACGCCTCCCCAGGTGGCAGCGTCTACCCAGGTTGCTACGGCTTGCTCCTGTCGATTGCTCACTCACCTGTCGCTTCTGTGGCACCACCGTCTAGGTCACCCCGCTCTCACCCGACTCCATCACATGTCCTAGCACGGTCTTGTCTTAGGTCTCGCTGAGTCGTTCACTGCGCTCCCCTCCTCACCAGCGCCACCGTGCACGCCCTACGTCGAGGGCCGGTTCCGCCATGCCCCTCACTCCTCCTCGTTCCCCCCCACCTCCGCACCGCTGCAGACCCTGCACATGGACGTCTGGGGCACCGCCCCCGTCAATGGGCTGCGTCGCGAACGCTACTTTCTAGTGCTTGTTGATAACGACACACGCTACACCACCGTGTTTCCTCTGGAGCGAAAGGCCGACGTGCCTGACGTTCTTATCCCGTGGCTTGTCTCTGCGCGTATGCACCGAGGTCTCCCTGTGTTGTGTCTTCAGTATGACCGCGGTGGCGAGTTCACCTCTGGTTCCCTTGGTCGTCTCTGTCGTACGGAGGGCATCACCCGAACGTACACTCTTCCGGACTCCCCGCAACAGAATGGGGTCGCTGAGCGACGCATCGGTTTGGTCATGGAGGTGGCCCATACCTCCATGATCCATGCCGGTGCACCCCATTTTCTGTGGCCGTTCGCCGTTCGCTACGCCGCTCACCAGCTTAACCTGTGGCCGCATCCTCAGCGGCCGCAGGTTTCGCCGGCCCTCCTCGAGACCGGGTCCCCTGGTGACGCGTCCGCGTTCTACGTCTGTAACTGCCTTGCTCACGTCCGTGCCTCTGGCACGGATAAGCTCACTGCCAGCACTGTCCCCTGTGTCTTCCTAGGTTTCCCCCTCGACTCGTCTGACTGGCACTACTACCACCCGCCGTCCCACCGCTTCTTTCACTCCCGCGACATCACCTTTGACGAGTCAGTCTCCTTTTACCACCACTTTCCCCACCGTGGTCCCCCGGTTTCCCCCCTCCCTGTTCCTGGTTCCCCCTCCCCCGGTCGCCCCGGCTCCCCCCCCTCCCCTCCCTGCCCCATCTGGTGTGTCTCACGTCACCCCTCTCCCGTCGGGTGTCCCTACCGAGGAGTGTGCTGACTCTCGCAGCTCTGCGGAGTCCCTCCTCCCGCCCCTCCCCACCCCGGTCTTTCCTTCCCCATCGCCGCCTTTGCTGTCACCGCCGAAGCCTCCTCCGCCGCTGCTATCGCCGCCGCGGCCGCAGCAGCCGTCGTCACCACTGCTGGGGTTCGTGCGTTCTGGGGGTGCTGGGGAGCATGCTGGAGTGGGTGCTGGAGCGGTTTCCCATTTTGGGGGTGCTGGCATGGAGCTTCTCGAAGGGAGCCGTGCCGTCGCTGGAGGTTCTGGTATTGGAGTCGAGCAGCAGCCGCAGCAGTCCCCGCCAGTGTCCGCTCTTCGCCTCCTCAGTCTTCCTTCCCCTGACCGCCTGCCGGTGCCTTCTCCGTTGCCGCCGCCTCCTCCTCCTCCGGTCTACGGCCCAGTGTTTCCTCCTCCGGACTCCTCTCCGGCTCGTCTCCCTCCCCGTTCTCCCCCTTTGTCTCCCCCCCTCTCTCCTCACTCGACTCCTCTGTCTCAAGTCCGGTCTCGTCGTCCGTCTCGTGCTCGTCCTACCTCCCCTGTTCCGCGTTCTCACCCTATGTTGCTTCGCTTTCACGCGTCTCGTGCTCCTCCTCTCCTTCCGTCTCCTCCCCCGTCATCGCTTGCTGTAGCCCCGCCTCTGTTCTCTGACTTCCTCCGTGCTGCGTGTCCCCTTGTTCCTCGTGTCCTTGCCTCTCTTCTTACCGACCCGTCCGTTCCTGTCTCGAGTGTGTCGGCTCTTGTCGCTGCTGTCACTGACTTCGCCGTTACCCACCGCCTGGACTACTCCACCACTCTGGTCTCTGGCCCTGCCTGCTCTCTGCCCGTCGGGGGTGTGGCTGCCCTTGGCAGTGACGTCATAGAGGACAAGCAGTACGAGCTCGCTTTCCTGTCTAAGGCCGCTCTCCATCTCTGTTCCATGCTACTAGTCCATGAGGGTGACCGAAACGCCCTTGACATCCCGACCTCTCGCACTTACGCTGAGGCCACCTCGGGATCCTGGGCCTCTCAGTGGATAGCTGCCATGGAGTAGAAGATGGCATCTTGGAGGTCCACAGGTACCTTCGTCGACGCAGTTCCCCCACCTGGGGTGAACGTAGTCGATGGCCGGTGGCTCTTCAAGGTGAAGCGCCCTCCTGGAGAGCCGCCTCTCTTCAAGGCGTGCTACGTTGCTCAAGGCTTCAGTCAGCGTAAGGGGGTGGACTTTTTCCAGACCTTCGCCCCGACCCCGAAGATGACTACACTTCGGGCACTGCTACGCGTAGCAGCACAGCGTGACTTTGAGCTCCACTCCCTCGACTTCTCCACAGCTTTCCTCCAAGGCAGTTTACACGAGCAGGTCTACCTACGCCACCTCCAGGGCTTCTCCGGTACCTTTCCTCCCGGTACCGAGTTGCTCCTCCGGCGCCCCGTCTACGGCATTCGACAGGCGCCCCGCGAGTGGCACGATACGCTGCGTGCTAGCTTGCTGACCTGCAGTGCTTTCCGTCATCTGCAGACCCCTCGCTCTTCGTCCGTACTGGCCAGAATCCTTTTTATATCCTTGTTTACGTACACGATCTGGTCTTTGCTACTGCAGACAGAGACACGCTGGCCTCCGTGAAGGCTGAGTTGTTAAGGAGACACACCTGCACTGACCTAGGAGAGCTGCGCCGCTACCTTGGCTTGCAGATCTCCAGGGACAGAGTAGCGCGCACCATCACTGTCTCGCAGTCACACTTGGTGCGCCAGGTCCTTCAGAGGTTCGGCCTTCAGTTCTCTTCCGCATAGCCCACCCCTCTGCCAGTAGACCACAGACTCTCTACTCTAGTCCCGAAGGAGGCTGTAGAGCATAGTGGCCCCTATGCAGAGCTGGTGGATTGCCTCATGTACCTGATGCCTTGCACTCGTCTAGATCTCGCATACCCTCTCAGCATCCTGGCTCGCTTTGTGGCCACCGGCAGACACCGACCACAACGGTGGTCGGCAGCTAAGAGGGTTTTGCGTCATCTAGCAATTACATCGGGCTTGGGGTAAGTGCTAGGAGGACGTAGGCCAGTGGTCCTTACCGGGCACACAGACGCTTGTTGGGCTGACGACGTCGAGACTCTCCGGTCCTCTCAGGGCTACTGCTTTAGCCTTGGTGCAGGTGCTGTCTCATGGCGGTCCACCTGTTCGTCGTCTGTTGCCTAGTCTGGCTGTGAGGCTGAGATCTACCCTGGTGCCATGCCGGCACAGGAGCTCCGTTGGCTGACTTTGCTACTCACAGACATAGGTGAGCGGCCTAGCTCTGCCCCAGTCCTGTACGCCGACAACAGGGCCATGATCCTCCTGTGTCAAGAGCCCAGACTCGAGGGCAGAGCAAAGCACATCCAGCTGCAGTTGTTGCTCCAACGCGAGCTACAGCAGCGTCGCCAGGCCCGCGTAGTACACTTGGCATGAGCGGTACTGTGTACTACTTGGTCTTGTTCCTGTAGCCTCCCATCTGCTAGGACCTTGATTGTGTACAGACATTTATAGATATATATTACCCTAACTGGCCTTGTGGCCTCTCCCCAGTGGCTGGACTAGTAGTGCCGCCCTGGTTTTGCTCGTGCCTTGTGTGTACTTGTTTGACTAGTCTTCAGACCCTTGTCTCAAAGGTTGGACTAGTAGTGCCACTCTGAGCTGCTTGTATCTCACCAGGCACTACCCCTATCCAGTCTAGGGGGTGTGTCAAACATATCTTAGTATATTGTTATAGACTATACTGGATTGTACCTTAGAGAGTACAACCCACTAGGTTATATTCCATTGTATCACACCTTTCTACTCATTCGTTAACTTTGATAATAGGAAGTGTCAATGGAATATAACGTGAGAATACAAGGTCGCTATTGCAATGAAGGCACAAGTTTATATAGCGGTTGGCATGATAGGGCGATAACCTTGGAACGTGGGTAGGTTCGGCAATGTGGCGACAGTGCCGGACGCGACGCGGGAAAGGTTTGGGCCGACAAATGAGGCCGAACGTGACGAATCGAGGAGTTCGGGTGTACGTGCTAACGTAAGACTCAGTAAGGAATGGAAATTCCTTACAGTTTTACTCTGAGTTATTATTCATAACACATGTCTTCTTGTTGTTTCAAAACAGTGGGGTAACAGTCCACTACACCTCGCGCCATTCCGCACACTAGCGCCCATAATCTCCCACATTCCGCAACCCTCGCCGCGTTATCATCGAGGTAGTTTTTAGCGCGCGATACATCTACCGTAAGCATCGCTAGCCGATTTCATACCTCCTTCCGGGCCGCTTTGGAGGGTTCTCTGCGTTCCCCGCCAACACTCCACTACTCCCTGCCCCCTTCCGCGCGGCAATGGCGGACCCGATGGACGTGGACGCCGCGCAAGCCGGCTTGCGGAAGGCACAGGACAAGGGGAAGCGGAAGCTGGACGACGGGGGGAAGGGCAAGGGGATGGCGGAAGACGCGGCGGACGGGTCGCGCGGCGCCGCGAATGTCGCCGCGATGCCGTGGGTGGAGAAGTACCGGCCAAAGTCGCTTGCTGACGTGGCGGCGCATAAAGACATCGTGGATACAAGTTAGTGGCCAGGAGGGATGGCATGGGGTCGATCCGCGCTGTCATCATGCCTTGAGTCTGCCCTTGTGCTCCAGCCAGAGCCCCCCTCCCCTGCCTCACTCGCAAGGCGTGGCCACCTTGTGCTGGTAGTGGAGCCTTCCACTCATTGCCGCCTCTCTCCCCCCACCATCACATCCCATCCCTTCCCGTCTACTGCAGTCAGCCGTCTCACCTCATCCAACCGTCTCCCCCATCTCCTCTTGTACGGGCCGCCCGGGACCGGCAAAACATCTACCGTGCTGGCGGTGGCGCGGCAGCTGTACGGGGCGGGCGGCGTGCGCAACATGTGTTTGGAGCTGAACGCCAGCGACGAGAGGGGGATCGACGTTGTCAGGCAGCAGGTGCAGGACTTCGCCTCCACGCAGTCCATCAGCTTCGGGTGAGACAGCTCGAGCAGAAAAAGTCGATTGGCATTGGGTGAGTCAGTTCTCCACCCATCCTCTGTTCCACTATGCTTCTTCCCCCCCCCCACGTTCCCCTCACGCCTGTAGCGCCAAGGCGGCGGTGAAGCTGGTGTTGCTGGACGAGGCGGACGCCATGACCAAGGACGCTCAATTCTCGCTGCGACGAGGTGCGTGCTCACTAATGCCACCGACTGCCACTCTCTCTTGACCACTGCGGTACACACTGGGCCAGTCAGCGCCCTCTGGCCCACCCCTCGCATCCCCTTCTCACCCTAATTCCGTCCATTCTCCCACCGTCCCCCTCTTCCTCAACCTCCAATTGGTCGAGAAGTGCACTTGTGTGTCACCTGCAACCATTCCCCCTTCCGCTTCCTACCCCCACTCCCTTCAACTTGTGTCCCCCCAACCCCCCAGCAGTGATCGAGAAGTACACGCGCAGCGCGCGATTCTATCTGCAACCCTTTACCCATCACCTTCCTATCCCCACTCGCTCTCCTCCTCACACTCTTCCCAGTGATTGAGAAGTACACCCGGAGCACGCGCTTTTGTCTCATCTGCAACCACGTCAGCAAGATCATCCCCGCCCTCCAATCCCGCTGCACGCGCTTCCGATTCGCCCCGCTCTCCTCTGCTGACGTCACTGCCAGGCTCAGACACGTCATCCAGGAGGAGGGGTGAGTCACTCGAGTGGAGGCATTATGCGGGTAGTTTGGAATCACTGGCGTTCAGAGGTCATTGATGAGGGAGGAACCTTATCGCACATGTATACTGCCCATCCACATATCCCTCTCTTCTCACCCATGCCTGTCCCCTGTCTCCCTGCCAGTCTCGATGTGACAGATGGCGCGCTGTCAGCCGTTGTGAGCCTCAGTGCCGGCGACATGCGCCGCGCTCTCAACATCCTGCAGGTACTGCCTCCCCCGGGCATCGCCTCCCCCAGGTATCGCCCCCTCACCTCTGCTCAACATCCAGCAGGTGTGCCCACCCCAGGTGCATCCTCTGCAGTCAGATGTGCAGCGCTAGCACATGCCTGCCATCGGCTCATGGCAGCACCGGCACCTCCATGTTCAGCCTACCCGTGCCCTCGTAGCCATGAGCGTTAGGATGAGCAGCAGCGAAGACGATTTTTGGTAGCAAAAAGAGTGACAGTACGTTAAGTGATACCCCTTTTTCGAAACGCGAGAATTTGAAGTTCCGAACTCAACTCCACTAGTTTCGGCTGACTGGGACAGGTCCCAAATCAGACCTTCATCAGTGCTGGTGGAATCGGCTCATGGCAGCACCGGCACCTCCATGTTCAGCCTACCCATGCCCTCCCCGCCCCCCGTGCTCTCCCTCCTGCCCACCAGTCCCTCCTGCTGGATACCTGCTGGATGTTGACAGAGGTGAGGGGTTGCCTGTGCTGGCATACACCCACATGGCATGCCCTGCCACCATAACATAGGAGGCGGTGTATGCCAGCACAGGCAACCCCATGCCTCCTCTTCCCTTCTCTTCCTCCCCCACCATCCCTGTCCTCTCTTCAAGTCCACCCACATGGCATGCGCCGGCACGATAACCGAGGAGGCGGTGTACTCGAGCACAGGCAATCCCATGCCCAAGGACATCCAGCAGATGGCGCACTGGCTGCTCAACGAACCGTTCTGCACCGCACTGCAACGTGAGCCCTCTAGTTTGCGTTCCAGTGTGGCTCATGGGCCCATGTGTTGAAACCCCAAGGCACAGCCCTCCATCGCTTTGAATCGCCCTTTTTCTCGTGTTCCCCTCGTCACTCCCCTCCCCTTCCTCCTAGCCACCTCCCTGCACTTTGACGCACCTGAATCTACGACCTGTCGACCTGAACCTGCATCCCTTCCTCATCATCCTACAGGAATGGATCCCTGCAGCCGTTTCCACTCTCCATGAATCTTGTTTCCCTCGCTCTCCATCTCCGCCCTGCCTGCAGGCATTCTGAGTGTGAAGGAGGTGAAAGGGCTGGCGCTCATCGACATCGTGCGATACCTGCATGGGTATGGCGGCATGGGTATGGCGGCATGGGTATGGTGGCATGCGTATGGCGGCATGGGTATGTTACCATGGGTATGGCGGCATGGGTATGGCGGCATGGGTATGGCGGCATGGGTATGGCGGCATGGGTATGGCGGCATGGGTACGGTGGCATGTGTACGGCGGCATGTGTATGGCGGCATGGGTATGACGGCATGGCTATGGCGGCATGGGTATGGCGGCATGGGTACGGTGGCATGTGTACGGCGGCATGTGTATGGCGGCATGGGTATGACGGCATGGCTATGGCGGCATGGGTATGGCGGCATGGGTATGGCGGCATGGGTACGGTGGCATGGGTACGGCGGCATGGGTACGGTGGCATGGGTACGGCGGCATGGGTACGGCGGCATGGGTATGACGGCATGGGTATGGCGGCATGGGTATGGCGGCATGGGTATGGCGGCATGGGTATGGCGGCATGGGTATGGCGGCATGGGTACAGGTTCCCCTGTCCGCCCGCCCGTTCCCCCTCCGGTGCGTGACCCTGTTTACAGCCCGCTGTTCCCTCCTCCGTACTCCTCTCGGGCTCGTTTTCCCCCACGCTCCCCTCCTTCCCCAGACTTGTCCCCCGTTCCCCCTCGTCCCCAGTCCCCTGTTTTTCCCCACTGGGTCCGTCGCCCCTCTGGTGCTCGTCCTGTCTCTCCTCGTCCTAGTGTCCACCCTATGGTTCTTCGTTCGTGTGCTCTTCCAGTCACAGTCCTCCCGTTGCCTCCCCCGTTGTCGCTTCCGTTGTTCCCCCCTCCTCGCTCCGACGCTGCTCTCGCTGCTCGTCCTACCCTCTCGCGCTTGCTTGCGTCGCTTGTCACTCACCCTACTGCTCCTCCTGAGACTGTCTCTGCGCTTGTCGCTGCTGTCGCTGGCGGCACGGGTATGGCGGCATGGGTATGGCGGCATGGGTATGGTGGCATGGGTATGGTTTCATGGGTACGGTGGCATGGGTACGGCGGCATGGGTATGGCGGCATGGGTATGGTGGCATGGGTACGACGGCATGGGTACGGTGGCATGGGTATGGTGGCATGGGTATGGTGGCATGGGTATGGTGGCATTCGTACGGCGGCATGGGTATGGCGGCATGGGTATGGTGGCATGGGTATGGGGGCATGGGTATGGCGGCATGGGTATGGTGGCATGAGTATGGTGGCATGGGTATGGTGGCATCGGTACGGTGGCATGGGTATGGCGGCATGGGTATGGTGGCATGGGTATGGTGGCATCGGTACGGTGGCATGGGTATGGCGGCATGGGTATGGTGGCATGGGTATGGTGGCATGGGTATGGTGGCATGGCTATGGTGGCATGGGTACGGTGGCATGGGTATGGTGGCATGGGTATGGCGGCATGGGTATGGCGGCATGGGTATGGCAGCATGGGTATGGCGGCATGGGTATGGTGGCATGGGTATGGCGGCATGGGTATAGTGGCATGGGTATGGTTGCAGTACTTCCTGCTGCCTTCACCCAATTTTGTTGACTCTCTCGTTAAGGAGCCTTTGTGCCAACTTTAGTCAAGGTGGCCATGCCATGTGTTCCCTCCCATTCTCTCCCCCGTCACTGCACAGCTTCATCGTCACCGTAGACATGCCAGCGGATGTGCGCATCGACCTCTTCGACGCCATGGCCGACATCGAGTACGCGCTCTGCTTCTCGCCTTGTCTGCCATTCCTTCCTCTCTTTTTTCCTTTCCCAGCTCTTTCCTGCTGTCAGCACCCTGCTCTCACTTTCTCATGTTAAAAATCAGATAGCACCTGCGTTTCAAATCCGCTACTATTGCTCCTCACAACACCCCTTCCCCCCCATATCCCCCCACACCCCCAGGTACCGCCTGACGTTTGGTACGAGTGAGAAGGTGCAGCTGGGGGCGCTGGTGGGGGCGTTCACACATGCCCGGGCCAAGCTGGTGGAGGGGGCGAAATAACCAAACCAGGTTGTTCACTTGGTTTGACTTGGATCGTTGCAACACACACATGTATGCATGCATACTTACATGCTGCATGGATACCTGCATGCATACATGCTTACATTCATGGAGCGTGCATATATGCATACACAACAGGTGCACCAAAGTGCAGCAGCTGGGAGCGGTGGGCGGTGTCAGAAACCCAGTCACTAACCACTGGGTTAAAAGGGCTTGTTGAATAGCGGGTAAGTGCGCCCATAGTCCCTCAGGCTCTGCACCTGTGGCCCTTCCCCGAGGATCTCAAGGGCAATCCCAGCGGGTCACTCAACACCCCCCCCCCCCCGCTGGGATAGGTGGAAGACACTAGCACCTCTGCACCGCTGGCACTAGAAGTAGAACCCAAGACCTTTGGCTCTGATGTACCATCTCAGAAACCCAGTCACTAACCACTGGGTTAAAAGGGCTTGTTGAATAGCAGGTAAGTGCGCCCATAGTCCCCCAGGCTCTGCACCTGTGGCCCTTCCCCGAGGATCTCAAGGGCAACCCCAGCGGGTCACTCAACAGGCGGCGCCTCATGGGAGGAGGCAGCAAGTGGAGGATGAACAGTAGGGAGGAAGGAGGAGAATGCAGTAGCTTGGCGGGCGTAGGAAGCAACACTTCCTGTTGGACCTTTCCCTTGCAAGAGGCTGTGCTTATCTGCATTTGTAGTAGATGGCACGAAGCATGCCCCTGCACACCGGCTCCACTTTAATCCAAATCTTGGCTCAATCTTGGCTCAAATAATTTCAGCTTCCTCGCAGTTTCCTCTTTAAAATTGACTTCATCCAGACCTGCAGTGTACGCTCTGGCGTACATAAAAGTGCACCTTCCTCAGCAGCAAGCATTCAAGCCGCAGAGTGAGGATAGGATAATTTCATCCACTAACAACGTGAGGATGAGTGCCATTATCCTTTCAAGCTGCAGTACGAGGTATTCTGCAAGCCTGCCAGCAACTTCATCCACTAACCACGTGCACTGCACTTATAGCCCCAAGCTTTCATCGACAGGAGATGCTCATCACGCTTTGATCATGAATAATTATCAATTTACAGAGAGATAACAAACAGTGAAATTGATAAATAGAGAGAGAGAGTACACAAACATATACCTAACTGTTGTACTCTCTAGAAGATGACCCTATACAGTCTATACAAGCATGATAACTAAACATGTTTGACAAGAGATGACCAGGCATGCGGGGCGCCCAACACGCTTGTCGTACTGGCCTGCCTTTGCCGTGCGCAAAATTGGAGGAGCCCTACTGTCAAACATATATTTGCTATGTTTCTATAGATTGTATAGGTTTGTGCCTTAGAGGGTACAGCCCTTAGGTCATATACCCTTGTACTCATGCCATCTACTCATTATTCAATTCTGATATGGTATTATGAGTAGGTAGGTCCCACCGCCCGCCCACGCTTCCGCCCTAGGTCCTAGCCGCCCGTTACCTTCCTAGCCGCGCCGGCCCTCGCGCCCGATCCCAGCCGGCCCTCGCGCCCGTTCCAGCCGGCCCCTACCGCCCGTTCTAGCCGACCCCCTAGCGCCCGTTCCAGCCGGCCCTCGCGCCCATTCTAGCCGGCCCCTCGCGCCCGTTCCAGCCGGCCTTTGCGCCCGTTCTAGCCGGCCCCGTGCGCCCGTTCTTGGCCGGCCCTCGAGCCCGTTCCAGCCGGCCCTCGCGCCCGTTCTAGTCGGCCCCTCGTGCCCGTTCCTCGCCGGCCTCTAGCGCCCGTTCCTGCCGGCCCCTCGCGCCCGTTCTATTCTCACGTTATAGTTCATTGACACTTCCTATATCATAACTGCTGGTATCAGAGCCCGAGCTGTCCAGGAACCTTTCGCTTCCCGTTTACTTAGCTAAGGGTGGTCAGAGGAGATTAGCATGGCTGCACAGCAGTTGTCTTGGATAGTAAATATTTTTACGACAACAACTACTGCATGTGCGCTAGCTTCTGCCCCGTCCTGACCGCCATGGCCCCGGTAGTCTCGACGGTTGAGTGACAATCCACCTCGACTACTGCGAACCCTGCCCGGGAAATTGTGGACCTGCAAACATTAATGGAGCAGTTGAAGAATTTGACAAGCATCGTCAACCACCTCCGCGACGAGAACCAACGACTTTGCCAGGCGCAGGAGAGGCATCCAGAGGAGCTGGGCGACGATGCACGAAGCGAGGTGGGTGAGCAGCAACCGTCACCAGTGGAGCTGGCATGACTAGCAGCAACAGCCCCGCGCTCGACAAGTGGCGGCGTAAGATATCAGCAACCCACTCCTTTCGACCTTGCTAATAAAGGCGTGACGGTGCGGCAGTGGATATTCGCCATGAATATCTATTTTAACGCGGCGGGCATCAGAGACGATCAGAAACGGATCAGCCACGCGTTAACACTATTGCAAGGAGCCGCCCTATAGTGGTGGAAGGTCATCGTCGACTCAGCGGCAACTCGCACAGAAGGACAGCACGAGTGGTCCGAAGAATTCGGCGACGAAGACGAGGCAGATCTGTTGTTCGGAGTGACCCACATTCGCACGTGGGCAACGTGGTGCGCAGAGCTTCGCAAGTAGTTTGAGCATGCTCCTGACTCAGACAAGGCACGCGAAACTCTACGCATGTGGAAGCAGCTAGGATCTGTGTCCGAGTACACCGCGTCATTCCTGACGTTGGTGGACAGATGTGGCTACATGCACGAGTTGGAGAAGGTTGACAGGTACATGGGCGGCTTGAAGCCTGAAATACAGTACCAGATAAAACTGCAACGCCCTGCGAAGCAGTTACAAGACTACATTCAGCTTTAGGGGTTGGCACGTCGCCACCCGTCCTTCGCATCTCCATACGAAGTCATCACCGACGCTAGCGACATCGCCATCGGCACAGTTCTTCTACATGATTTCGGCGAAGGATTACAGCCGGTCGCCTACAAATCACGGAAGCCACTGGGCGCATAAAAAAATTACACGGTACACGACAAGGAAATATTGGCGATCGTCCACGCGTTCAAAATCTGGCGATGCTACCTGACAGGTCCCTCTAGTACCTGCGAGCCCAACCGAATCTCAACCCCTGACAAACCAGATGGCTCGATTTCCTCGAGTCAAACTTCCACTACACCATCACCTACAAACGGGGTGCCAACAACATTGCTAATGCCCTGACCCGACCCACTGCCCATACAGCCGCCATACTAGTTGCCCAGACTAGCCCACTCCTTACAGGACTATTTACCCACGGCTACAAGATCGACCCCTTCTTCCGCTCCGCCATTCACCAACAGCATACTACCGCTACCGGACACTTCTTTAATAAGCTCGACACTTCCCGCATCTGGGTTCCCGGCTACGATTTATTTCGTGCCCTTCTTATCCAGGAACTCACGACAACCCTACCTCTGAGCATTTCGGAGTCGACAAAACCATGAAAACGTTGCAGCGTAATTATTACTGGCCGAACATGGCCGACAACGTGCTTAAGTACGTGTCCTCCTGCACCGCCTACCAGATCATGAAATCATCCCATCAGCGAGAAGCCGGACTCCTACAGCCGTTGGATCCGCCGAGAGACCTTGGCAACTCGTCACGATGGACTACGTGACAGGATTGTCGGCCGGTCCCAGCGGAAACGACGCCATCCTCGTGGTCGTTGACCGACTCACGAAAATGGCGCACTTCATCGCCAGCCAACAGAAATTACAGCTGAGCAAACTGCCCCAACTGTTCATCGCCAACGTCACCAGACTGTACGGACTGCCCACCGCCAATTCACATCGAATTTCTGAAACCCAAAACCCGAATTTATGAAACCCGAATTTCAGACCGAGACCTGAAATTCTCATCGAATTTCTGGCGCCACCTGTGGGACCAATTCGGCACCAAACTACAGTTTTCCTCAGCCTACCACCCACAGACTGACGGGCAGACCGAACGAGTCAACCAAACTATGGAGCAACTCATACGGACTACCTACACTGACCCACAAACATGGGAGAAATCCCTTCCGCTGCTGGAATTCGCGTATAATAACGTGCCTTCCGCCACAACTCATCAATCCCCATTTTTCCTCAATTATGGACAAGACCCAGTGGTACCCTCTACACCAAACATTGAGACACCAGTGACATGGTCCCAGAGATTTGCCGAAGACATCCTCGCAGCCCGAGAAAAAGCAGCCGAGGCAATCCGGAAAGCCAACTTGGTCGCAAGCCGACAAGTCGATCGTTATCGACGTGACGCCACTTACAAAGTGGGAGATCTCGTACTCAGGGCTGATTTTATCAGACTATTTTAGTCTGAATGTCTGATATTTCACACCCATTTTTTTGCCAATCCTGATTTTTCAGACTTAGGCTTTTCTGGATACTGAACCCTTCAGAGTTGTATGATTTTGGATCCTGAAGTTTTCAGAGTAGTCGTTGTGCGGATACTGAGGTTTCAGAGTACATCGCGTATGGACTCTGAATGCGACATCCATGCACCTTGTACTTTCCCTGAGATTTCCTCTACTACGTCATATGCTGCCTTCCATCATTTCACCCCCGCACGTCTCACGTGCAGTATGTGCACTTCGCAGGATTCCCGACCCTTCTGTAACTGTGATGCTGCCTCAACAGGGACTTTGCCGCTCAGCGCGTCATGCATCCTGCCAGGCGTGCCTGCTAAGGACCTCTACATGGGTGTACTGGAAGCCATCAAAGGCTGGTAACGCGGGAAACTTGCCCTCGCTGGCATGTGCAAAACTGACGACGAGGGTTAACCAAGAAACACGCGCCTCGGGCTTGATGGTGCCCTTCTTCTTCGTCCCTCTCATCCCCCACCCTCCTCTCAGGCGCACTCAGGCTTTTAGACGGGGTCTGTAAATCTTACTCCTCAATTCGTGTTTCGGAGTTGTCCTCCTCACGTAGGTTCTCGTTTGTCGGCCCCGTCAACAACCATGACGGGGACTCCTGCAAAAGAAGACGACGAGCCCAGCGCCGATGAACCACCTCATAGTAACGAGCCTGCAGAGGTTCGTCGCTCCGCGATAGACATACTGCGGTCGTTAGGTTCTCCTCCCGTCGTTGCTGTTATGGTTTCCTCTGCAGCGGAGGAAACCCAGCCTGCTCTAAACCCACCTCCGTCTGCGCCCTTCGTGCCACCACCATATGTCCCTCCGCCTGCCGTTGCCTCATCAAGCAGAGGCCCGACTCTGCCCGTTAACTGCGTCACCGCCACCACAGTCCGCTACAGCGTGCCCTGCGCGTCCACGATTGCATCTGCGAAGAAACAACGGACGGGCAAGTACACCCAGTCTCAAATCATGATCGGAGGTAGGCTCCGCCACCCGTCCACGCCGCCATCACCTAGTGCAATCCCTGTCGTCGTTGAACCGCCACTGCCAAAGCTGAGTAAAAAGGAATTGATTGAGCAGAAATACCTCGTCGCTGAAGCAAAGTACAAAACTTCATGGCTGCCTTTCTTTCCATGGCTACTTCTAACCAAAACAAAGGATGGTTACCCTGCTCTCAAGTGCAGTGTCTGCATGACGTTTGGCAAGGAGACCACCAAGTACAGCTCTTCGGGCGATGGTGGCCGAGACCTGCAGATACAGACCATGCGCATACACGAACACTCCTCTGCATACAAGGAAGCTGTGGAGGCCCAGCTGAAGATTGCCGACGACATCGCCAACGGGCAGAAGAGGATTGACGACTATTTGTCGTCGGATGTCTAGGGGAGGTGGGTCGTGCGACTGCTCTGCGCTGTTGAGTTTCTCTGTAAGGTCGATGCTCCCATCAGCATGTTTCCTCGGCTATGTCGCTTTATGGCTGAGCAGGACACCCCGGACCTACTGCTCCAGTCTTACGGTGTTTACCTCACTCGGTAAGTACCCGCGAGTACATTCCATTACTCTGCCCTGTTGGATTATTTTAACAATTACTCTCTCTTCTGCGTGCAGGTACGGCTTTTCAACAGATGGTCCACTGCCTGGCGACTCTTCTTCAATGGGCCCAGATGCAGCACATTCAATCGTCCCCGTTCATCGGCACCAGTTGTGACGAGAGCACTGATCGTACCAGAGGGAAGCACTTGATAGTGTACTTCACGTTCCTGCGCCATCGTCGCGTCGTCACCGAATTTTTCTCGTTGCTCACCATCGAGAAGTGCGATGCCGCCTCCCTGCTCTCCGTGCTCCACACTCATCTTCAAGGTGCCGGCATCGAACTCAACCGCATCGCGGGAATCAGCACCGATGGCGCTTCCGTCATGGTTGGGCGCGAGAACGGTCTCGTGGCGCGGCTCCGCGAGCAAATTCCTCACCTTGTGTCGTCCCACTGCATCGCCCACCAGTATAGACTCATTATGTTTTTTTTTTTTCGCTTTGTTTTTAATCGTTTACTCATTTGTTTATATGGATTGTGCGCAGGGAAGCTTTGGCTGTGAAGGACGCCGCGTCTGCCTGTCCAGACTTGGACATGGTCAACAAGGTCATCCGAACTCTGGCCAATGACCTCGGCCGTTCAAGCGTGTGGAGCCAGCGGTTCAAGTACCTGCAGCGTGTCATCCACAAGACCAACCTTGAAGTTCAAGGAATCCACGCAATTCGGTGGCTGTCCAGGGGCGAGGCAGTCAGGTCCTTGGTGCTGCCATCGTTTTACTATATGAGTATAACCATGAGCTGTACGAGGTTGTCATCTCATACAAGTTTCAGTTTTGTCTCTTCTTCCTGGCAGACGTCCTCGCCATCATGAACGAGCTCAACCTCAAGTTTCAGAAGCAAGAGGTGAGCCCTTGCATGTGAGCTTGTGGTATGTTCTTTCACAAGTAGCACTAACATTCTGCCCCTTGATTTGCGCCCCCATGTTTCCACCACCCCACCCCCCCTCCCCGCCCGACCGCAGGTGGATGTCACCGAGATAACACAGGACGTCGACGAGGCGGTGGGGGATCTTCGGCACCACTACTTGGAGTGCGGCGGGGTTTTCGGTGCGGGCGTAAGCGGCACGTGGCTGTCGGCTTTCTTAACCGTGTACGGGCGAGGGGGGGCGAAGAGAGTGAAGGTGCGCGGCGTCGACAAGGACGGGCAGCCGGTGACCCACACGTACCAGATGCACGAGCGGCAGATCAAGGGGCACGTCTACCAGAGAAACTACCGGGACTGCGAACTGTTGTGCGCGAAGTTCGCGAGGGGGAGCATGACGAACCTGCTGGAGCGGCTGGACGACCTGTTGAAGCTCGGGCCGACGAAGCTGTTTCGGGCGGGCAAGTGGCCGCGGCTTCGGATGGTGAGAGGGAAGAAGACGAGGGAGTATCTCCATGGCTGCAGTGCTATCTTCGACGACAGGCTCCCCGGGTTCGATTTGAAGGAGGTGGAGAAGGAGCTGGCAACTTGGGCCCCGATCATGCAGAACCACCACAACGAGGAGGGCTTCTACCAGGGCCTGACGAACTACCTTGGCAACACGGAGTCAAGCAGGTAAGTCGAGCCTCCAAAGCACGCTGCTCTGTCTGCCTGTGTATGATTGTTTTTGCCAGTTTGACCACCATGCCTGTCTATGTTTGTATCTACTTCTATTGTTCCTTGCCCACCATGCTTGTAGTTTATAATTAATTCTATTGTTTTACGCCTCTTATGTGTGGTTGTTCCATAACCAGGCGCTGGCCCAACCTCATGCTTCTCTAGAAAGCATGCACGGTGTTACCATTCTCAACTGTGGAGTGCGAACGTGGTTTTTCCAGGCAGAACGTGATCAAGTCTTGGGTCCGTGGTGCTCTGTACAATGCCCGCCTGGGTGAGCTGATGATGATTTCGCTGCTGAGATGCGACATCAACTGGCAGGAGGCGCTGGAGCTGTGGCACGCAAAGAAGAGAAGACCAACGAAGTCGATGGTGTTCGCATCACAAGAGAGGAAGCGCAAAGGCAAGGCACTGCTGGAAGGGGCAGCGCAGGATTCTCCAGTGCCAGACTACTTAGGAGAGGATTGGGATGAGAAGGAGGAGGAGGAGGGGGAGAGGGATGATGGACATGCAGTAGCTATAGAAGACAACCCCTTTCTGTCGGATGATGAGGCGGAGGATGTCGTCGCTGTGGATGTGCCAGAGTTCTAGCTAGGCTAGGAAATTAGACTAGGTGTTGGTTAACTGCCCGAATGTTATAAAATAATGGCGAGTAAATGGTGAAATCACGACTCTGATTAATACTTGCGAACCCTGAAGAAACCAGACTTGAGAGTCACTGGATCCTGAGAAATCAAACTACCATGGAAACTGAAACCTGGCTATTCAGACTTCGGAAAAAAAAAATTGGGGCGAAAATCAGAGTGGGTTTTTTTTTAAACGTCAGCTCTGCTCGTACTATTCGACACTCGCAACTTACGCCTGCCGATCCTGAACAAACTCCGACCCTGCTTCTGTGGCCCTTTTCAAGGGATCAATATGGTGACACCTGTCACAACTCACCTTTGACTATCGGCTGATTGGCGCCACCACACGGCTTTCCACGTTAGCCTATTACGACCCTACGTCCCAGGTTCGTCGGATTTGACACGTCAGCGCATTGTCCCGCAACTAATGCCCTTGCAGGAACCGACGACCGAGCCGCTGAAGATTCTCGGCCATCGAGTCACAACGCAGCAAAGCCGACGAATTGTGGATTTTCTCGTCAGAGGGCGAGATCGGACGTTTGAGGATGACAGTTGGGTACCCCTCGCTGATATAGAATCACATCCGATTTTAACAGCATATTATCAGCGTCGGAATGTTTCCGATGCCTGCGGCCTCGTTTAATGAGGGGGGGGGGGGGGGGGGGGGAAGGGGGGGGTAGTGTAAGGAATTTCCATTCCTGAAGAGAGCTTCGTGACGCTTGTCCTCGCTGGGCTCGGGCCAGAATGGAGAACCACCCGCTCGCTCCTTCGCGCCCACGGACGAATCTCGGAGATGCACCTCTGCGCCGAGCTTCATGCTGAACAACAGAAGATGGACCTGTTTGAAGAAAGACAACCAAGAAAGCAGCAACCGTTGGTCTTCTACACTCAACGAAGGAACGACAACAACTACAATCGACGCAAGAAGCAAGAACAACGCGACAACAGAGGACTCACCATTGTGCCGCCGTTCTGCCACAACTGCCAAACATCCGTGTCACAGGATCGAATGTGTCGAGGAAAGGTTGCACTATCGATCAGTACAAGGCGCTTTTATACTTCCAGAGTACATCAGGTAACCAGGTTTATCTTATCCTAAGGGAATAGACCCTTCTAGAAGATAGAATCACCCTGCGTATAGCCACGCGAGGCTATTGGCTTTAAGGGATTACAGCAAGATTACGCTAGATAGAGCGCACCAATACATCCCAAGCCTGGTCGGTGATATAATGATAATAGCAGGATAAACCAAAGGTTAATGGAAAAGGAAGAATAGGAAACCAAATGAGATGCGGTAAAAAGAGAAATGAAAAGGGAAGGAAATAAGAAAAGGCCAAGTGGTGTAACGGGGTCGTACTCTCACACTTCCCCCCCTCAAAGCTGGGTGGTAGAAGTAACACCCTGCTTGACAAGGTAGTCATGCAGAGGACGACGGGCGTTACCCATGTCGGACTCAGGTACCCAGCTGTCCTCAGAAGGATCATAACCCTTCCAACGGATGAGAAGCTCCACGGTGCCATTCCGACGACGACGATGTGCAAGCACGGACTCGACCTCGTACTCGGGTTCATTCTGGACGAGGACGGGCGGCGGCGGCGGCGGCTGACGTCCCACGAAGATCGTGTTAGGATCTCGATAGGGCTTCAAAAGTTGGACATGGAAGCCGTTGTGAATCTTCCAGGTAGCTGGCAGGCGTAAGCGGAAGGTAACAGGAGTGACCTGTGCTTCAACGAGAAAAGGCCCGCAGAAGCGAGGTCGAAGTTTAGATGGGAGGTGGCTGATGTCCAGGTTGCGGGTGTCAAGAAGCACCTGGTCTCCCACCGTGATGGTGTGATCGTTGCGATGGCGATCGGCTTGGCGCTTCTGTTGCTGTTGAATATCGAGTAGGCGCTTGTGGGTCCGATCCCAAAGCTGGTGCATGGTTGTAATGAAATCATGTGCGGGTTGGACTGTAGGTGATGCTGTCGGTTTTTGTGGTGTGAGTGGGTGGCGTCCGTAGCAGAGGAAGAACGGCGTCTGTCCAGTAGCAGCATGTGTAGCATTGTTGTAAGCAAACTCGAGTACGGGCAGGTGCAAGTCCCATTTGGAGATGTCGTCCTTGCAGGCTGCTCGGAGGAGTTGCTCAACAATTTGGTTGAGGCGCTCGGTCTGTCCGTCTGTCTGCAGATGGTATGCGGATGACATGGCGAGTTTGGTGCCGAGCAGAGACATAAGTTCCTTCCAGAACTTGCTAGTGAACTTGGGGTCTCGGTCGGAGATGAGTGTAGTTGGGATGCCATGCTGTGAGATGATGTGACGAACGAAGAGCTGTGCTGTCTCCTCGGTGCGTGCCGTCGTGTGTGTCGGGATGAAGTGTCCCATTTTGGAGAACTTGTCAATGACGACAAGGATGGCGTCATGACCGCTGGAGGTAGGTGGTAACCCGGTGATGAAATCTAGGCTAACTACTTGCCATGGTTGTTCTGGGACAGGAAGAGGCTGCAGTAGTCCCGCCTTTTTCTGCTTGCTGCTCTTCATCCGCTGACATGTATCACACGAGGTGACGAATTTCTGGACGTCGTCTGCCATATGGGGCCAGTAGTAGTGTTTGGCGATACCGGTGAGCGTCTTGTTGCTACCGAAGTGGCCCGCGTACAGGACGTCGTGGTATTCTTCGAGTAGTAACTGGCGCAAAGGAGGGTAATTGGGTACCCAGATTTTTGTGGATCCCTTCCGGTATGCGATGTCATTGTCCCACTGTAGCAGATGTCGCTTTTCTGCCAAGGGAATTTCGGGGTCGATGGCGTACCCGTGGGTGAAGAGTCCTTTGAGAGTTGGATTCATCCCTTCGATCTGAATCGCGGCAACGTGTGCAGGCCGGCTGAGAGCGTCTGCTTTGTTCTTGTGGCCGGGCTTGTACACGATGTCGTAGTGGAAGTGTGTCTCGAGGAAGTCGATCCACCGGACCTGCCGCCTGGAAAGGTTGGGTTGTGTCTTCAAATATTTCAGGCTGCAGTGGTCGGTGTAGACGGTCGTTCTTCGTCCTTCGAGATAGCATCTCCACGCTTTGAAGGCGATGACGATAGCAAGAGCCTCTTTGTCGTGTATCGGGTAGTTGAGTTCTGCCCCGTGCAGTTTCTTGCTGAGGTAGGCAATTGGTTGCAGTCCATTCCCCTGGTCTTGCATCAAGACTGCTCCCACGGCCTGATCACTGGCGTCTGCTTCAATGACGTAGTCACGTTCGGGATCTGGCAAGATGAGTACCGGTGCGGATGTCAGTGCTTGTTTCAGTTGCTCCACGGCTTCCTGGTGCTTCGTCTCCCATTTGTAGGACGTGTTCTTCTTCAGCAGATTCGTGAGTGGTGCCGCGAGCTTTGCATACTGTGGCACGAACCTGTTGTAGTAATTAGCGAAGCCTAGGAACTGCTGCAACTCCTTCACGTTCTCGGGTGTCTTCCACGTACGTACGGCTTCGATTTTCTTGGGGTCGACGTGAACTCCTTGAGCGCTCACCAAGTGGCCTAGAAATTGGACCTTCTCCAGGGCGAATTCGCTCTTGGACAGTTTGACGTAGAATCGTTCTCGTCGAAGAATTTCGAAGACGCGTCGCAGGTGTTCGACGTGCTGCTTCATGTCGCGCGAGTAGATGAGTATGTCGTCCAGGTACACCACCACGCATTCGTCCAGAAGTGGTCGTAGAATGTGGTTCATTTCGGCTTGGAACGTTGCCGGCGCGTTGGTGAGTCCGAACGGCATGACCAAATACTCGTACGATCCGTACCGAGTTCGGAAAGCAGTTTTGTGGATAGAGTTGTCCGCCATCCGTATCTGCCAGTATCCGGACCGCAGATCCAGTTTGGAAAATACCGTAGCTCCCCGAAGCTGGTCAAGCAGGTCATCGATTCGCGGTATCGGATATTTATTCTTGATGGTCTGCTTGTTAAGAGCTCGGTAGTCGATGCACATGCGCAGGCTTCCGTCCGGTTTCGGTGTGAAGAGTACTGGGGCACCGTACGGCGAAGTGGATGGTCGGATGAGTCCTTTAGCTAGGAGATACTCGATCTGCTTCTTCATGTCGGTCAGCTCTGTAGGGCTGAGTCGATATGGTGCTCGGAAGGTCGGCTTCGAACCCGGTTCCTCCACGATCTCGTGTTGATGCGTTCGGTATGGCGGTAGCTCGTTCGGAAGATCGTCAGGAAGAATGTCTTGGAACTCCTTCAGTAATTCCTTGATTTTTTCTGGAGTTTCCGAGGCTTTCTCTCCGTCATTCTCCACCTCTGTTGCTATCGCCAGGAACCCGGTGTCGGTCCGCTTCACGTCCTTCTCGAATCGTGCGAGTGTCTCCACTGGGATATCTCCAGTGTCGTCCCAGTTGGGTAGCTGTACTCTCCGTCCATTGTTGTAGATGCTTGCGGTGCGGTTCACCCAGTTGATCTCGGGGTTGAATCTTTTCAGGAAGTCTCGCCCGAAGATCAAGTCAAGCCCTTTGATGTTGGTGATGGGGAGTGCAGGTCTCCAGCGCAGTGGTCCAATTTGTAGATGTAGCACTGCTTCACCGTGTACTGGTAACTTGCTGCCGTCCACCATCGTTGCAGAGAATCCTGAAGGTTTGTACTCTTCCCGGAGTCGGTCGATCATTGCCTTGTCGCAGACGGTGTGTGACGCTCCGCTGTCCACGAGTGCTTGGAGGCGTCGTCCTTTGCAGATGACCTCGAGCACGAGGGGCAGTCGTTGCTCGGAGTACCCAAAGATAGTTTCATTGATTGGGTCATAGGGTACATCCCAATATTCCGTACACACCTTGGTGTTGCTGTCTACTCCTGAGCTGGCAGCTGGCCGAGGCTGCTTGGAGAACGGCTCTTCTCCAGGGCCCGGAGTTTCCTTGACGACTGTGCGCGTCACTGATGCCGAAGAACTGGATGCATCCGTAGGAGGAGTTCGGGGTTTGTGCAGCTTCTTGTAGACCCCCAGCTTCCTCTTGAGCTGCTTCAGCTCCACCGACGTCTTCCCTGGGGAGCGGGTAGTCGTTGTGGGCTGGTGTCGGGAGAGGACGTTGACTCCGTGGAAAGGTCGGCTTCTTTCCACACTCCTTAATTTGGTCCCCAAGTTGTCCGGTACCGGTATAATCTCCACAGCTGTCTGCTTCTTTTGGAGTCCCTCCCGAATTTTCTCCAAGGCTCTAGCCCCTCGAACATCATAAGTTTTCATTAAAGCATCTTTATAAGATAACTTTAACGAATTCTTATAATTTCTTGGGTCTTCAAGGAGTTTCCCTGTCTCGGCAGAGTCTTTTTTCGCGGAGTCGTATTTTTCCTCGGCGATTTTCCCTGGCGAAGACTGGTCGTGGGGTGGAGATTTTCCCCCATCATTTCCTCCTTCTCGCGTCGAATCAGCTTCGTCGAAGTTGATTTTTCCGGAATCCCGCGGCCGCTTTCGGATCTTTTTATTTTCGCCAGCTAGATCCGCAATCACTGGCGACTCCCGTTTTTTGTCTTCTGATTGGCCGAAAGATTTCCGCCACTGTTGCGTGCCCGATACTCTGCGCGTGCGGCCTTCATTTTGTTGCAGTCGAAGATTCGGTGGCCCGGCACCCCGCAAAAATCACACGTGTAGTTGGTGTTTTTCGGACGTGGCCGCCCCTCGAATCTGTCGACTTCCATCGGGTCGGCGAACGTGGTGTGAGCCGAGCGGTCGCCCTGTCGCGTACTGCCGACGTGCGTCCGTCGTGTTCCGGCGTTGACCATGTCGAAGCGCTCCGCGGCCGAAACGACGTCACTGTAGCTCGCGTAGTTTGACGCTGCCACCTGTCGTTTGACTTCAGTCTTCAGCCCTGCGAGGTACGATTGCACTTTTTCCCCTTCGGTCAGGTCGGGAATTCTGTTATAAAATTCTTCCATCTGCTGCGTGTACTGTGCTACACTCCCGAACTGTCGATGGCGATGAATTTTTTCGCGGGCAAGGAAACCTGAATTTATCGGCTCGAATCGTTTCAGCAGGTCGGCGCGGAACTGCTGCCACGTGGCTTCACCGTGGATGAAGGTGCTGTTGCCGCCAATCCACTCGAGTGCCGGCCCTCGCATCAGTGTCGCCGCGAGTCGTACACGTTGACCGTCCCAGACTGGCGAGCTCCATCCGACGGCTGCGAAGTAGATCTCCATCCCGGCGATCCATCTGCGGGCGTCGGAGTTTCGATCGCTCGGATCGAACGGCTCAGGTGGGCGCGGTTTCGGAGCCTCGAGAAACTGCTGCGACTGCTGCGTCGTCGCCGTTGTCGTCTCGTGCTGCGCTCCGGCGAGTCGAGTTACTCGCTCGAACTGGTTTCGCCACGCTTCGCGATCTGCTCGCATTTCCTCCTGAAGGGCTGCGATGCGCGCGAAGAGCTGCTGGGTAACCTCGGCGTTGTCGAAGGTTGCCATCCTGTTCAAAACACGCACGGAGGGGGTAATTCGAAAATCGCGGAGCTGGTGCTTACCAGAATCGGCGTCGAATTGGTCGCCCCCGGCGGTTTTTCGAGGCAGGATCCCCGCTGCTGCTGCTTAGCTGAGCGCGGCCGAGTGAGAAACGCTCTGATTACCAAGTGTCACAGGATCGAATGTGTCGAGGAAAGGTTGCACTATCGATCAGTACAAGGCGCTTTTATACTTCCAGAGTACATCAGGTAACCAGGTTTATCTTATCCTAAGGGAATAGACCCTTCTAGAAGATAGAATCACCCTGCGTATAGCCACGCGAGGCTATTGGCTTTAAGGGATTACAGCAAGATTACGCTAGATAGAGCGCACCAATACATCCCAAGCCTGGTCGGTGATATAATAATAATAGCAGGATAAACCAAAGGTTAATGGAAAAGGAAGAATAGGAAACCAAATGAGATGCGGTAAAAAGAGAAATGAAAAGGGAAGGAAATAAGAAAAGGCCAAGTGGTGTAACGGGGTCGTACTCTCACAATCCGGACACTCCAAAGTCAACTGCACACGTCCCCGAGCTTATCGTCCAGTAGACCTACAAGTCGCTTCCACTCAAGAAAGCCCGCCAAGGCGCTCCTCCACATCTGCGCAAAGTACACCGAACATCATCAACTGCATGATACACATCAACAGCTGCACACCCGGATCACCACCCACTTACGCTCCAGACGAAGAAGAACTGCCGCTGCCGCGCTCACAAGGACTTCAGGTCAACCCGACATACGCTGCAGTCGCCAACGCCGAACCCACCGGACGAAACACTTGGTTCTTGGATAGCTGCTGCGGTCAACACATGTGCTCCTCCGGGCGCTTCGTGCAGCGAGAGCGACGCCTCAACCGCGATGTCATCATCACCGTCGCCAACAACGAGAACCTGAAAACAAATAGACAAGGAGTGGTTCAGTTACAGTCCATGGAAACAAACGTTATACTACAACTCAACAAAGTTCTCATCGTCGACAATCTGGGGTACAACTTGCTCAGCGTCAGCCAGCTAATGGCAAAAGGGATTCACCTGGAGTGCGACTCAGACTCCAACGAATTTCGTCTTTACAACGGGAAGGGCGGTCTCTTCATCGGTCGAGCTCTCCTGAAGTCCGGCGTCTTCGTGTTGGACTTCGTCCCCGACCGCGGTACTGCCGACAGCGATGGTTTCGTGTCGTTCGCAGCCTGGACGCACCCACCGGATCTTGACCCTGACTTCAATCCCGACGGATTCTGGTACTCCAACACCATACCTGCAGCAGAGAGAACACGAGCGTTAGCAGTCATCAGACAAGAAAGACAAGTACCAGCAAGCGTCCCTTCCCAACCATCACCTGCAGCAGCAGCAGCAGGACCCAGCCGAGTACCACCCGAACTCCCGAACTCCTCGACTCGTCACGTTCGGCCTTATTTGTCGGCCCAACCATTTCTCGAGTCGCGTCCAGCAGTGTCGCCACATTGCCGAACCTACCCACGTTCCGAGGTTATCGCCCTAGCACACCAACCCCTATATAACCTCGTGCCTTCATTTTAATAGCGACCCTGCTTTCTCACGTAATAGTTCATTTACACTTCCTGTATCATAACACTCCCCTTTCGACAGCTCGGGACTGTGCAGCCGCTCCACCGTCAAGAATATTAAACCCGCAGTTAGGTTGTGACAGCCCGTGGCTCCTTCAGCCGCGGATCGACCTGGGGTCTGACACTCGCGGCGGAATCCGCCCTAACACTCCGTAACAAGCAACAACAAACCCCTTCAACATGTTGGAGAGTGACACCATGCCAGCAAGTTAGCTTTCCGCCCAACGCCCACCTCCGAACATGGACGCACGCGTGCCCGCTCCACCAGCGCCCCGCTGGCCGTTCTTGCGTCGCCTGCGCGCGCTGCTGATCGTCGTCGCGCGCCTCTCGCTGAGCCTCCCCGCCGCCACCATAAGCGCCATCCGCCACCGCCAAGCTCGTCCCCGCGCCGCCATCCAGGGGCCTGCCGCCGCCGTTTTGCGAGTGAGTCGTAGCGAGCCGTCGCTCGCCGCTCTCGCGTGCGACGACGTGCCTCCAGCAGCAGCGCCGCAACGCGCGGCCGGCGGTGAAGGGCTCGAGTCGACGGCGTCGGCGCCTCTAGGGTGCGATAGTGGCAGCGCTAGCGGCGGGCCGGGCGGCGGCGACGAGCGAGGGGCGGCGAGCGACTTAGTGGAGGCGAGAGGAACGACGTGCCGCGTGACGCGACGGCTGACGGTGTCGCGGGTATGCATGGCGAGGCGGGAGGCACGATGAGCAGTCGCTGGGGGCGGGCAGAGGGGGGGTGAGAGTGAGCCGTGCACGGCGTGTGCCGCAGGGCGGTAGCGCGGTGCAGCGGTGGCGAGGGGCGGGCAGGGGGCGGAAGGGCAGGTACCCATGACGTGACGTGGTGTGGTGTGCGGTGGTGTGCGCAGGACTCGGAGGGGCGCAAGGTGATCAACGAGTACGTGAGGGAGCGAGTCATCGGCCGAGGCTCGTACGCCAAAGTGGTCAGTGCACGCCTGCACACCACTCCCCTACCAACCCCCCGCCATCGCACTCTCATTCCCCGCTCTCCCTCCATTTCCTGCTCCATCTCCCTCCTTCACTCTCCCCTTTCTCGCCTGTCGTCACGCCTGCAGGTGCTGTATCGCCATGCGTCCACGGGCCTCATGTGCGCGCTCAAGGTGGGCCACGGTGGGGGAGAAAGCTCTGGGCTAGAGGCTGGGGGGAGGAATGGAAGGCGCTCAAGGGGGGACGCGGCGAGTGGGGAGGGGCAAGCGAGCGCGCATGGGCTTTAAGAGGGTGGCGAAGGAGTGGGATTGGGAGGGGGAGAGGTGGGGGAGGATGTGATGGTGGCGTGCACAGCCATGGCTCCACGGCATGCGCCGTGTGCTCACACCCGAACCTGCTTGCCTCAACCCTACCCTCCCTTGATGCCCCTCTTTCCTGTCACCTCTCGCTCGTCCTCGCTCTGTTGCTCTCCACCCTCTGCCCGTGGCTGTGCGCCCCCAGGTGTGCTGCAAGTCTCGCCTCAAGCGCGTGCGAGTGGCGCCAGGCGAAACAGCGCTGATGGACGTGCAGCGCGAGGTGAGGGCGGAGGGAGGCGGGGGCAGAGGGACTTGAGAGAAGGGCGAGGTGAGTGGGTGGCAGGGAAGCGAGACTGAGGCGATTTGCATGCGGTTTGCATGCCTGGACTGCAGTGAGCTGTCGCCTAACATTGCACGTGTTGCCCTCCCCTGCACCCCGAGGCGACAGGTGCGTGTGCTGCAGCGGCTGCAGCACCCACACGTGGTGCAGCTGAGGGAGGTCATTGACGACCCCCTTGCCGACAAACTCTACCTCGGTACGCCCCACCGCACTCCTCATGCTGCCTGCTCTCGCCCTCTCTCTCTTTCTCTCCCTCCCCCTCGCTCGCGCCCACTCAACTGCGTCTTCCATCATTCCTGCTCGATCGAGATGGGGATCTCCCTCCATTCAAACGGCCCTTCAACTAGAATGGAAGGCAAGGGGGCAAAAAAGTGCTATGAGAGGGAGCAAGGCACATCCACATCTGCCTCCTCATCTCCGTGTGCTCTGTGCCTTGCCCCTCTCCCCTCGCGTCCCCCAGTGTTTGAGTACGTGGAGGGCAGGCCACTCTTCCCCGACGACGCCCCACCCGCAGGGGGTGTGGGCGAGGACACGGCTAGGCGTGTGTTCCAAGATGTCAGCGCCGCACTGCTCTACGTGCACAGCCAGGTGCACTGGGGTGTGATGGAAGGGCTGGGGTGTATCCTGGCATTCTGTGGTTGAGAGCACGCTGCTATGTGTTGACTGTTTGATCCTCTTGTCAACCCTCTCCTTTGTTATCACGGCGCGTGTTGGAGTAGGCTAGAGTTGTTCTCCTAGATATCATAGCCTTTTATTTTGTTCAGGCCAACTTCAGATGGTTTGTTGCCTAGAATGAACATGCCCTGGGTTCAGTTGGTTTTTCTCCCAACCCAACCAACTCTTATCGTGTATCTTGCCATCTTTCTAGTCAACTTCTTCTCACAACCTAACGATGGCTCCTACAAAGTCTATATTTCGGCTCTCAAGCATACTTCAATGCCATGAGTGTTGTGTGTGTGCACGATTGAGTCTGATTGATTTATCCATGCATGCGTACTTGTTATGTGTCAGGGCGTGGTGCACAACGACGTCAAGCCTGCCAACATCCTCTGCTCGTCGCAAGGCGGTGCCAAGCTTTCTGACTTTGGTGTCTGCCAGGAAGTCACCGTAAGTCAACGCCTCCCCCACGCGCTCTACCATCCGCTCCTCCCGGCCGCTCCTTGTATCATTCAGATGAGGTCGCTGAGTATCCACCAGCGCGCTGGCTCAACCGGCTGCCACCACAGTCTCGGGGGAACGGAGCATCCGCATGAGAGAATTTCACCCCAGGGTCAAGACTATTCCTTGCCCCGTAGGCGCAGGCAGTGATCCATGGCAGCAGGCGAGCAGTGTTGCAGCTGGAGCATTCCTTGCAGCCATTTGGTGCAGCGGTGTGAGGGACGTGCTCTCCAATTCACCGCTATCCGAAGCGTCTGCAGTCGCTCCTCCGCCTGCTTCTGCGTGGGCACCGCTAGCGCTCTTGCAAGCGCACTGGAATATATGGAGTCCTGCTTGCCTCCTCCCTGCTGCACCTGCTGTGCCAGCATTGGTGCCTGTTCCGCGCTGCCACTGGTACTAAGGGCCGTGTTGCTTGTGTGTCCAGTGCCCATGCTCCCCTCCGTGCTGCCCCTGCCAGCCTCTCTGCCGCCTGCGCACCTTCGTCGTGCCGCGCCTCGTGTTCATCTGCCCCGCCCTCTTAGTTCGCCCACCCACACCCACCCCCTTTCACCCCGTTCGCCCTACCTGCCCCTTTCTTCCTGGCCCCTCCCTGCCTCCTGTACTCCTCCATATCGGCTACCTCTCTGCTGCCATCGTGCCCCTCCCTGCACTCAATTCTCGCCACCTCTTCATTCCTTGCTCCCTCCCCCTCCTTGCCCCTTCCTCCCCCCCCTAACCCCTCCCTGCCCCTCCTACCCCTCTGTGCTCGCCCCCAGCCGCCCAACGACTGGCAGCGCAGGAGTCCAGGCACGCCCGCCTTCACTGCGCCCGAATGCTGCACTGGTGGGGGGGGGAGGGGGTGGGTGGAGGGGGGAGAGGGTTTTTTTTCTGGATTGGGTGTGGGGTGATTGTCATGTGTATGAGCTGGTCAGGGTGGTGTCCGATTGGGAATGGACGAATTGAACGCAAGAGGGAGATGGCAGTCAACATTTTACCATACCACAATTTCTGGGTGGCCGGATTTGCGGTGTGGCGTGCCCCCTGTGCCTGCATGCCCCTAGGAGCACCGTTCAGAGGCATGGCGGCGGACACATGGGCGCTGGGGTGCACACTGTTCGCCATGACGTCTGGGCGCCACCCCTTCCTAGGGACCTCGCTCATGGACACCTACGACAAGGTCACACACCCGCCATGCCATGCCGTGCCATGCCATGCCAAGCCATGCCATGCCATGACGTGTCGTGCCATGCCAAGCCGTGCTGTGCCATGCCTTGTCGTGCCACGCCGTGACGTGCCATGCCATGCCATGCCCTACTTTGTCGTGCCATAACCATACCTTGCACAGCTGCTTGCTCCGTGACTCGCCTGTTCCTGCCTCTTGTCCTGCGCGTGCGTGCATGCTCATGCGCGCATCCATGCCTTCTCCTGGCTCCTCCCTAATTTCTCTTCTCCTTCGATCCTCTCTTGTGCGTCTTCCTCTATGTGCAGATCCAATCTGAGCCATTGATCCTGCCAGCAGGCATCTCTCCCTCGTTGGCGGATCTGCTTACAAGGCTTCTGCACAAAGGCATGTTGCCATGACACCATGCACTGCACCAATGCCCATCACCATGCACTGCACCAATGCCCATCATCATGCATTGCACCAATGCCCATCAACATGCACTGCACCAACGCCCATCACCATGCACTGCACCAATGCCCAGCACCATGCATTGCACCAATGCCCATCACCATGCACTGCACTAATGCCCATCACCATGCACTGCAGCAATGCCCACCATGCACTGCACCAATGCCCATCACCATGCACTCCACCAATGCCCATGACCATGCACTGCACCAATGCCCATCACCATGCACTGCACCAATGCCCATCACCATGCACTGCACCAATGCCGATCACCATTCATCGCAACAATTCCCATCACCATGCATCACATGCTCTCTACGCACTGTCTTTTGAAAGGGCTTGCCACCCTTCTCACAACTCTATGCATTGCCACATTCAGTTGCCTGCCTGCATGCCCCATTCCCCTGCCTATCGTCTTGTGACTAAAGCACTCCTCCGTCTCTTTCCCACCCTTTCCCCCCGTCCACCAGACCCCTTGCAGCGCATCTCTCTCGCCCAGGCCGCCGCCCATCCGTGGGTCCTGCATGCTGCCCTGCCCTCCTCCCCGCCATCCCCTGCGCCCTGAGCCCTTCCCATCCCCACCAACCCTTTCTCCTGGCGGCCCTTCACCTAGAAGCACCGCTCTGTACCACTCTGCGCCGTGAGCTGTGCTGCTGCTGGCCCTGCCTTGCCTGGCGCATTGGGTGCAATCATGCACGTGCATCGCCAGCACCCCACCCTGGGCCGCCTGCTGTGTGTGCCGCTGCAACCAGGCAGGCACGCCATTGCCCTGCGCTGCCACAGTGCTGCGAAGCACGAGGCCGGCACAAGGGATGCCGTGGAGCGAGAGCGCATGGAGAGGGGTGGATGGCCGACAGGCTAGGCACTGAGGAGGCAAGGGGAGAGGTGCAGTGGGGGTGGTTTCTGCACGCAATGCCCCGTGTGGGCTGTGCTGCCGTGTGCTCATAGCAGCAGTGCTGCCCTCCTGTGGTGCTCTGGATGGCAGCAGTGCGCATGCTGGGTGGATCAGCGCTGTAGCACCCCACAACGATCAGTGGCAGCAATGCCACACGGCAGTGTGCACGGCCATGCTGCACCCGGCCATCGCACATAACACCCATGTGTGTTCTCAAGGCATGCATGCGCGGAGAGCGTGTGACATTGCAGCAGAGAGGCCTTGTGTGGCTGGCAGCTAAGTGCAATGTGCAGCCCGTCGAGAGGCGCCGACGTGGTGTGGTGGAGGGGTACCGCATTCCCCGTACAATACACCCAAGGACAGGGCGTTTAGCGGAATTCTTGGAAAAAGGGAAATGTGTGTTCTCATTGTCAGAATAGCGAGAAAATGTTGAATAGGAAGGGAGTGAGGGGGGATGCATGTATACAATGTTGTACTCCCTAAGAGCTGATCTAGCTAGCATATCTAAACAAAAATATCATAACACCAATACATTTGTCAGTTGACACTCCCTAGCCTAGGTAGAGATTGTTTAAAGCCCCCCCCGCCTCATAATTGCTAGTATTTTATATCAAACTGAGAGAAGTGAATGTTTTGGGGTAGTGTGAGAGTACAGATAGATATACCTAAGTATTGTACCTCTAAGAGATGACCCTATACAGTCTATGCAAACATAACAAATACACATGTTTGACACACCCCCTAGACTGCATAGGGGAATGTCCTAAACAAGCAGCTCAGGGCGGCACTACTAGTCCAACCTCTGAGACAAGGGTCTAAGAGACCAGTCAGAAGGAGTACAGACAAAGCGAAAACAAGACCAGGGCGGCACTACTAGTCCAGCCACTGGGAGAGGGCACAAGTCCAGTCTGAGTATACATATAAAGTACAGTACAAAGTCAAGGTCCTAGCAAGTGAGAGGCTACAGGAACTAGACCAAGCTGTACACAGTGCCGCTGATGATCTTTAGGCGCAAGCGCCTTCGTAAAGATATCAGATGTGTTGGCACCTGAGGCCAAGTGTACTACGCGAGCCTGACGTCGCTGCTGTAGCTCACGTAGGAGGAAGTACCGCAGCTGAATATGCTTCGCTCTGCCCTCGAGTCGAGGCTCCTGACACAGGAGGATCATGGCCCTGTTGTCAGGGAACAGGACCGGGGCAGAGCTAGGCCATTCACCTAAGTCAGTGAGCAAGAAGGTCAGCCAGCGGAGCTTCTGTGCCGCCATGGCACCAGCGTAGATCTCAGCCTCACAGCTGGACTGGGCAACAGACGAGGAGCGGGTAGCTCTCCACGAGACGGCACCTGAGCCAAGGCTGAAGCAGTAGCCCTGGGTAGACCTGAGTGTCTCGGCGTCGTCTGCCCTGGCATTGCCATGTTGTTCCCTCGCATGGTGGTATCTCCTTCCCACTAGCTGGAAATCAATGTTGTGCCTGACCAAGACTAAACGATCATACTGGAATATAATCCAGCGTTATCTCCATTGAGTGGAGAATCATCCATCAGGATTTGGTTATGACTGTTGTGTCGAGTCTTCTGCTGCGGCGGCGGCGGCGGTTGCGGCGGCGGCGGTTGCGACGACGGCTACGGCGGCAGCTGTGCAGAGAATTCTCTCAACTCGTACCAGTTGAAGGAGAATCCATCAACTCCCTCTTCCCAGTAGAGTGTTCCTGATGGGTGTAACAGGCGTAACTACCAGGAACACGTGCACATTAGTACACATGTGTTGCTCCATTGCTGCCGGTGATTGCTTCATTTGAGGGTGTGAAGAGAAATTTGCTTCTCCCCTCAATGTATCCACGGGTAGCAATCCATGGTATGCTCATCCGTGCCTCCGATGTACGGTCGGTAGAGCGCGTGATCATGTTGTAGTAGTCCGCATCTCCCTCATTTGTTGACACCTCGTGTTGCTTGGCGTTCTCCTGCATCGTCGAAGTTACGCTGATGCTTGTAACGCTTCGGCTTCTGGTAGAATCGCCTCCAATGCATGTGCCGTAGGGTCGCTAGTGAACGAGTACTTGCCGGATTAGAGGTTAATTACTCCTCAATCTGTCAAGCATCGTGACATGCACGGAATTTTCTTCCACGCAGGTCATTAACACCTGGAATCGCGACGCATGATTGGTGTGTCGCCTTGTGAGGTCGATGTTGAGACTGCTCCAATCAATCATTTCGGATGGCTGAGATTCTTGATGAAGACGAATCGTTTAGCTCCTGTTACGAAGTAGTGTCTCGCTGGCCTTGACGAGACAGGTTCACTGCGTCGTCGTTGCGTGCGAAATCTGCTCCTTCGCAGCAACTTGAACTTGGGAGCATTGCAAGAGAAAACGGCTACTTCTCTGCAATCCCATAGGTTGTCGATCAATTTGTATGAAGAAGTGTCTCGTGGATGTAGAACATGTCTTCACGCAGCTCCATTGTTTTTCCTGGGTGAAGATCTCGCTGTGTTGATGTCGATCCATTTTTAACGAAGATGACTTCGTCAAAATAACTCGATCGTTATCGACATCAGTCAGAAGATGCGTCGATTGTGCAATCGCTGGTCACGAATGTTGTCTCCATGATGATGATTTCCCATAGTGTAGTCTCCGCTGCATTCGTGCCGTTGATTCCGCAACGATCCGACGATCCACGTTCTCCTGTCATTTTTCTGCATGCAGATATTACCAATTAGGTAATACTCTGGCAGATTTCTGACTCTGCAGATGATTTGTGCACCATATTCGTCACCAAATAGAGGAGTCCGAATTTGGTTGTCCAAATGATGTCAACGATGTTGAAGGCGGCAAATTTCTGGTTCTGCGCGTCATTCTCCCTTTGTGCAGAAGTCGCGCTCCATCTCGTCCGTTGAAGTAGAAGTCAATCCGACGGTCAAAAATCCAAGCGATCTGAGGAGCCTCCCGAGTCGCGTTCAGCAGCTTTCGGCGCCCAGGTTGACTCGTTTCCTGCAGCAATTCTAGGTCGTCGATGTCGGCTGTCGAACGATCGGACGCTCCGAAGAATTTCACGGTTTGGGAGGTCCCGTTCCCATTCGCGCCAAAACGCAAACTCGCTCAGATGGATTTCGTTTTCGCCTCGGTCGATCTGATGCGTCGAATCTCCATCGGACGGATGTCGTCGGTCGAACCTCCGCAGAGTTCCGCGCAACTCCAAGTGTTGTTGCGAGTCTCCGAATGTCGCAGGGAGTGTTCCGCCGGAACTGACGCGCTCGCCAGGTCGAGGCCGTTTGCCCCCGCGAAACATCGGCACCGTCGATGCAGTCCATCAAACGGTTGGCGAGGCATCTCGCCTTCGAAGGGGACCCCAGGTGCAACTGCGAGGGGTGAGTCGAAACTTAAATGAAAGTGCATTGTACTTACAGGAATTGAAGTTTCGACTCCATCCTCCGCGTGCTCCTGGGGGCCCAGCCGTTAAGCGTTGAGCTGAAACCTTGGCTCTGATTACCAAGTGTCACAGGATCGAATATCCCGAGGAAAGGTTTGCTCAATGTTGAGCTATCAATCAGTACAAGGTGGTTTTATTCTTCTAGAATACATCAGGTAACCAGGATTATCCTATCCAAAGGGAATAGACCCTTCTAGAAATAGAATCAGCCTGCGTATAGCCACGCGAGGCTATTGGCTTTAAGGGATTACGGCAGGATTACGCTAGATATAGCGCTCCAGTACATCCCGAGCTTGGTCGGTGATATAATTATAATAACAGGATAAACCAAAGGATAATGGAAATGGAGGAACAGGAAACCAAATGAGATGAGATAAAGACCAAATGAATCAGGATAAAAAGAGGAATGAAATAGATAGGAAATATGGAAAGGGGAAATTGGTGTAACGAGGTCGTACTCTCACAAGGACCATCCTGGAAACTGCGCAAGCGCTGCTGATCGAATCAGGGCTGGGGAACTCCATGTGGCCTCATGCGGTGAGGCATGCTACAGTGGCAAGTAACCGCGTACTCACAAAGGTGGCTGATGATATGTGGGTGCCGCTGGAGAGGTGGCTTGGAAAGAAGCCTCCTGTGGACATGCTTAGAGTGTTCGGATGCATGGCAGTGGCGCATGTCCCTAAACCGTACAGGACAAAGCTTGGAGCATCTGCACTGTGGTGTGTGCACCTTGGGCTTGCGGCAGAGAGCAAGGGGTGGCTACTCTGGGAGCCCTCGAAGAATGTGCTGTTTGACAGCCGGGATGTCAAATTTGTAGAGAACATCATGTATGGCAAGTGGGAGAAGCAGCCGGACGCAAGGGTCACCCAGCAGCTGGAAGAGATCACTATGCACTTCGATTTGTCCGAACCTGAGGACAGCGAAGTCACTGCGCCAACGGCAAGCGGTACTGATGAAGGAGGCAATCAGGATATTGCAGCTGATGCTGAAGTCAAGGATCCGGAGCAGCAGCAGCAAGAGGCTTCCAAAACACCAAGTCTGCCAAAGCGAAGGAAACAGATTGGTGGGGGGACAAAGGACTGGGTGAAGGTGAAAGAATGGGTAAATCCAACCATCTACCCTGCGCGTACCAGAATGGCAACGAGAAAGCTGCTGAGCTCTACAAGTGGAGGAGCCACAACTGAGCAGCAGGAACAGGCTCAAGGCGAAGATGCAGTGCTGTTCTTGGGTGATGACCAAGAGTCGGATGACGAGGAGCCTGCATACTGCTTTTACGCACCAACAACCTCCGAGCATAAATCATGCGCTAGCCGGGCCTCAACGGGGGAAGTGGCTCGTTTCAAGAGATGCAGAGTACAACAGCCAGATGGAGAATCACACATGGGACCTGGTGTACTTGCCAAATGGGAAGAAGGCAATACAGTGCAAGTGGCTGGCAAAAATCAAGACGGATGAGAAAGGAGAGCCATCAGTTTACAAGAGCAGGCTGGTGGCAAAGGGGTTTCAGCAGAAAGAGAAAGAAGATTACAAAGTCTCCAACGCTACGTGTGCTGCTGGCGGTAGCTGCTGTGCGCAAATGGAAGGTGAAGCAGATGGACATCGTAACCGCTTTTCTGTACGGCATTGTGGAAGAGGAGGTGTACATGGTTCAACCACCTGGCTATGAGGACGGAACCGGTCGTGTCTGCAAACTCAACAAGGCCATCAATGGCTTGAAGCAGGCCCCGAGATGCGGGTACAACAGGCTGGCCAGTGCACTGAAAGGGATTGGATTCCGTGCGAGTGCATGCGACGAGAGCCTATTCCTGATGGGCGAAGGGGAGTCGCTTGTGCTTCTGCTGGTGTACGTGGATGACATCCTGCTGTTCAGCAGCAGTGACAAGGAGATCGATGGGGTCCAGCGGAAGCTTACAGAGCAGTTCAAGTGCAGGTCACTTGGAGAGGCAAGGTACTACCTGGGAATGCACATTGAGCGGGATACTGAACGTGGCTGGCTCAAACTGCATCAGGGACAGTACATCCACACCCTGGCTGAGAAGTACTCTCTGCAGGAAGAACGGACAGTGGTCACACCTTTGCCTTCCGAGTTCAAACTCATAAAGGCCGCTGAAGGAGAAGGAGTTGAG